CACGGGAAGTCCTCCCATTGTGCTACATGGGAGAATCAAGGATTCATAAGACCTTGTACTTCATATGAAGTGGCTACATATATGTTTTAAGGAGGCGCCAGTTGAAGATGTGCTGATAGATTTCACTATTGAATATGACCAAGTTATGTAAATAGATGAGTCTGATGAGTGATAGTCAGAATCCAACCAAGTGCCTTTTAAGTGAAGGTGATGAGGATTATGTACCACACCCTCACACCTAAACATCCATTCTTCACTCGATGCCGACTAGGAAACAAAGTGTGGCCGATCAGAAAAGATGACCGAAACCTGAACATTACCAGAAGATTCGACTGATAATAACCACCCAGAAATCAAATGGTCAAGTTCCTGTTAACCGACCCATTAATCCAACGAGTGACTAGGATCTTCAACTCACTAGATCAATCAACAGTCGATTCACTTCCATCGGCCACGAAACTGACGTTCGAAAGACTATTGCAAACGTCAACGAAAACAATAGCAACAGCATGCAATCTGGAGACAAAGGAAACAGTCGATCGAGCGTCGGAAGAAGATGAAGGATATCGGTGGATCGATCATTCTTCACTCTTCGTACTCTCCAATGCTGCTGCTACTCAAGACCGTCGTTTGAATCGATCAAAAACAGACAAACAATATCAAGGTGCGAGGTCCCCCTATCGGTCTTGTGCGGAGCCTGAGCTGGAGAAACTAATCATGTGGATAACCTGCAGAAAACAGCTTCTTTGCTCTAATCCAAACATCACCACTGTATTTCAAACACAAACCGATTCGAGAAAAGGTAAGGGTGCTCGTGGATAGAATCATCCACTCTTGGGAGGAAGAACTAACTCACCCTGTTTCTTCGATCCCCCTCCCCTGCTGTCGAATCTAGTCAAACGAACTCAAAGCGATCTTAGAATCGATTCAACTGAAGAACGATCAACAAGAATACGAAGCGATGATTTCGATGAAACCGAATAGCAATCATCAGGAACTAAGCTTAACAGAAATCATGCGGACCAGCGCAACAGAAACAGAGAAACAAGAGTGGAAACAGATCAAGAAATCGATCACCTTGATCATCAACATCCTATTCTCTGTTGTCGGCACCATCATCTCTGTCTTTTGGTTGCTCAATCACTCCTATCAGTATCCCTTCGAGATCTCTGTCCTCGTCTCGTTCTCGCTTGGACTCCTGATCTTCTTGGTTGAATTGATCTTGTATTGGAATTTCTTGTAAACTTCTTAATCAATTACTTAAGCACATAAGAATTCATACCATCCGGTCCAAGAATCCACTAGTCATATGGAAATTGTAGATCAAGCGTCTGTAACTGTTGGAATAACTGACCATTGTCGGTAGACTGAGAGTCTTAACTAGACAAAATGCAGAAGATATGTCAACAGATGATTCAAAATAATCGAGCACATTTTGCACAGAGACCAAGCAAGAAGAAGAGCAACAACAGAAACAGCACAGAAATATGGTGGATGTTTTGCAGAACACATTAATTTCTTACTGTGCAAGGTATTGGAATTGGCAGTATATAGCATTGGTTTTGCAGGGTTCTCAATGAGACTATGTTTTCATGTGACAAGGGTTTCGATTGCTGAAAACAAAACTGTTTGTGGATTTGTTGGTGACTTGACCTAATCTTTGTCATGTTTTTTTTTCATAAGATTTTTGTTGATCATTGCAAGATCCTGATCTGTCAGCCAAGACTGGATCTTGATGTGTAGAATTGGTATATAAGCGCTTGCTCATTGGAATGGCATATTCCTGAACAGGGTCATTATAACCTACCTTAGATGTGCAGAGCCTCAGCAGATGCTTTAAAGTTTTTTTTTTCCCTTCTTAATTTTGCTCCCTTGGCTTTTAACTTGACCAAGTCTCTGACCCCCCCCCCCCCCCTTGTTGGAGTGGTAAACCACTTGTCAAATTTCACTGACTGGAGTGAGGGACTTACATCTAAAGTTGAACCTGCGTCCTGAGAGCATTAGGATTTTTGACTGGGTTTTTTTTTTTTTATTAATATAATCCATCTGACAATCTAACACAAATGTGGCCAATTGGTTTTTCTTCTAGTTTTTAAATTGAGGATCTTTCAAGCTGTCCCCATTGATATACTACTTTTGCTAATGGTAAGAGCATCTCTAACGGTGTGAGAACTCCTTTGGGAATGGTGGCAGTCCTGTGAGGGGGAAATAGCAGATGAGATATATTACGTATGTAATGATCCACTACAACTGTTACGGCTGGTTTGAAAGACCTGCCCCTCTATTGTACTACACAAGAGTTAACACAACAATTTATTTATTGTTGTGGAAAAAACTGATGATAGAGAAAACTATGTGTAGCAGTCTCTTATCAAACCTAGATCAACGTGGATTCAGCAGACTATTTGAGTGGAAATGTTTGAGTAAGAGGTGTTTTTCTGTTTATATGTTTATGTATTTTGAGAAATGATTGACGTATGTACTGATGATGAATGTGAATTTATGAGATGATATTGTGGAAAAAAATGTGACTATTGAAAGTGTCTTTCCCTTCCTCCTTGAATCTTAGTCAAGAGCACAATGGTTTAAGATCACTGTCTCTTGTTTAAGATCACAAGTTGTACTGGTTGCTACTTTCTTTTCCCTATGCTTCTCAATGGCTGAATGATCTCAATGGGGCACTTGATTAAGATCACACTGGTTAATGTATGGATTGATTGCTCTGTTCTGTCTGGTTGATGATCAGATGAGATGATGAAAAATTGGAATGAGGGGGGGAAAGCCCCTCCTTAAATAGTCTATTTTACAACCCGGCTGACTTGTGGTTCTAGCCCTAACCTATAATCTATAAATGGCCAACTTGTGGTTCTAGCCCTAACCTATAACCTATAATTTATAAATGGCCAGCTTGTGGTTCTAACCCTAACCTATAACAAATATGCATAAAATCCGGCCAAATTGTGGTTTTGCTATCTATACAAGATTCTCTGTGTACCTACAAACAATGTGGCCCACTTGTGGTTACCCTATGCAATGAATATTGAATATGTAAACAAAGGCCAACTTGTGGTTTGCATTATGCAATAAGCATTTTGTATGCAACTAAAACTTAAATCCCAAATAACTTTTGACTGAGTGGAGCTAGCCTAGTGGTTCCAGTGAGTGACTATGGGTTAAATGACCCCTAGAATGTGATTATTTCATAATACGCCTAAGAATATATGCCCTTATACATATTGGACTGTGACTTTATGCAATTTGATACTTGAAACACAATTGGCATACTACAACGGCCCTGCTGATGCAGTACCTGGGACTGACTTCAGCGGGCCGCAAGCCTTTTTTGGCCTCTAGTGGTCATGCTGAGCAAGCTCCTGATGGCTCTGGGGGTGGACCAAAGCTGCCCTTGGCTGCTACTTTTGGCAGCTTTGGCATCCCATCCTCCAAGCTGTCATAGCCACCTCTTGGTCCATCTGTAGTCCAATTTCCCCTTTTTTTATGCACTTCTTGATATCAACACCACATTCCACCACATAATCCTACACCAATACCATGCCTCCCAAAAGGCTAGTACTTGATCCACTCCTCATGGAAATGAACCAAACCACCCCAACCACAACTACTTGTACAATGAGAACAGCTCATCTGAGTGCCCACAATAACTCCATTGATGCCAAGTCAGCCTGATCCCCATACAACTCCGGTTCCGCAACCAGCTTCTTCAACTGGAATCACCAAAAAAACTGACAACACTCCTAAGAAGAAGGCTCCAAAGTGGACAATTTATGAAGATAAGCAGCTCTGTGCTGCTTGGTTGAACACTAGCCAAGACAGTATTGTCAGAACCGGCCAGAAAGCTGGAATGTTTTGGGAACGGGTTCACCAGCTTTATACTGATCTAGTTGTCAATTACAAAAAAGAAAACAAAAGCTCAAAAACAATCAAACCTTTGCCAGTCCGACTCGTCAATGCAATTGAAAGTCGTTTGGGTCACATTATGAGAGTCTGCAACAAGTTTGGTGGATGTTATTTGCAAGTCAAGCGTTGTGAGCACTCCTTTGGGAATGGTGGCAGTCCTGTGAGGGGGAAATAACAAATATGATATTGTGCTTGTTTGATATATATTGTTACAGGTGGTTTGAAAGACCTGCCCCTCTATTGTACTACACAAGAATTCTGACAACAAAAATTTATATATTGATGTGCCAAAACCTTTATAGAGAAACATTTATGTAGTAATCTCTATCAGACCTAGATCAATTGATATATATGAAGTGCTATGAGACAAGCTATCTAAGAACCTGATTAAGATCACAGGTGTTGAAGAAAGGGGGGGAGGGTTGATGATGATGATCACCAGCTGGCCAGGCTGTGTGATGATGAGATACTTGTTTGAGATCACCCCTATGAATGGGTTGAAATCTCCAAGTGAGATATATGTTGATGCTGGGATTGCATGAGGAACTAGAACTGAGGGGGGCAACAAGGCCTGCTTATATAGTCTATTTACACAACGGCTGGCTTGTGGTTCTAGCCCTAACTGATAATTTCAAAAATGGATAGATTGTGGTTCTAGCCCTAACCATTTACCTAGCTCTAAATATATACTATGCACTGCCAATGTACCACTATGCTTTGTAATCATGTTCTATCATAACCTTAACATCTAAATAACTTCTAACTGAGTTGAGTTAGCCTAGTGGTTCCAGTGATTGACTATAAGATAAATTTGATGTAGAATTCAAATATGCAATAAAAAAATCAATAATATAGTCTATTATCAAGAGTGGATCATGACTTTATGCAATTTGGTACTTGAAACACATTTGGCACACTACAGCGTCAAATGAGGAGTGGGATGAGTCGAGATGATATTGTAAGGTTGAATTTCTTCAAATTTGTATTATAATAAAATTAGTTAATTTTTTTGTTTCTTCTCAGCTTTCTGAGGCAAAGGAACTATAAAAATCCAAACACAAGTCGAGTTTTGGCAATTGGATCCTTCAGTCCCAAACCTAACCCTAAACCTAACCCTAACCCTAAACCTAACCCTAAACCTAACCCTAAACCTAACCCTAAACCTAACCCTAAACCTAACCCTAAACCTAACCCTAAAACTAACCCTAAACCTAACCCCCCATTGAAGCAGGGGCCATTGAATTTCCAACAACTCCGCCAGGTCCCCAATGGCCCCACAATACCCAGGCAGATGAACTACTCCGCTCGAACCTGTCCAGGTACTGTGCCTCTCCTGGGTTAACCCTAACCCCCTAACACGGTAAACCTAACCCCGTCGCGGATACCCGCTATCCGCTGGCGGATACCCGCCAGGGCCAACGGATACCCGCCAGCGGGTGCGGATTCAGGTGCGGATGGCCCCTTTTCCGCAAATCGTTGGCGGGTATCCGGGTATCCCTAAGGATACCCGCCCTCTAAAGGGTCGGCGACGGACCAGCCTGTAAGGGAATCCCTTCCAGCCGGCGAGGTAAAATCCTTACAGCCGACGAGGTACAAGTACCTCTATCGCTCGAAGGAAGCCATTACAGCCAGTCCGTCGCCGACCCTTTAGGGGGCGGGTATCCGAGGATACCTGCTCGGATACCCGCTGCGGCCGACGGATACCCGCCAGCGGGTGCGGATGCGGATGCCTGGATGGCCGGATATCCGCATCCGCGCGGATATCCGGATGCAAATCGCCCATCTCTACCCCTAACCCCCATCAGGGGATGGGGCCAGTGGGAATCAAACCCATGACCTGCTGGATGGTCAGATGTTAGGGCCAGTGCAAACCGCTGGGCTATAGAGACTTTGTCTCTGCCAGTGTTTTTGGAAATCTAGTCAGCTGGGGGACCCAGCTCCAGGCAGCTCACCCAGCTCTGGCAGCTCTTCGGTTCCAAACCGAAGATAATGGCACCATTTTCTTTGGTTTGGGACTGAAGAATTTGAGTGACACAGGTGGCGGCCGGGTAGCACAAACGCGCCTTCAACATCTTGGCAATACGCTTCCTGCATCTTTGCATAGTGTTTGTTTGTTTTTCCTTGTGGATTCAAAATCGAGTGAATGAGAGTAGTGTATTTGGGATAAATACCATTGGTGAGATAGTAGCCAAGGTTGTAGCAGTTGCCATTAACAAAATATTGGAACAATGGGTTCACTCCATCTTGGCATTGCTGAAAAGCAGGTGATCAATCAAGGATGTTGAGATTGTTCAAAGTTCCAGGCAGGCCAAAAAACGCACGCCAGATCCACAGGTTGTGGGTCCCAACCGCTTCAAGAATTACTGTTGGGATCTAAACGCTGCTGTGATCTTCTGTAATAGTGAAAACCCCAACTGACTGGCCACATCCCTTTTTTGAATGAAATAGTCATCCTCCTGTGAAAGAGCCTTGATGATTTTAAGATAAAGTGGTTGTTGCATCCTGAAGCGTTGATGAAACAAATAGTCTGAGTAGTTTGGGTTTTTGGAAAAATAGTTGTGGTAGAGCATCTGATCACCTTGAAGACGGTTGCAATATATTTCTCTGTGGCCAACTGTTGATCTGCCATGCTTTGGTTTTGCATTCATTCTTCTCATGACTAGTGCAATGGAAGTTGAGATGGAAGCTAGTATCTTGTTGTTGTCCTTGATCAATTCCATGATTTTGATTAGATGTATTGCGAATACAAAGGGGCAAGGTGTGGAACGGTTGGCTGGTTGTGCTTGAAGGAAGGGATGTCACAATCAATCCACCCCTGCCCCCACATCCACAGTCCATATTTTGGACTAGTGTGACATGTTGGTGACATCTTGGGAAATCTACTCCCGGGCTGCTGAAGTTGAACCAATCCACCCCCAGACCATTAGAGATGCTCTTTGTACACCCCAGAGGAAGGGAAGAATTTACCTGCATTTTCTCCCCTCCCTCTTCTCATATATCTACTGAAATAGAGATGTCAGCAGGTACCTGTTTGCAGGTACCCGGTACCCGTTTGCAGGTACCTGTTTTCCAAAGCAGGTACCCGGAAACAGGTGTCGGGTGTAGGTGCAGGTGTCAACATTTGCGGTAAAAACAGGTGAGGGTGTCAACATTTGCGGTAAAAAAAGGCAGGTACCCGGGTACCCGCCTTACACCCGCCCTGGGAATGCTTCCCCTGAAATTGGTGGTCCAACACTCCCTCTTTTGGGTGTGTTGGGCTGCACAAAGGTGTCAGCAACCCATGTAGGACACCAGCTGGTGTCTTACATGTGTTGCTGAACTAATCTGGTTGCTTTGTTGAGGCCAGAGGGTTCCCTCCGGCCTTTGAGATGGTGTACCGTCTTTATGACTGGAGGAATTCCTCCAGTCATCAAGACTGTACACCATCTCAAAGGCCGGAGGGAACCCTCCGGCAACGGTGGGCCAGTTACACTAACCGTAGTGTTAGTGTAGTGTAGTGTTAGCTTTTTAAGCTACACTACACAAAAGTTACCGTTAGTGGGAATTTTTGGCCCACTAACACTACAGGATTTTTGAAAAACAAAAAAACAACTTTAGCGTAGTGTTAGCTACCTTCAAAAAGGCACAACTAACACTAACCAAAATCCTGTTAGTGAAATTTTAGCGGTGTTAGTGGGTGAACCCACTACACTACATGTTAGTGTAACTTTTTGCAAAGTTACACTAACAGTTAGTGTAGTGGTACCCTCAGTTACACTAACTGTTAGCGTAACTGGTGAAAAAGTTACACTAACTGTTAGTGTAACTGATTAAAAGTTACACTAACTGTTAGTGTAACTGACTATGTAGTTACATGACCACATGACTAGCGCTAGTCTACCCTGAAGACAGTGCCTGATTGGGGGGCCTACATCCAGATCCCCTCAATTGATCATCATTTTTTTTCAGTTGGTACTGGGGGCCACTCAATTTTAGCCCCCTGCCATTTTTAATTTACTGGGTTCCATTCCCACACTTACTTGTGTTCAATTTCCACTTTGACATCATGCAGCAAGGGGTGTGTGTGTGTGTTGAGGTGTATGATATTCTGCTACCATTATGTATCACCAGAGTGTGGTGGAGCTGTGGGCATGGGCCATGACAACTACCACCCAACTGACCTGGCAAACACAAGCATTTGTAGCCTACACAGCTGTCACAGGGATGTCGCACGCAGTCTGCTGCGACACCCGCGGCAAGGGGCCCCCCTTACTGCGGGTGTCGCAGCAGACTGTATGTGACATCCGATCGCTAGCTGTGCTAGTTGGTAAAGGAAGCACTCTTGTATGTGACTCAGCATTGCTGAGGTTGTGAGTTCAAATCTCACCAGGCACATCCTCAGTTTGTTTTTCTCCACATCTTGTGCTGTTCATATTCTGCGGGATTGTGTGCGATCACGGGACATTGAAAATCGTCACCGTGGACCTTGGCCGTATCAGTCATATGAAAATTTCACATAAGTTGTGCAAAAATCCAGCTTGACACATCAATTTCTTTAATTGATGAGGCACAAGTTACACTACACTACATGTGTAGCGTAACTAGGCATGTAGTGTAGCGTAGCGTAGCTTAATTTGGTATAAGTTACGCTAAATGTTAGCATCAACTCAGTTACGCTGCTGGTTAGTGGAAGTTTTGTTAGCTTGGAAAAAGTTACGCTACTTGTTAGTTTAGTGGCAATTATTTCAAGCTAACACTAAAAAAAATTTGAGGGAAAAATTTCACGCTACGCTGGCAGTTAGCTCAGCGGTGTGTAGCGTGAACTAACACTACAGGATTTCCAGCAAAAAAAAAAGCAACTACGCTAACATGTAGTGGCCAAATAGCGTAGTGTAGCGTAGCGGCCCACCGTTGCCTCCGGCCTCAACAAAGCAACCAGATTAGTTCAGCAACACATGTAAGACACCAGCTGGTGTCCTACATGGGTTGCTGACACCTTTGTGCAGCCCAAAACACCCAAGAAAGGGAGTGTTGGACCACCAATGATAAATTAAATTCTTCAGGGGAAGCAATCCCAGGGCGGGTGTAAGGCAGGTACCCGGGTACCTGCCTTCTTTTTACCGCAAATGTTGACACCCGCACCCGCACCTGTTTTTACCCCAAATGTTGACACCCGCACCCGGTACCTGTTTCCGGGTACCTGCTTTGGAAAACAGGTACCTGCAAACGGGTACCGGGTACCTGCTGACATCTCTATGCTGGATATCTATGTTGTCAGGGTATGGGCAGGGTGGAATCTGGTCCTGAGGCACCAGATTGTATTCCTATAAGTTCCTATACAAATTCACCAATAAGAGCATCTCCAATACGTGTGGTATATCTGGGGTGGTAAATGGTGGATATACCACCCAAGTTCCAGATTTAACAACTGAGTTCTGCCACATGCACCACCAAAAAGTGGTAAAACCAGAGATAAACCTTCATGAAAGGTCAATCCCCATTGCCATCCATCACCCCCAAGTGTTAATCCTATCAAGCTAGCACTCTTTGACTTCAAACATCCCAAACGCTTGGATCCTCGGAGACCTCAACCCAGGAGGAGCTTAGCCAAGCATCCTTGTGATCTTGATAGGTGGGTCCCTTCTTTTACTTTTCTTTCTTTTCCCCTTTGGTGTTTGTTTGGTCTGGATCAAAAAGAAAAAAATAAGCAACAGAGATTTGAACAAAAGAGCACAACTTGTGCATACCTTCAGGTTCATCTATGTTGATGACCAAGAGCGGATCCGATGCGGGAGTAGGCATAGTACTAGTCAACATTGTTGTGTTGTTGGTAGTCAAAGGATGCTCGTATATACACAACCGCCCGAGAGTAGAGATATTGGGCATGGACGTGTTGTTGAAGATTGGGGTTTCACGAGATGGAGGGTGAATATCACGGATCCCACAGCGGTATGAAGGGAGGTACCAGGGTGGTAGTCTGTAGATCTACCACCTTGGTACATTTTTTGGACTGAAAATGTAGCTTATAACCTAGGGTTCCGATCCGGGCCTCCGGGTTTGAGTATCGCCTTTCCAAGATCCGAACCCAACATATCCAGCTCCAACTCCGGGTACCCGACAGATCTGAGCCTCCAGCCCAAACTTCCCCAAGCGGTTTGGGAGAGCTCAAAACTAACTTTTGATTTAGAAAAAAAAAAACTTGAAAAAAAGGGTCCAAAACCCTGAATTTCTGCCATAAAGGGCCGGAGTTTAGGCATAAAAATACCCCATCGGATACCGGGTATGTCTAGAGTCATCCCGTGACCCAACTCGACCCGGTATCCGGTCGGGTAGCGCCGAATCTTCGGGGTCCGGATCGGAACCCTATTATAACCACCCTTGGTGGCGGGGTGTTTTGTGAATTGGGGCGGTAAACGGGGCTTACAACCCCGATTTACCCCCCGCGGTGGAGATGCTCTAACAGCTGATGCTTCCAGAAATCTATCACTTTCGGACTCTTTCGGATCACTGCATCTCTCAGGGGTCAGCAAGCAGATCTCTGGATCATCGGAGGCCAAGCGGGATAAGGTGCGAAAGTTGACGTGATGGAAATAAATCAAAAGATTTTATGCCAATACGTAAATAAATAAATACACATCCTTGTCGTGGCAGTTGGCGATGCCCCGAGATGCCTCCAGGCATACGCTAAAGCCAAGCGTTCCTAACTCTCTGCCGGCCGGAACGACCCTTCGTTCTGGCAACTGAGTCTTGTTGTCCAGTCGAGACTTGTTTTCAAAGCCTTCGAGTAGCCTGGAGCTGTTAAAGGCCGAATACATTTATCCATCAAGTCTCGTTGGTGAAAAAAATTCTCAACTGACCGACACCTTTTCCTTCCCATCACTATCAGGATCAATTTTGTATTCTCTTGAACGAACCTCAGTCAATTTTATTCAATCTTTATATCATGAATACTAACAATACTTTGGCCCCTGCTGGCACCCCCTCGAGATCCTCAGTAACTCCAAAATCTCAGTTGACCGATCAAGCTTCGACAGACGACCAAGTTCCCAGCCCGACTTCCCCTGAAATTGAATTACCCAGTCTAATCTTCGCCATCCCGTTTCCTCGGGCTGTCGAAGGCTACCAGGCAACCAAAGAGACTCCTCCTTTTCTACTTTAGTCAGTCATTTTTTCCTGATGATTATTCGATTTTGAAACGCCGTCTGATGCAAGCTTCTTTACTTCACCTTATGTAGTACTTTCCCTCGTTCGGTGTACGAAAAACCTCCTAAAGATCCAGTAACCGGCAAACGAAACGAGAAACTTTTGAAAAAAGTCGAGCGCAAATGGCAAGAAGAAGTCAAGGAAGGTGAAGATATTAAGAGAGGTGAGGTGAAAGAAGCGGGTGTATGGCCAAGGTTTAAAGGTGCACTCATTCGCGTAAGTGTGAAATTTCTCTGGATGTTGGCGCCGAAATTCGTCCCGAGTTCTCAAACCGAGAGACCTTCTTCATAGTGGTCATTTATTATTTCATTGACTAATCTGAAAAGAAATGCACTTGGAATTGAGTGTTTAGGATGCAGCAGCGGCTATTAAATATATGCCTTCCAACGCGATGGAGGCTCTGGCGCGCTTACCACCCAAAACAAAACTTGGCAAGGTCAGTAAGCTTTTCCCGTATGATCTGAATCGGAATCCCACTTTTATTCTTATGCTAAGTATGTTCTTTAATACAGCTTACGATCGTTTATCCGGTCTCAACAAACTCCTCACATGTTATAGATGTAAATTATCAGGGTGAAAATGAAATAGAAGAGAACTTTCTAAATCTCTTGTATAAAGCTAGGAAGAAGGCACGAACACAAACTCTTATGTAAGTACATTATTTTCTTGTGGGTAAAATCAGGGTGTATGAGAGCAATGAATGACTGATTGACTTAATTTCTTCAGATCAGGATGTCTACTGCCGTTAACATTGGCAATGTGAGTGCTTATCCATTTTTCTTCAAGGAGTTGCCCTCTTGATTTCGACAGGTAAATAAATAGTGCTAATGGTCTCGGGTCTTGATGGCTGTTACCATCTGGATGTAATAGTGACGTTTTCGTAGTCGTGCCATTATTTTTATTTGAGATCAACCTGGCATATTTTTCCGTCCAAGTGTCAGGTGAGTAGCATGGGTTCACAACTTCAGCAGTCGAGTTAAATCGAATAAAAAGCACATGCTGACCGTCATTTGCTTGGATCGTACAACAGGAGTGCAAAAGGCGGGACTTCTCTCGGATTTCGAGAAAAAGAAAACGACTAAGCATGTATCGGACAGGTCTTCTCACCGCAGGAATGACGAAATCACCACGGATGAATGCCCGGAAGAAGATGAGAGGGCTCGCTCTCCATTCGATTTTGAAGTCGCTAAACCTGGAACATTCGACCGGACGATCGAACATCTATACAACATTTGCTCCGAGCTAGATCCTCTCAAGTTCCCCCTGAAGGACAGCTTACCGATGCCGACATACTTACCAAGCAAAGATATCGCTACAACGCTGGTCGAAATATTCAAAGAATCCCTACCTCAAGAAGTTATGACTCGACATGTACTTGATGAGCAACTTGCTGCAGAAGACTTGGATCGTGCACTCAGAAAAGCTGCAAAAGAATATGTGAACTCTATCAAAGGTATCAATGAGAGCAATACCTGCGCCATACAAGAATTCTTTGCACGAAAGTACTAAAGCAGCAAGACTTGAACCCAGGACGCCTAGATGGACCTTTCTCCAAGTATAACAATAGAACTCATTCATATTCTGTGCCGGCCTTTTTTTCAATTTTGATGATTTTTCTACAAGCTAACAAACTCATAAGAATGCCTGTATTGCTAGTTGACCTTTTTGTGTGTATTCCAATTTTATGTAAATATCGGTTCAAAACTTCCTAAAATGTTAAAAAACTTATTTTCATAGGGTGCACCAGTATATAAGTTGATCGAGTTGGTTCTTCCTTAAATTATATTGTATCTTATCTTGCCCAACATGATAAATTATATTCTTTTATCTGTCTCTAATCTACCTTTGTATTGCTGGTTATCATCCACTATTAATTAGTATCACTTGTTGTTCAGTAAGGCCACATTTATCAGTGTCACATCTTTGTGTCATAAATTTGGCAACAGGTCAAAAATATGGGATAAGTACAAATTTTCACTGCAACACTTGGAGATTCCACCTGATTTCCAAACATTGATGATGCAACAAATGGGGCAAAGATTTTCAAATGACTCAAGCAAGATCATTCAAATCAACACATGCAGTTCAAGTTTCAAAAAAAAACTGAAAAGCCTTCAAATATTTTGTGTTGTAAATATCAGGAAGCTGTGGGTAGAATTTATTGAGACCACACAAAGTTGCCCTGAGCTCCCTCCCTGTGCTGCCTCTAACTTAACTTGATCCCCCTAGTTGGAGGGGCCTTGCCCCACTGGGACCCTCCAAAGTACAGAATTATGCCCTAAGTTGCCCCTCCTGCCTGATAGAATCAGAAAAATTGGACTTTGTTGTTGTGTCAATTTAGGGTCTCCTTTTCTCATTTGCTGACAACAAAACTCAACCACCAATTACTGGTGGTGCATTCCCACAAGATTATCTTGGTCCCCTGCATGAACTTATGAGGTCCCTCAATTCTTGCCAGCTTTGGCTTTCTTTGATTACATTCCTCTGAAGCAATTTTGGCAAGCATCCTGTACTGGGTGCCACATCTAAAATGAGATACACAAATTGTGAATATAGATGGCACTTGTCACCTGCCACAGCTTCAAACAATTCCCTGGACACCACCAACCACCAGCTGTGCATGTGAAGGGTGTATTACTGTCAAAATCCAGTTCTGTATGCTCCACCTTCACATCTGGTGGATGGAAGTGTCCAGGGCACCTTCTGAAAGTGTGGTGGTTAGCTGCCCGTAGGTGCCAAGTGCCATCTCTATTATGTAATAAGGTTGTGAAGTCCTGATCTAACTTAACTAAGTCCTTGCCCCCCTTTGCCAGAGTGGTAAACCACTTTTTGCATTGTGGACCAGAGGGAGGGACTTGCATCTAAAGTCAACTCTTCAGCCTGAGAGCATTAGGTGTTTTAGCTGGGAGTTTTTTATAATCAGCCTCATACAAATTTGGCTGATTATTTTTACCTCTAGTCCCCACTTGAGGGATCTTCAAAGCTGTCCCCATCTATTTTCTACTTTTGCTAATGGTAAACACATCTCCTTGATGAATAATGATGACTGTAGCATTGCCAATTTCAGATGCCATACAGTGCAAAACGTGGGATGCAGGATGAAGCAGGAGAATTGTAGTCACAAAAAAGACAAGTTGAATGCCACTCAAGGACGTAAAATTAAGAAAAATATGGAATGATTCTCAATGATCTTGTGCATCTTTTGCTTCCCCAAAGCATGATCATCCGCTGGAAAATGGTGCTGCTACACATGATTGAAAAAGACAGATTTCATAAATTCTCTCAGGCCACAGGGTTGACTTAGTGCATAAGTCCCTCCAAAGAGGGTCCCTGAGGGACAGTGTTCCCCCTCAAATTGGAGGGACTTAGTTAAGTTAGGTTCCTCATTCCAAAATGTGGCACTCAATTAATCTGTAGCTTGTAAACAGGACTGGGTTTTGCAGTCCTGATTATGAAATGTGTTATTCAATCTACAGGCAGAGGCACAGCAACTGCAGATTGAATTTCATGTTTTGTAATCAGGACGGCACACCTCAACTAAATAACATGAATTGCTTTTGAACGTGGTAACAGTGATTGAAACTTGACACCATGATATTCCATGTAGATACAGTTCAGAAGTGTTCAGAACATTTGATTTAACCTCAATACATTTGACATCTCCTATAGACTAAAATATTGGAGCCAATGATTGTTCATAAATCTGATGGGTTATAATGGATCCAGGGAATTGCTAAAAAAGATAGAGATGAGCTTGGCAGTCATGAAAATGAAAACAACGGAAAAATTAAACTTTTGAGAATTGTGTGAGATTGATTAGGAAAAACTTCCCTGACAAATATCTTAAAGCTCTCAGAGCAACCACATTGGTGGGTGGTCCAAGATCAGATTAGTGTTACTAGTCCAAGCTAATCCAAACCCTCAACCACGCCAGGTCCAATTTAATTGGACTGAACTACTCCCAGAGTAGCATTTAAGCTAAGCAGGAGTAAAGTTACTCCTTGCTATTACTAATCCTGAGATTAAGAGCCAGTTGCATTCTACAACACACATGCCTGGCTACTCCCAGGTTTACACCTTACAGATGTGATTGACAACATGGAGTAGCACTAATCCAGGAGTAAGCTACTCCGCGCCAATGTGGTTGCTCTCAGGCTGCAGGGTCAACTTTGGTTGTAAGTCCCTCCCTCCAGTTGATGCACCAATGCAGAAAGTGGTTTACCACTCTGACAAAGGGGAGCAAGGACTTAGTTGAGCTATGTGCTGTCTTGTAAGCAAGTGTCATTGTCAAACTAGCCCCAAGATCCACTCAAATAGGCTGGTCAATTCATGAGTACAGACCCTTCAAAAATTCAAGATGTCACCTGGATAAAGCATGACTGTTATTTGAGGTCTGCTTGGAATCTACTTTGTTTCCCAGAAATTTGAAAACATCAGTCACTGTCATACCGATTTGGTTGTCCATTACATATAGTTCCTCGAGTTGAAAATGAAAGCATTACTTCAAGTAGTACAACATATTTTTTGACAGGTTTCGTTATGCCTGTGCATGGCTGACATGAAATGAAAGCATAACAAAAATATATAAGTGATAAAATAAGGATTTAGAAATAAAAAATAATTAAAGGGTCACTTGATGTGAAAGAAGTATATTTTCAGTACAAGGCTGGCTGGGCAAGTGAATGCTTCACTTCTTTTTCTTCTTAAGTGTCTTAACATACTCTTTTGTACGTCTATTGACGAATCTATTAAAGTCTTCAGCAATTCTCCTTTCGTTGAACTCGTGCCGAGCATGTATGTTGACGGGTAAATATTCTTGAAATGTTTTGATCAGGAGTGATGCGATTTCGGTATGAGGCACTGCTTTGGGCTGATGGCTTTGATTGCCTGAAGGAAGCGTTGGCCGAGCGATTTCGCTCGTCGGAACTGGACTAGTGGGTGCTTGATTCGTGTCGAAACGGGTTGTGATTTTTTGACCTCTATGAAGCTCTGGAGGCATTGCCTTAGCTACGCCAGGCGGCGCTGATATCGCTACACTGGAGCTTGATCTAGTGTTGGACGGTACTGAAGTTGCTGCAACGAGGGTTGGTTCAATTTTGGCAAGCTCTTTGTTGACAACAACGTCGGCGCCCCGTCGGGAATGCGGGGCGCGTTTTTCTGTTTCTCCGCCTAGGCCACAGTCAGCTTCATTATCTTCATCCGAAGCAGGTATCGTGATCACTATTCCGTCAAAACTTGATTTAGTTTTACTCGGGATGTCCTTCTCGATTTTAGCTGTGCTCAAGATGCCCGTATTGATAATGATTGGTACTGACTCTAACTCAGCTTTGCGGTCTGGAACAGAAACAGGCTTGATCACCGTAGATTGACTATTGTCCTTTGTGTCGCGCGTACATTGGTGAACGGCGGTACAGTCGATTACGATGTCTTGTCTTGTGAAAGCCTCCACGCTTGGTGTGTTCTCTTTGAGGCATGGAAACTTCAGGGGGTCGTGTTTAGAACAACTTCGGTAAATGAGCTCATTGAGCTTCTGGAATTTCGCAACTTCTCCGACTTGAAGTTCAAGTTTATCACGCGATGATTTCGTCACGACGGGGTTTCCCGTTTCTAAGTCATTCGGGGTTCGTGTGGGTTGAATTGCTTGATCATTATTGCGTTCAACCAAAAATTTGGCTTTTTTCCAACCTTGACACATGCCGTTGTTATCGAGGTAGATTCAAAAAGATAAAATAGATCAGAGACCAGTTCCAATCTCAGTTGATAAGAAAAGCGACGTGGATGGGTATTGAGCTGAAATAGAACTCACTTCGCCATTGAACTACAAAGAAAACCAAGGTAATTTCGAAAACTAGCGGCACATAAATCTCACTTCAAAAAATGAAAGGATGATCAAGTGGATGTTCACTCCGTGCAGTGATGATGGTGAAGGTGTGGAATCAGTTAGAAACTAACTTACGCTGCTAAGGCCGCAGGTAGCAAACAGCCAGAACTACGTATTTCGATTGAGGGCAAAAACGTTATTTTTTTGAGTTTGAAATTAGCTTACAACCCACATTCGTGGTAAGTGAATATCATATACTAAACTTACATGATAGCACGTATCTTAGCTTGTTTCCTGGCCTGTGACAAAGCATTCATGATACTTTTTCTTGCTTGATCGTCTGTGAGGGATACTGGTTTGGTTTTCTGCAGCATGTGGGACTTATCCGAGACAAATGAAGTCTTTGAATAAAGAATTTGTATCTATTTAAGAATACGATTCAGAAATGGCTCAAGACTGTAATTAGGTTGTGCATGGAGATGAGAAGGAATCGAGATTGAAAAAAGGAAGACGGGCTTAACTGGACCAATCTTTCTTAGCGGTGGCAATCGAGCTAACATCTGTGCATCACTGATGGTGATGAACCTCAAACAAGCCGCCATAAACTGGTACACAATGAATTTGTGTGGATTGACAGGTTAGCAAGTCAATAACGAAGGTCACCTGGTTTGAGAAGCAGGATTCAGGCCAAAATCGAGAAAATTTAATGAGAAACAAACCCAAAAAGCCCCACCAATAAATTTTTTCATCCAGGTCGGACGTGGATAATCTCCCCGTTTGATATCTTCAGCTTGCTGAATTGATTTCTGCCAACTTCTCTGGATCTTCTTAACTATTTTCTCCCTTGGCCTTTTGTCAGTTTCGGAGTTTTTGGGCGGTTTTTCGTAGACGGATCGGGGTAATGTACTAGTATTCATGCATTTTTGAAGAATGTTAAACTTAAAGTCAGTTAAAAAAGAAAAGGCGGCGGCTCTTTGGGGACTGACTAGAGGAGAAGCGGTGCCGTTGGATTATCAGGCAGGTAGTAATCGTCTGTTGGTTTAGGCAGAGGTATAGCAAATATCAAACTTGCGAAAACCTCCTCTTCCGAGGAGTTGATTGTAGTGCTGGAAGACTGGGTAGATGCTGAGGGTTTTTGATGGCATGCTTTGATATCTTCTTCCTCTTCAGGGGATAATTCGATGATTTGTTGATTGAATCCAGTCGCAGCTACTGAGGTTCCCTTCACTTTGGAAAAAATCATGACAGAGGATACTGGTGTATGAAGTTATGAGCTCGTCTTTTTTTATTTCGTCCTTGTATTTATTGACCTTCTTCCTACGAATTACTTTGACTTCCAAAGAGAAACAGGCATGGACCAGTCAAGGGTTGGGGCAGATGAATGAACAAGGTTAGGTTTCTCGAGTTGCAGAAGCGTGCAGGTCCGATGAAAAGAAACGCGCAGCTGTAGTTCCAAGAAATATTATGTGGTCCGATTAGAATCGCAAGATCTGGCAAAAATGCAATTTGATGAAAGGCACGTATACATGGGACAAACACGGGCTCGGATGCTCGCTACATAGCACTGAGCAGCGCCGAACTATAGGGTATTCGGAGCAGGAAGGTCGGATTTGGAGAAATTTGGACAGATCCATAGCAATTGGTGTGAGAAAGGGAGACTCTCAAGGATTCATGGGAGCCGACTCCCGAGTCAGCATGATCGACCAGAAGTCGAGAGCCAAAGAGGGAATGCAAAACTGCAAGATTCCCATCGGCAAACCTGACACCGCGATTCTATCAAGGTCGGTCGGTTGCCTTGCACACCGGTCCGGACCTCGTCAAGACGGTCCATATCATCCGCGACCTCCATGTACCTCCGGTGTAAATTGAAGCCATCCAAACTCCTCAGTACCTGCAACAGCCATACAGAAGCACTATTCCTGGGGTGGAAACGTGGCTATAATTGTCAATTGGTATTCTAAACATGAATGGTTGAGAGTAGACCTTGTTGCTGTTTCATTCTTCTGAGCTCATATAGGAGTATATAACCACGGGATCTTTCAAATGAAACCCATTCAGAGTGGGTATCCAAAATAAACATTCCAATTATGTGAGAGTAGAGGTGCAAGACATAAATTTATAAGGTCTTTGTGTCACATCTGCCAAAGAAATGGAGTGATTGTATCCAAAACAAATCCTTTTGAGGTTGATTTTCTTGTTGAAGATTCTGTGATCAAGAATCAAGGAGGTTGACCTACCATTCAAAGGTCTTATAATCTGCATACTGCATAAGCAGATGGACACCTATGGACACTCCACATACTCTGAAATGGCTCTTATAATCTGATCATGAATGAGGGATCTCGAAAAGTCACCCATTTGGCCAGGCTTTATACTGTAGGATTGAATTTCAAAGAATGATCATTTTTTCTGTTGTCTGTACAAAAGTTGAAAACAAGGGGAGAGGTCTGGTGTTGAAATGCTTCATTTTTGGGCAGCATATAAATGGCCTTTGGTGATGGTCACCTTTGATTAATATGAGGAATTTGAGGAAGATAAATCAGAATTTTCATGCCATAAAGCCCCAAGTTTCCCATAGAGTTTTGAGTTCTTCTTTTGAATCCTATCACATACCACAGTCCTTTTGAACCAACCTCACATTCAAATTTTACATATGTGAACAGAATGGTGAGCCACAAGCACATTGGTATCTCATTATGAAGTATGTAGGCTAAGGGCTCAGTGATGTGGCTCCTTGCGTTTACTTTATTTCTTGAACCTGAATCAGTGGATGACTTCAACAACTGTCTTGAATTTTGATGATGGCACTTCATCAAGTTTGGGTGCATTAATCCCTTGATCAAGCTGAGAGTTGACTGGCCGGAACTTGATGAACAGATGTGCACAATATTTCTGGTGCATCATTTTGAATCTCTCCAAGTGACTCAACGTTGATTACGTTGGAGGATGGATGGATGTGTTTTCGAAGAGGTTATGTTGCAGTTGCGCCATCTCGAAGAGCTCAATGTGCATGGAGGGGACAACTTGTACAAATATATTTCACCCTCATAATTTTTCTATGCGTAACTTGTGGACAGTGGGAGTCAGGCCAATGTGACCCAAACCGTCGAAGCCAGCTGATCTGCCATACACCCTAAAAACAATTGATGGTGACTCTGAGCCAGATTGAGGCAGCAAGCAGTCTCGATAGCACTTCGATGGTGTTTTCCCATTTCTTTCGACTGACCAGCAGCTCGAGCCCTTTTCCCCCCCTGGAGAAAAGTTGCTTCGAAAGAGCTCTAATTAGCTTTGATTCCCGGCCTGCAGAGTCTTTTGGTGGGAAGTGAGCCTTCAATCCGACTTGGCTGATTGCCCCCATCATCGGACTTCCTCCGAGGAAAGCCTAGTGTTGGCAATCCCACTGCCTCCCTTGCCTGCCCTCTAATCCGAATCCTCTGTTGTTATCTCCACGCCCCCCCTCCCTCGTCCTCCTCCGATTTAGAATAGGCTGGCTCAGTCTTGGAGACTCCTTCATCCACCTTCACAACCCGGCCAAGTCTTGATCCATCGCTCGCTGCCACTCCGCAACCGTCAAGAGTGATCAGCTGCTGGATCGTTGAGAGCACTCAGTTGGTTGGTTGTGAATCAACAACCTTGGACTTGCCTTGGTTAGAGCAATCAACCACAAACAAGCACGCTGCTCTCCTCCAATCAAAAGCCCGGAGGTATCTACACCTTCAGCCTTCCCTTCAATCCCTCCCAGTAACTTCACGTAGCATAGTTAGTCAAGTGTACCACATATTTCTCACTTGTTTTGCCCTTTTTCTTGTCTTTTTTTGATTTCTCCACAGTTAATTTCATACATCCCTTCGACCCTTGTTACTAACCTGCCATGGCGTCCTCCAGCACGAACCCTTCCCCACTCCCACCCATCAAAACCGAGATCGACTCTCAGCCAAAGAAGGCCTCCCCAGGTGGAGGTTCACGCAGCTCGCTCCAAAACTCAGACTTCCTAGCAAACTTACCTCCTCCCAGACACCCAATGTCTTATCGAACTTCCCCTACCCAAGAACGCGGCCAGGTCATCCCATCAGGTGGCCCAGCCCCTTTGACCGATGGAAACAACAGCAATCGCAGCTCGTCTGCCTCCTCCTCTAACCATTGGACATCAACCGTCGCGGCTACTAAGGGACCCTTACCCAGTGTCATCTTTGCTATTCCATTCCCCGAGCCCGGCCCCATGCTCCGCAAGACTTCCAAGACTCCCATGTTCATGATATAGTTGAGTATTTTTCTATCTTTACCTTGAACCATACCAATGAGAAAACAGAGCAGCATAGGATGTTTCGAGAGCCGCACTCTCGTAGCTCCGAATCAGCATGAATTCTCACAAACAAAACAACAAACAAACAAACAAATCTGACTTTGTTGTTGACCTTGTTTTCAGCACGCCGCCGAGAGCTGTCTACGTAAAGCCCAAGCCAATCAACGGTAAGAAGGAGAAGGAAGGATTGATCAAGAAAGTTGAGCGAAAATGGCAAGAAGAAGTCCAGGAGGGAACCGATGTCAAGGCCGGAAGGGTCGAGAATCCATCCGGTTGGAAAAAGTTTAAGGGCACCGTTATCACTGTAAGCTCACTTTTCCATCTCTCAATTTAAACCCGCATACATCCAGCGCAAGAGAACATCATTTTTAATCAACCGTGACCTCAACTTGATGCTTCAAAGGCGGCTTCTAAGGCTTTAAGTTGGCTTCCAGACAGCAGCATCCAAACGGTCGGCCGTTTACCACCGGGAAAAAAGATCGGCTTGGTGAGCTTGAATCCTCCATCCATACTTCGACCCAGGATCCTGATCCTGGTCGTTCCAAGACTCATGGGCGTTGACGTTGATTTGTTCGATATACATAGATTACCGTTGTTTATCCACATGAGGACGATGATCTGACCTCCAGACCCGTCGATCGACAACCTCAGGATGTCAGACAAGGTCTCGAAGACCTCCTCAAACGGACTCGTCGAGCAGCGATGCTTAAGACTGGAGTGTGAGTCATGATTCCTTCACCGAGCCATATGTGACACTCTTCAACTCATCTTGATCTTCCTCCGCTCATGCAATGGGTTTTTTTTCATGTCGTCTAGGTCTGGTGTGTTACTACCTGTTACAGCGGCGATGTGAGTTTCAAATTTCCAACTCCCATTTCACTTTTCGTTTTCTTGCTTGTAGCAAATAACTGACTCAGATTAAAAATTCCAGTGACACATTGTGTATCGTACCGCTCTTCATCTTCGAAATCAACATTGTCTATTTCAGTCTTCAAGTCAATGGTAAGTCACAACGTATCATCCCAGAAATCAAGAAGAAATGAGCGAAGCATAACTAACCATGTTTTTTTGTGACCCGAATAGGTGCCAGGAAGATAGCGATGCTGACCCATGCGGACTCGAAAGCGAAGAAGCACGGAGCGAAGAGAAATGTGGGCACGAAATCAGGAAAGTTTCAGAGGCTGAAGCAGAAGTGTCGACGGGGCGGGCGGAAGGCTGAGCCAGAGCCGGAAGCGGAGCCAGAGCCGGAGCCGCACCCGGCCTCGCCGCCGTTACCGAACGAGCCCACGCCGGGAGAGATCTTCAACGTCCAAAAGTCGCGTCCCAATGTCTTCCAACCGGTGATGGCCAACCTTTATGCACTATGCTCCGCCGCCGACCCGGTCGCGTTCCCTTCCAAGCCTAAGGGCTCACTCGTCCCGCCCTATCGTCCCGACCAGCCTATGGTCGTCGACCTCATCGCCGCCTTCAAGGATTGGGTCCCCGCTGATGTCGCTTTGAGACACAACCTCGACCCCCAAGTCGTCGCTAAAGACCTGCGTCAAAGTATGAAGAAAGCTACAAAGGCCTACATGCGTACCTTGAAACCCGTCAAATCCACCTCGTAATCAATCAGCTCTTTTTCTGCTGCACTGCAGCCTTCTTCCTCTTTCTCATCCTTTTGCCCTTGTAATCTTTTATCTCACTTTGAGATTCTTTTTGTACCAGCAATTACATAAGCCTACTTTTCTTTCTCTGTGTCTCATTTTTTTTCCTGTGTTACCATTCCATTTCACCCTTGTTTTTTTTTTAATTTGGAGAAGAAGAAATTTTTGCTGTATGCATACATATATGAACACTTGTTTGATCTTGCTTTTCTTGTCTCTAATTCTCCCAACTTTTGCATCTATGATACATGTACGTAAAAAAACCAAAACCTCAATATTATGACCAGAACATGGTTTTACTACAGGACAAAGCTACTAGCTCCTTATACTTCTGGGAGAAGACTTGAGCCTATCACTGATGGTTCCCATCATTGACCAATTCTGTTGCAACAACCTTGAAGACCAGACAAAGTTGCAAAATTGTGTGAAAAAACGATTTTTTTCAGAAGCTTTGATACAGCAGATGTAGGTATGCTTACAGATTTTTACAAAAAACAATCTAAGCAAACAAAGAAAAAAAATGACTTCCAAAAAAAAACTTTTTTAGCCTATGGGGATAGTATTGAGTGTGGGAAAATCAGGACCACTGAACTATCTGCTATTTCAAAGTGAGAATTTAGACAGATCCCAACAGGAAGAAACCTGACCTTTGAATTTAAAAATCCTTTTTTTTTGTGCAGCCAAACCTTTTTATATTGTGATGCAAAAACCCCAAGTGTACCTGGATCTGCTGCATTCATTTTGGGGAAGTGGGAGGGCTTGGGGCTGGGGACTTCCTGAGACAGGCCCCTAGCAGTCCTTCCAACAACTCCCAAATTTGGGAGTTTATCCTCTCCAATTTGGGTGTCTATCATCTCAAATTTGGGGTTTAATCCTCCCCAATTTGGGTGTCTATCCTCTCAAATTTGGGAGTAAATTAACCAAGACCGTTTGACTATAGCTGATGGCCAGATGTAGGGTGTGAGCCCCATGAATACAATGTCAGCTGTCAGCAAGTGACATCACTTTTTTTTTCATGGTAGAGGGGGCTCAAGCCTCAAGTGTTAGGCACAGTTTGCATTAGGGGAGAACTGATGAAGATTTCATTTTCTATGTCCCAGTTGATGCTAGAGATTGTTTGTTTGGACCTGTTGAGGGGTACCTGCCACACTTCAAAACACTCCCTCCACACCCTCAGACACCACTGATGCTTCCAGAGGGTTCAGTAATGATGAAGGTTTAGTACTGGCCCCCCCACTGGTATTTATGGTGGCTGTTGATGTGGAGGGCTTGATCTGAAGTGTGGCAGGTACCCCCCAACAGGTCTGAACAAACAATCTCTAGTTGATGCAAAAATGAGCCACTACGTTTTTTGCCCACAAAGTGTTAGCATAGCAATTTTTTACATGTGGGAAATTGTGTAGTTTTAGCAAGAAGTTAGTAGCTTTTTGCTATGGTGTGGGATGCTAATGGCCGCTGCAGGGACAAAATGCTGCTAACCAGAGTGTTAGCACAGCATAGGGGCACTCTTTGGGGGCCTGCGCGCATAGTGTCAGCATGGAGCTATGCTGTAATAAAGTTTAGTGGAATTCTGCTGTGTTATGCTGCACTAGCACTACAGTTAGCATAACTGGCCCACCACTGGTTTACGTATTCAATAGGCTAAGCACAAGTGGTTAAGAAATGGTTATCAAGTAATGAATAAAACCAGATATTTTAAAAACAAATAAGAACAGCAAGGAGAGATTTGGCTAATAAGTCTTGAATGAGCTCATCCAGCCACCAAACAAGGTTTCAATGGAAAACTTGAGTCCAACAGGTGGCTACTAACATTCTAGTCGAGAGAAATAGACAAATGATTCAAGAGTTAGTGATTGGTTTAAGTAAAAACAGGATGAGAATTTCAACAATTTTCCTTGTTAGAAGTCTTTCTTCACCTGCACTGGAACTCTGTGCTTTGAAAGCAAATCCGCATAGGATATCAAATTATCACTTTATGAAGTCTTTCTCTACCTGTATTGGCACTCCGTTCTTCAAAAGTAAATCCGCATAGGAGATCAATTTATCCCAAGTTTTATGGCTTAGGCCAAGATAATGTGAAGGCACTTTAGTCGATATTGCATGTTTGTTTGCTATCGTTCCAGCCCAGTCTGAAACCCAATGTGCTTTTCTCTCTAAAATGAAGGCCATTGCTTTCTCAAGTTGCCGTGTTTTTCTCCATGCTTTGAAGCGTGGAGAAGGTTCTAACAGAGAGAAACTTTTCGGAGTAGGTTTGACGGCTTTAGGTAAGGACATGTCGGGATTCAAGGACTTGTCTCTGTTGTTGATAATCTTCTTAGCAGCAGCCGAAGCTTTCCAATCCAGCGGCCACTCGGAGTAATTCGGTTGTTTTACTGGTGGCTTTGCTGAAGTTGAAGATGGCCGAGAATCAATTCCTGAGTCTGCAGGCTTAACTGGATCCTTCAAAACTTGTGTGTTGAGATGAGTGCTGTCCCCCACAGAAACAGGTTCTGCCTCTAAGGACTTAGTTCCAGCCATAACCGCTCCCGGTTCACCAGAGACAACCTTGCTTGGAATCTTGCTCCCTACTTTCAATCCTTTTGCGACGGACGTGGTGCCTCCTGTTGGAATTTCATCTCTTTTTCTTCTCATCCCTAAAAAACTCATCTATCCCACTGTTAAATTCAACATGATTTGATAAATAATTTACATGATTTTTACTTTGTTTTTGATAGTTTCTGCGTGATATTTTGTTATGTTGTCTAGTGCTGCAATCCTTGTAGTCTTCGAACCCTGGTCTAGTCTTTATCAACTTACACTTATTCCAGTCATCTTTTCGAGCATATGTTAATCTTTTTATTCATTTTGATATTCATTTTTCTCAACCACATGTTTCACCTCTTGTATGTAGACTATTTAACACGTAGTCTCCTCTAAGTAAAAAAACACATTGGCTCTCTCCCTCTTTTTTCGACCCTTGAGCCATTCCATCAAAAATTATTTTTTGTTGCCCAAAAATTCCCACCGTCTTCAGTCCAAATTTCATCACCTCCAAATGGTAATGCGACGGTTGTGTAGGCAATAAAAGACCAGATAAAGTACTCGACGGATTTGTGTCTGTTGATAAGCCGGAAGCCTGGACCTGAATGGAACCAGGATGATGTTATGGGTTTTTTTTGAATTTTTAAAAATGAATCACCATCAGATTGTTTGACAACAATTCAGGAGGCCTTTATCTGATTTAAAAAGGATTTTTTTGAGGGGGAGGGCATAACTAACCTTTTCATGTTTTTATTGGAGTACATCTGTTCAAATTGGTTAGGGTTTGGGATTGCAGGTGACACTTGGTAGCAAGAAGATAAGCAAATAAAATCAACGAAGTTCAGTGCTGGCTTTATAACCAAAAGTTGTGAGTGTGAATTGCTAGTGGGAGTTTGGGTGAGTGGTTAAGGTCTGTTTTTGAAGCTGCATAGATTTTCGGGCAAAAGATTAACAGATAATCTGGTGATAAGGAAGGAGTGATGGAAGCGTCGCCTGTCTAACACTACGGTTAGCGTAACTGGCCCACCGTTGCAATAGGGCCTGTTGAATTCTTACGGGCGTAGATAAATCAAGCCTTTTCCCCCACAGGGAATCACAATGTAGGAAAGATGGCTAGGTTGGTGTTGTGGGCCTCTAACTTTGTGGATGATTCGTGCTCATGACGAGAAGAAAAGAATAACTTAGGGGGGCAGTCAAGACTCAAGTGTGTGGTGCGGTCTGACAAGAAAGATCGATAAAACAAGCCTTAGGGACCCGATGAGTTATTGGGTGGCGACGGAGAACAAGTTTGGACAAAGATCTTACACAATTTGGCGGGTGCTCTCTGTCGCAGTTTCTTTCGATCAAACTTATCAACAAGGGCAATGTTGAACTCAGTCTGTTCTTTCCATCCCCGGGGTGTCTCCTTTGTTCACTCTCGGGGGCTCCGAGCTTGAGGCTGAGTAGCGCGATTCTTGTTGGCACGGGTTTCGAAATATTTTATTTTCTCAACTTCCACCACCAACCACGAGTCCACGACGAGGAACTTGATACACTCACGACCATCAGCATTCTTGACTCATGCCGTTCCCTCAATCTACCAACTTCGGTGGCTCCGGAAGCGGATCGCCACTCAACCTTAACCCATCCGTCGGTTCGGATGGCCCCAGACAGTACGCGGCTGGTTATATCTCGACAACCAGCACCGGCCATCACCACATGGATCACAGTCAGAGCATGAACGCTATCAGCCAGAAAAACAATCTGAACGATCAAGACGACTGGGTCTCAAGTCCTATCAATTCTAATCGGATCCGCACCGGTACCGGGCCAGGATCGGCTTCCAAAAGTCCATACCGCGGCTCAGGTGGCGGATTATTTGCCTTCAAAGAGTTAGTAACCACTCTACCACTTGCATTGCTTTTTCTGTAGTCATTCCACTGAACTTACACCTTCAAAACCAAAAGCTCCACTCCCCTCAAGTCATCTCGTAATTCTGGCCTGTTCGGATCTACAAGCAAGATGCCCAACTCGATTAAATCTAAACGGATCAGTGATGCGATGGAAGATGACGCTCCACCTAAGGAAAGTCTACTAGATGAGGAGGCATCCAATTCGAAATCCTCGCGACACGTGAGTCTGTCTGCCTGCTGAATGGGAAGTACTTTAAGGGTATCGGCCATTGAGATAATTTACTTCCCAATCAGGATCATTCTGGCCATCGTTCACTAGCCTCCTCATTGACCACCCACCTATCCAACCAAGCCAACAACCAATCCTCGCATGTCGACCAAGCTCCACAGACGAGCTCCTCGGTTGGATACAAGGTACACATTTTCGGATTCACGCCCTCGCAACAATCATTCGTGATGGAGCACTTCAGCTCGATCGGCGAGCTGGTCTGTCCCCCAGAGCTTTCGGCCGAGGGCGGGAACTGGGCGACACTGAGCTATAAGCACAACACGGCGGCCCAGCGGGCGGTGCGGAAGAACGGCGAGATCCTCGGGGGGATCATCATGATCGGCTGCAAGTTTGCCGACAACTCCTGCAGCCTCAACGATACCTACGACAGTAGGGCAGGATCCGAACAGCGGAAGCTTGGTAACTCGGCCACCGGCCTATCTCGGGCTAGTAGCATGATCGTCAGTCGTTCTCTCAAGACTTACGCCTCCACCGAAGCCTTCGCAACCCCTACACAATCCAGCGACAAGGGACTCCTCGGGATGATCAGTAATGCCGGTAAACCCAATCCGTCGATCTTCCAGAACCAGACTGAAGACCCGGCTAAGGACCAAGCTAACAGTTCTTATATCAATCGCGCCTTGGATCTCGTCTTTGGATGGTAATCTTTCCCCAGCCCATCCCTCCCTTTCGTTGTCTACTATCGGTTTCTTTTTGATTTTTACTTTGAATATTGTATTCAGATTATTTCTTGGGAACAGTATACCTTTTTTAACATAAATCAATAATCAATAAATGAATAACCATTATTACATTATCCTTCCTCATGGGAACTCGGAAACGAATCTGCTGTTGGCTCTAGCTTGTGAGGACGTTAAGTGGGTGGTCATGAGCTTTGCATTGCGCCGAGAAACTGGCTTCCCAGGAAATCAGAATTTCAGTGTGCTTCAATGAGAGGGGCCGAAGACTGAAGTTGGTTGGCGTTGGGATGTCACAGGTTCCATGAGTCACTTGGATGTCACACAGTCCACCACTTTCTTACACAGCCATCCTACTCTTAACTTTAGTAGGAGCACCCTTAATCGAGAGGAGAATGACCACCGAGCTGTTGACCACCGGACTATCGCTGATCGGACTCCAACTGATATCCAGGCTACTCACCTTCATCCTCAACCAGACGCTCGTCCGTGTCGCATCGCCCGAAGCACTCGGCACCGCCTCCATCCAGTTCGACGTTCTCATCAACACCGTCCTTTTCTTCAGTCGGGAGGGCGTTCGCGGTGGACTATCGAGGACTCAGGATGAGTTCAATCGGCTATCAAACTCCGAATTATCATCCTCCAACCAAAAACATCCTCCTCAAGGTCAGCAATAATCCATCTCATACCCTCAGCCAGTCACATTTGCTGATCTGAAATCGATTTTTGTGCGTTTTGAAAGGAAGCCCCTCATCGATAATCACGCGTCGGCAAGAGATAGTCAATGCAAGCTTCCTGCCGATACCGATCGGGATCTTATTCTCATTCGTCCTATTTCTCATCTATTGGCTCACCGTCGATCAGAGCACAGCAAACCAAGCCCACTTCCAAACCGCCCTGATATTCTATCTAGTGGCGGTGCTATGCGAGCTGCTCTCAGAGCCGGCGTATATCCATCTGATCCTTGCCGGTCAGACCGGCCGGAGGGTCAAGGTGGAAGGCACGGCGGTCTCCGTCAAGACCCTTGCCACCCTCTTCGTAGTCATGCTTGGATATCATCTCGGGTACGATTGGGGACTGTTAGGCTTCGCCACTGGCCAATTGGCTTACAGCTTCTCTTTGACCTTCGGGCTCTGGAGCCCCCACTTTCGCGCCCGATCAGCACAACTTGACCCTCCCAACCAGGCCCTGTATCCCCGCCAAACTGCTGAATCCCAGTCAGTCTCTTTCTTGACCATATTTTTTTGGGGGCTTTTGTCCAAGTTGCTAGCTCTAACCCTGTCTGTCCTTGACAGGCTTGTATCATCGAAGGCTGGGGCTTTAGACTCTTGGATCGCTCAGTCTGACTTAAACCTCTGTTACGCGCTTACCCGTCAATCGATCATCAAACAGTTCCTTACCGAAGGTGACAAGATGATCATTTCGAAAATTTGTCCTATCGCTCATCAAGGGGGTTACGCACTCGCAATGAATTATGGTCAATATATCCTTTCCTTTTTCTCCAATCAATCAATCATTCTTTCAATTTTAATTTTTGAACATTCTCTGATTCTCACTCACTGATAATTATGATTATGTCTTGATTTTGCGAAATTTTCAGGTTCATTAGTCGCACGGATACTCTTTCAACCTATTGAAGAAACGTCTCGATTATATTTTTCAAGGAATCTCTCGGCATCCCGTTTGGCAGAAAAGGGATCAGATTCAAGCTCAAAAAATGCGGTGATGACAACAGGCTTACGAGGCTCAATTGATCTACTGACCAATCTAATCCAGTGTCATCTCTATCTGGGTCTGGTCTTTGTGACTTTTGGACCACCATACGTGCGGCTAGGCTTGTGGATACTTCTAGGGCCACGATCAGCATATTTGCGGGATGGCCCCAGCTCGACGATCATCCAGGTGCTCCGGGCGTACTGTAGTCTGCTCCCACTTCTGGGCATGAATGGGATCCTTGAGGGATTTGTGCAGTCAGCAGCAGACGAGAAGGAGCTGGATCAGATGAGCAAGTTGATGGCCCTCTGGTGTGCCATCTTTGTCGCTGCCGTCGCGCTCTTCAGCTCTTCGTGGGCATCCGGAACACTCCTCATTACTGCCGAAGTCGCCATCGTCATCGCCACCGGTGTCAACATGATCTGCAGGATCCTCTATGGATGGAAATTCTCCGGGCGATATGTCCACCGCAGAGCCGCTGATCGAGCACTTTCCCTATCTAAAGCTGCGCCCTCCGCTATGACTATCCTCGCATTCATATTTGCTGCCATCTTTACTAGGTGGAAGCGAATTCGGGCTATTCGGGCGCGTTGGCCAAAGAAAAACCAACCGAAGCATTTCTATCTAAAGCCGTATTGACCCATTTGTTAAACGGGATGGGGTCTTTTGGGGGCTGTTTCCGGGTCAGGAATGTCCCTTTTTTCTGCTTAGAACCTTGTTTAATCTTGCTTGCGGACGTTCACTATCAATTTACTTTTTTTTCTTCTCTTTTTCCTACTTTAAGAGCGGTGTCTGAGCGCTCTCGTCTCAAAGAAATTTTCTCAACAGTCAAAAATCGGCCCAAAACAGAAGGCCCCCCCCCCCCCCCCCCAAAAAAAAAAAAAAAGTTTTGCTTTTAGTTTTTTCTGAAAACTCCCAGATTAGTGTGTTCTGGGATAGAGTCTTGGAAAAGACTTTTTTCCTTTTTTTGCGTTGGATTCAAAGGGGTCTTCTTATGTGAATTTATAGAACAATTAATTTACTGTTGGAGGACTTCCCATTGTGATTTAGGGCCTGTACCACAGTCACAAATTTGATGTCAATCTCTAAATTGACCCAATTTCCCATAGTACAGAAGCCAGATTCTCAATGCAAACACCAAAATGAATGTTGGTTGGCAAGAAATGAACAGATCAGCAGGGAAAATGAAATATGGCTGGGGTGCTATGGCTCACACACTCATCACAAACACTTATAAAAATAAAACGTATCCAAGTGGAGTCTATAGGCTTTCCATACATTCCCTTGGATCCTCTCTTTATCCTTATTTTTGGATGCTGTGTCCAAGGCCTTCCTGTCACAGGATGGCTGAATTGATTTCCAGATGCTGATGCCACCAATGAAAATTGCTGTCAGGCCTACTGATTGTTAAGAAGTATGCTCTGACATAGCCATAACTATGCCTTAAGGCATGCTGTCTACCCTGCAAGGACCAAATTTGAAGGCAACACATCTGCCACCGTGTGGTTATGTCCTTCATGACAGCCTGCAAAGATATTTTTTATTGAGGGGTTGCCTGCAGAAACCATATAATCTCAACCCCAGTCCAAAGATCTTTGCCATTGATTGATGATAGGCTTTTGAAAGTTTTGTGACTGGAGCTTCCTACCAGAATTGAGGTATAATGATTGTAGCTGATCCATCAGATGCAATATATGGCCTATATCCATGGTGCAACTGAGGTTTTGTGTATTTAAGGCCAAGGAACTGATTACATGGGACTCTGCAATGATTCATTCTAACTTCTTGCAAGCTTTTCTCCCCCTTACGCCCTAGCATTCATCTAAGGCCCCGTTTGGCCACAAATCATGATATGTAATTTGGCCAAGGTTTGGCATGGATTTGGACCATGCAATATAATATATCTCACTCACCCCAAACCTTGCTTCAGAATTACAAATTACAGATGGCCAAACGGGGCCTAACTTACAATCATTGCTGTAGCCCTCATGGACAATCCTGATGGGTAGGTGGCTGATGAACAGGTTTTGAGGCTGGAGAAGGAAAGGGAAATGACAAGGTTGTACAAGCATAAGAAATTTGTGATAATAATGAGACAGTAAGTGGAGGGGCTGTTTAAGGGAAGGTGAGGATGCAGTTGCAGAAGTGTAGGGAGGGGGAGTTAAAGGAGGTAGTGGTGATAGCAAACAACAAGAAAGCAGTGGCTGGATAAAGCAATTGGTGATCAAGATCAGGTTAGAAAAATAGAGCTGGTACAGGATGCAGTTCCCTAAGGTGGGAGGGGGATTCAGATGAGGGTACAGTGAAAGTTATGGATAAGGTAAGATGATGATTATGTGGTGTTAAGCTGAACTGAGACCTGTTAATGGATGAGTGAAAGAGTCAAAGAGGGAAAGACTTGATGAGTATGTATTTCTGGATGAGCAAACTCAAGCTTTAAATAGTGAAAGAAAAGATGCTAAAACTGAGATAAAACAGTATAAATCTATTTTAATCTGGACTGATGAGAGCACAGAAAGATACAAGAATGACTAATAAAGTATGCTAATAAAGATTTTGAGAAAAACCAGAGAGCTACAATACATGAACACTAACAAGACCAGACAAGAGTTTGTGGAAGGATACATCATTGCATCAGTAATTATATGAGAGAGATAGAAACGATTTGAGAAGAGAAAGAGATAAATTAAAATAAAAGAAACAGAAAAGAAACACAGCTTACCTGAGACCAGAAGAGAGATTGTGGAAGGATGAGGAGAAAAGGAATTCTTCCACAAGCTCCCTTCTGTCCACCACAGGTCGCAAGCGATGTTGAGCCCGTATCACACGTTTTGTCGGCCTCACTCGTCTGACCCTGCCCAAAAAAATGGCAGGGCTAAGAGCGGGAGGTGTTGGATGCCGCTGTCAGCCCAACTTGTGATGTGGGCCTCTCATCGGATCATGTCGTGGGCATGACCACAACGGCTTCTAACAAGAAGCAGATGTTAGCGGCCCCTTGTGGGTATAAAGAAACTGGGAGGCTTGGTCTTGAGAAAAAGAGTTCTCCTCCCTTGCCTCGAACCTGCAACCTACGCCCATGCTGATGCGGGACATGCCTGATAATCAGTGCAGATCAGGCCTCACCAAGGGGACATACTTACCACTCTACGAGATCGGTCCTCCCCTTGGGCACATTAACAGCGTAATGAACTACAATTCTATTAAATCTTCTTCAGAAATTTGGCATTTCTGTTGAAGACAATGGTTTTTTATTTTTATTTTTTACATTTTGAAACATAGGTAGCCCCTTTCTTGCATGGAAAGAGGCCCAGAAAACTTTTTTTTAAAAAAGTTGTTTTCAAAAAGCCTATCCAAGTCATGCCAACGAAATCGGGCATGACATCATCCCCACCGACACTGAGCTGAAGCCCGACACACAGCCATCATCGGCTTTAGAGATGGCGCTCGATACCCGGGTACCTGTAGCGGGTGCGGGTACCTGCCTCAAAAATCCAATATTTTTGACACCCGCACCTGCTAGGGCCGCCAGGGGCGGGTACCCGGGTACCTGCACCGGGTACCTGCGGGTACCTGGCACATTTTTGCAGGCAAATATACCCAGAAATCTCACCCTTGAATTTCTGCATGACTTACCAAATGTATGATTGATATTCACTAGATATATGAGTAAGAACATAAAAATAAAGAAATAAAGAAGAACAAAATATCCTATCACTAATTTGCACTTTATCTGCTCTCTGATCTATCATCTTGAAGGCTGGAGGGTTCCCTCTGGCCTCAACAGGCCCATGTAGGACACCCAATGGTGTCCTACATAGTTTGCTGACACCTTTGTGCAGCCCAAAAAGCCCAAAATTGTATTCCCAGGGCGGGTGTCAGGGCGGGTGTCAAGGCGGGTACCCGGGTACCTGCCGTTTTTTGTCCCAAAACTCAACACCCGCACCCGCACCCAGCACCCGCGGGCGGGTACCCGCTCCGAAGAACAGGTACCTGCAAACGGGTACCGGGTACCCATTGCCATCTCTAATCGGCTTCAGTTTGTGTTGGGCCGACCTTTGGATCACGGCAGATGATCCTGATGTCAAGACATCAGGATCATTCACGGTGATCCAAAGGTCGGCCCGACCTCAATTTTATGACAGCCCACAACCGCCGTCAGATTTGTGAAAAGCAGGTTATGGCCGACCCGCGCCAACCCAGTCCCAACTGCGCTGTGGGCCTGTCGCACAGGAATGAAAATTATCAACCTGTGGTGTCCCAGGTAACTACATGATATGTGACAGGGAAGGGAAAGGTGTTGGCACAAGAAAACTGGAAAGAAAAAATGAAAGTGACAGTTCAAAATGTGGTGCTTGTTGGAATTTTGATATCTTTTTTACTCATTCCAAATATCACACTAGTTTTATTTCTCCTCTCATGTTTTCATTCATCATTATAGTCTGTTTTTCATCTAAAGTATGCATGTCTGATTAACATCCTTGTAGTCAAAGAAACCTGGCTAGTATGACTTATCAGCCATTTTAGTGATACTTATCTTCTTGAGTTTTTTAACTTTGTAGGCTTGTTATTATATTGCATATTCAAATCTCTCAACCACAGTTTCATCAATTTGTAAATAGTCTATTTAAAACATAGAAGTTTTCCTAGTAAATGAAAACTCAATGGTTCTTTCCCATATTAAAATTTTGCCTGCTCTGAGTCCCTCTGTGAGTGTCATATTAAGACCGGTCAAAAATCCTCTCTCTTCTCTATCTCATCCACAGTCTAAATTTCTTCAGTGCTTAAGGGATGAGATATTGGGTATGCAGATGGAGTTGATGAAGAAGCAGTTGCTGGATAAGGATATGTAACATGTAGGGGTTAGATAGAGTAGGGACAAGTGTAAGTGTCAAGTGGTGTAGTCTAAAAGAGATAGTAAGTGGATAAGGAAATTGTGCACTGGGGGTTATAATAGTAGGTAGATGAAGGGAGGTTTATAAAAACGAAGGGTCATTGAGTGGGTAGGTTGACATCTTGCGGCTCATGTTTGGCTGTATCAACATTAGGACGGTTCACATTTGAAAGATTTCAGCAACTTGTTTATGTGAAACCAGCACTTTGAGTTTGCATGCTCAAAATTGTCCTGTGCATCTGCCAATTTTCAAACTTTTTTGAAACCAGCAGGCAGAAATGTTATCCAAAATCAACAAGATTTTATTCAAATGTGAAATTAGGACTCCGGAGGGCTTAAAAAGCTTTATAAATGAAGACGGAAAGTCCCGCAATGCCCCCCCCCCCCCTCCCCCACTAGAAATATAGCAGAACATGGTTAAGTAATTGTCAATGTGGTGAAGTGTTGAATGACTGAGGATGATGAACAGTGATCAACACGCCACATGTGGAACCTGGGCTCCCGGGCGGCGCTTCTCATTACGGGCGGCTGTTTGCTCTGCGATATCGGTTGATATGCTGATGTCGTTTTTTCATCAAAATTGGCGCAGGCTCTTGAGCTTCTCTCTGAGTTTGCCGTCTAGTGCAGCCCCTCCTCGCTTCACTGCATCATGTAGCAGCAGCCCTTTGTCTTTCCCTCTCTGTTCCAAGGGGGTGTTTTTTATAGATGCCCTAGGTTTAGCTTTGCTGTGAACCCCACACATCTACCGGGGGATTGTTCAATCTGGATGAAGAGGTACAGGAAGTCGCGAAAGACTTCAAACCAAGTCCCAATCCCTGACCCTCTTTGGAAGGCCTCACAAAGTAGAGGAATCAAAGGGGCCTATGTCCGACCTTTAGAGGCTTGCTTGCAGAGGGTCACTCCGGTGTGCAGAGATGAATTGGATGGCGTATGGTTGCTTGGAAGCCCCTTGATTAGAGCACGCAAATTTTTACCATCTTCCCGAGATGATCCTGTGCCTCTATAGTCCGAACATCCCCTGCTTCTCTCAACGATACGCGTCGTTCCAGCTAGCCCTCATTCTCATCATCCACTGCATCGCGCCATCATGTTGCGCACGTCTCTATTTCTCCGACCACCCACCTACCCTGGTCTAGGGGGGGGCTGGTCTAGCGCGGACACACCTCGCTTCGCTGCATTAGCAGCAGCCGTTTCGACTCTGATTTTGGATAAATTATTTAACTAATTGATAGTACGTGCTTTAAGCCAAGTTGAATAGACCATCTAATCAGAGGGTTAACAAACAACAACAGTTACAGGGTGGCTTTGCCCGCCCTTGGACCCTAGTGTGGAATGTTGAAGAAAAAACTTGAATGGAGAATGGTCAAGGGATGAGAAAGGCATGTTGTAGGAGGAAAGAGCTCTGTTTTTTGCGCCAGTGGTTAATACGGCCAGGGATATTGTTGAAACAAAAGCAGAAGGCTTCCCCATATCGTCATCAGTTTCCGGAAAATCCAGACAACCAAATTGATATCGACACGTGCTTTGGAAAAGCTTCAATCAAGATCATGACTTCTTACGACTTTTTCGCGTCCTGTTCTACGCCCAAACGCCAGCGGACGTCTAACGAGAGAGAAAGACTGGTTGAGATTCCCATCGAGGGCCCTTCCAGAAGGAAAACCCCAGCATATCTCGACCTCAATGGCTGTGACTTTCTCTCAATGTCTGGTAGTGCTTCTTTGCCTTTCGACTCTCCTACCGCATCGCAATCCTTCTCCAAAAAAGAAAATCGATCAGCCACATATTTTCCAGATTTCGACAATCTTCAAGCGCTTCTTCTCCCTCAAGCGAACTTCAATGAAAATTTCAGATCCGAAGTTGGATTTGGGATAAAATCAGTTCCTGACAACGTCTTAAGGGTAAGCAATCGGTCCTCAGTTTCAGTCACTACTCTGCTCTGTTCACTCATCTTGCCTGCACGCGTCCTGATTTTCCCTTTTGTTCCTGAAAAAAACAAACGCGACTTAAGCCTCCTCAGATCAACCGCGCTGAGCTCGAAAACGTCGAGATCCCATTCAACCTGGGCACCTTAGAATACCATTTGAAAAACGTCCCGCAACCGCCAGCTGTGTTAGCGGAAAACCTGATACGCGCCGAACCGATCATGAATGGAAGTCAAAACTATTTCTTGGAAGAACGTTGGTTTAATGAGAATATTCCCAAAACGACACCCGAATCTTCCTCCTACCCACCATTGACGTCTTTAAGTTCAAGTTCAGATTGTGAGTGTGCCTTTATTATCTTCATCATCACTTGCCCACTGGTCGGGGACCAATGAGACTGATCTGGCCAAGATCCCCACAACCCGAATACCGCGTTATTTACAGGTAATCCGATCACAGATTTTGAGGCTTCCCTAGACACTTTTTCATCCACGTCGAACTTTAATCTTAGTCCAACCCATCATGAGAATAATAATAATAAGAAGAAGAGGTGTGCCGAGGAAGCGCTTGAAGATCCCACCATGAAACAATTGACACATGGTGATCTAAACCTGATGGATAGTGGCTCAAACTTAGTGGATAATGACCTAAAGAACTTGTTCATTGTTCCGATGTTGTCTCTCCATGTTACTAATAACCTTCGGGAGGCCGAAAATATCGTCAATATGATCAGGTGTGAAGCTACTAAAAGGCAGCTATACTCTAAGGATAGAGATATTTGGTCGGAGGAAGCTTCGCGTGCTTTTGACGAAGGTATTCCAAAAGTTATCCTCCCAATCAAAACCAGCCGATCTTAATGTTTGTATGTTTGAATCTGTTCTTTTGGTTGTCAGCCATCAGGGTAATTCCGCGACTTGGTCGGGCGAAGATTCTGGCTCTAACACCCGAAGGACGGAAGCCGTTCGGTCGGAATGAGTTGATCGCCGACTATATCTATCGGAGGACCGGAATCGTTCGTCATCGGAAACAGGTCTCGAGTCATATTCAGGTGATCAAAAATTCTAAAAAATTCGAGCCACTCGGTAAGTCCATTCTTCTCAATCCACTTCTCACATAAACTCCCCTTTTTCTTGGTTTTTCTGGTGATTCCTGTTTTTTGATATGCTTGTGTGTGTACCGAACGATTGAAAAAAAAAAAGTGTGATGGAACTAATTTTTTTTTCTTGACTATCAAAATTTATGTAGCTGAATTACTCGACCAAGTCAACCAAGTTACAAACATGACATTCGACCAATGTTCGGCGAGTTGGTTTGGAGCCTACTTATCGAAAGACGTCTTGGTACTCTATCCGTGCACACCTGAATTCCCCTTTCCTAGTCGAACCTTACAACACCATTCACCCCCTCAAAACCAAGACGAATTCCTCACTTTCCTCGACGAAGTTGCTCTTGCTCGTCATTCTAAACCTTTCCCCTAAAGAAAAACATCCATCGAACTTTCGACTTCCTTAATTTTTCAAACCCCTTGAAGATATGTCAGCCAACGTACTTCATGAGTATAACATAAACAACTTGTCAATAATATGTAGTTTTCATTTCAATTAATCTATTTAGCCTTAGTATATATAATATTAGCATTTTGATCAGAAAACAGTTTATTTCATTTGTTGACACCATTAAGCCTTTGCTAAATAATAAGCTTTATTTTATAAATCTTAATGAAGATAGAACAGAAAAATTTCAATAATAAAATAATATTAATTTTGTATGAACAGCTTTTTGAGACAAAACATATAGACAAGAGTACCTTCTCCACGAAAATATCTCTTTCTTTTGTTTTGTTTTTGCTTTGCTTGGGATTTGATAATACCCAGGCAGATACCAGAAGAGATGTACAATACATCTAGAGCAGCATGGAATCTTGCAAATTGCAATCCAAACAAGTGCAATTAACCCATGCCCCTTGAGGGACATGAAACACTATGAATGACTAGAGAGCATGGGTTCTTGAGGAGGGGTCTACGCTGAAGTCAGTGCTCTGGTGGACCATTTCACTATGGTTCATTGGAGAGTATACATTAGCAAAGGTATGGGTAATAGCAAAGTTGACTGTACTGTACGTAGTTCACAATCTCAGAGCTTTGCTTTGAATTTTGATTTCAGGTTATCCAGACAAGGACCAGGAGGAATGCGCAACCCATCTACAGCAGCATACAATGCTCCAATCCAAACAAGCAGCTCAAAATCTCAGAGTGTACATTACTAGATATGTGTATGTATGTAGTATGTACATGTTTTGAATGATTAGAAGTTGACCTTTGTGATATGTATGATACTGGTTGCGTTGATTGCTATGTAGCTATGTAATATGAATTGCGGTATAAACAAGAGGAATCACCAAAAAAAATAAAATAAGATAAAATGGAAAGATAAACAGAAACAAGAATTTATGCAATGAGGATTCAGATTCGAGTCGGGTAACGATGTGGATGTGAGTAATACGAGCATATATATGTATTTTTCTGTTAGGTAAATTGAGGATAATTTATTTACTTCAACAAATCGAATAATCAAGATGGCCAGTTTGTTATATAAAATTTCAAGAACGGAAACAGGAAAGGAAGTGAGTTATTTATGGAGAGGATCTGAATAACCATTGATAGTTAATCTGGGATGATCGGGGCTTGTCATAAGGATCCAGATTGGACGCGTTGCATGAATCCAGCGACCCGATTGAGATCCAACTCGGGCCCATCAGATTCGATAGCGGCCATCAATTGCTTCAAGAGTTTATTGTCAATCATCGAGGCCTTGAGGAGTTCGGACCGAGTTCTACCAAATTCATGACTCTTGTTGACCGCGTCTGTTGTGGAGACTTTTCGCCGATGACCATCCATGGATTCTAGATCATGAATGTCGGCGGGATTGACGTTTTGAGTGGCCCTTGAGGGAACCTCCTGGGTAGTTGAAGTGGTTTGGTTGGCCGGTCTGCCGGTCATGCTTGACCCTGAAGAGCTCAAATCATTTGTACATGTATTCCCAATAAACGATCCGATCACTTTCAGGTATTTAGCCTCTTGCTCGAGATTGCTGCCTTTCATTCTCCCAATTCGTTCTCGGAGTAGACTGAGTACGCGGACATACCATTTCTCCAGTCTGCGTAGGTATACTAAACTGTCTTGATTGTTCTCTGGCGGGATGAAGGGATCAGGTTCAAGTTCTAGTTGGATTTGCGATGCTGAAAGACCGGCAAGCGTGCTGGCGATCCCGTTTTGTTCAAATAATTTACCCGCTTGAGCTGGTCGACCATCGAGATCCGAGCGACCAGTCCAATCAAACCCATCTTCCTCTGCAATGGCCATGCGAAGTTTTTTCAGTCTCAGCTCGAGTAGAGCTCTCTCGTCAAGATCATGCTTGAGTGATTCGAGCTGTCGCCTCTGTGTCGTTAGCTGACGCGTAGCCACCATCAATTGTGCCCTGACAGACTCCAGCCTATCTGTTTTACTTCGTATTTCATTTTCAAAATCTTCTGAAAGTGAGTTGACCGATGATGTTATCGATGTGATGATATCACGCGACGAACGAGCGGGCGCAGACGCCGTCGGATTCCTTCGTAAAGGGGCTGAAATCATATCATCAGTATATGACGCGCTGGTCTCCTACACAGTTGCAAATAAATATTAGTAATCACATATAATGTTAATTCTGAAGCAAAAGCACTGACACCTGCCCCAACTCCGAAATCAATTGGCTTGAGCCCCAAATTATTCCCTATTGTCATATCCGCCCCAACATCCAGAAGCATACGCACTAGATGTTTATTCCCGACTCTGGCGGCAATATTCAACGCTGTATCTCCATTCAGATCAACGGCATCAAATAGCTGACTATCAAACTGTGCGCCATGTTTGTTGACAATCCATTCACAAATACATTCTAGATAGTAGCGACTACTCTCGCCGCGTCCTTTGATGCTAGCTGTCAAGCATATATGATGCAGGACCGTTCGATCTTGGTTGTCAAGAGTCCATAGGGATGGGTGCAGTAGCTCAAGAAGTTGGTTGAAGGACTCTCTTTCAAAGTTATTAGTCACCAACGTTGAGCGCATAAGTGGTGTTTCCCCGACGTCATTACCGCGATTCACATCAGCACCGGAGCGGAGGAAGGCACGGACGAGGCCAAGTCGCGCCAAAGAAGAAGCCCAATGAAGGGCTGTGTGACAATGTTCATCTATTGGCGTGTCAATTTCCAGTTCAGGATCTTCAAGGACTTCATTGACTTCAGCTACTGAATTAGGATTTTCATGATGAGTCTCAGATTCTAGTTCATCGCCATCAGGTGGGTTGGAAAAGAGTGCCATCAAGGTGTGTATATTCCGTTCAGCTTTTAAAGCAACTTCCAAGTGAGATCTGGAAGAGGAATTGGATTTTCGGAGATGCGAAGGTCCAGCCGGGTATTCGACAGTAGCTCCGTGGATGGGTGCAAATGTTGAGGTGGTGCATTGCGAAGCAGCTGTGGGTTGAGATTGGCTGTGAGGGATAATGAAGTCGGGATCCATGGCTGAATGAGAGTGGTCGATAAGTGATGAAGGAGTGTTGGCACTACCATTCGATTGTCGAGAGGGCGTATTTAACCTGCTACGTTTGCTTGGGCCAGCTTCGGGCGGGTCGTGGGGGAGGGGAGTTGTATCGCCAGAACGCTCACGTTTCTCGTTCAAGCTTTGCCGACTAGTCTGCCGCGCCAGAGTGGTCTTGTGAGAATTAGCACGTGATGCACTGGAGGATGGCTTAGTGTTGGTGGATCGGATGTTAACTTCAGAGTTTGGCTCAGGACGATAGTCAAAGAGGGGAGCTAGCAGTTGAGCTACGTTTAGTTGAGTGGCTAATTCTTGTGCGCGTGTAAATGGTACCCTAACACCAAAATCAAATCAAATCAATTGGTTATAACTTCAAAATCAAGAAAAAAAAAAATGCACATTGATGCGACTTACCAGGTTCCCTGATATCTTCCATAGCCTCCTTGAATTTTTTCATGCTCTCCTTGAATGATTTCTCTTTCCAATATCCTGGTCCGTTTAGATTTATCTAAGCCGGCTACTTTGAGGATCTGGGTGGCATTCATGTAAGAATCTGAGCGTCTTCGCATCACGCCGATCCCCCGGACCATCATTTCATATACCGGAACTGACGAGTAGACCGCCATACTAGTAGAAGAAATCATCAGAACAAATCAGTTTCCCAATTATCCATGATGCCACCATCGTCAAGCTCAAGGATGGATAGTTTAAGTGGACTGAACAACAAACTAGACATGCGGATTATTCTTTATGTCTTTTTTCAGATTGGCGAGTCCAAAGAGGAGAACTAGTTAGTTCGTCATCATACCCAAGCTAGAAAGAAAGACATCAATATGAAAAAAAACAGGTGAAGACTGACTGGGAATGGGGAATGCTTGGGTTGATGAAGTTCCAGTGCCAGATTCGGGGTTGATATGATGGGAGGAGGAGACGGGGATGTCGTTTGTGGTTTTGTGGGCAGCCATGCTTGTGAAGGATAGAGGAGAGCTTGAGCGGTCAAGAGTGAGGAAGTCAAAGTAGACAGTTGAGTCTATTTATTTGATGGTCAACAGGAGAAACCGAGATGGTCAACAACAGCCTGGGGTGACTTGTTGACCGTTTGTATGGATTTATAAATAGTCGACCGACACAGCCTTTGTACTCTGGCTGACGCTCTCTCTCTGCTTGTTTTTTTTTTCAGGAGTGCTGTTCATGTCTGTTTCCCTCCTCTGCGGAGCGGGATGCCCAGCAACTGTTTCAACCCAACCAGATTATGGATTTAAGCTTGAATGAGCCCGCTGCGAAAACGTTGCCCTATGGCTTTTCACACGCTGGATAATCCGAAACTCGGCGTCAGTCCGCTCGCCAGTCTCGTCTTTCAAAATCTTCATGCTTCACGCATCCGATCTATTTTACAACTATTTTTATGAAGCTCCTCTGCCTAGATCCTAGAGGTCAAGCTTCTCTTTTGCCTTTTTCTCCCCCCTCAACCGATTCGTCGGCCTGAACACTTGCTCTGATTAGCAATCGCTCGATTGCTAGGCAGATGGATCTGCTACTTAAGGAGAATTCCATGTGACTTGCCAAGAAATCCACATGGATGGAACTTAAGAGGCGCGTAAGATTTTCAATGACGCGGTGTAACCATGCATCGCCAGGGTTGTTGCTGGCCTACGCTTCTCAGTTACACATACTTTTATTACTTTAACTTCAGCTGCACACCCGATGGTTCCTTCATTCGTGGACCGCATCGGAGGAAGATGGGAACCCATGAGACTCTGGTTAAATTTGGAAACCACCCATCCCCATTCATAAAGGGATCCAATGGATTTCTCAAAACACTGCAGCTACCAACCATGTACCGTTAGGAACCGGCGGAGCGGCACCCTGCTGGTTGATCATGGTTTGGCTTCCACCATAAAACTTGAATGAGCTCCCCTGTGTAAATAGTAATAATAATCATGGGAATGAAACGGCGGAAATAGCTAGGGAGCTTCTGGGGAGAAGCCATGACAGACGGCTGCCCAGGTTACGTTGTGAGTTTTGTACACATTTCTTGTCAAATCGACGCGTTTCATGTTTTGCTTCGATCAGATCATGCTTAACTAGCCAAATAACTCATGGGAAGCTGAAAAAAACCAATGCGAAGATATCCCCCGATTTCTAATTTCAAAATCGTCCAACGACACTCTGAGACCTTCTTTCCTTCCTTTTCTTTCAAGTGTGAGTCTTTTGTAGGATCAAGGCAACATTTTGCAGTGACTTTGCCTTTTGAAGTCAAAACACACATAACCTCCTCCTAATGCATATTGGTTCAAATCAGACCAGTGTGGATTCAAAATCAAAAACATGGTACATTTAGAAACTTCGACCTAGGCCTACATTCTTGGGAACTGAGATTCACAGAACCTCAAATCATTCGTATTACTGACATTCTCTTCGCCAATTGACCCCTTTCAAGTGGCCCAAAAGAAAAGCTAACTAAGCTTAAAACTAAGGGATGCAAGTCGGAGAGAATGTACGCTCAGGGCGCTGATCTACTGTCCACCATGTCGATCACAAGCAGTTGAGTTAAGGGCGCACAAAGTAACATTGATGATGAACAGTTAAAAAAACAAACGACTAATAAAAGAGGGGAATAATACACAAGTTGCTGTTATCTCAAGAGGTTGGATCGTCGTTGGTTTTGACGTCTTCAATGGTCGAATCCTCGTTTGGAGGGTTTTCAGTCGTTGCTTGCTCATTCTCTTTAGGCTCTGGGTTGGCCGTTTGATCGGTTGACACGGGGTCAGAGGTGACAACATCTTTCTCCTGCCCGACTTGAGAATCAGCAGTAACTTCAGTCGTTTCTGCGACTGGTTGTGCTTCAGTTTTCTCTTCCACGATATCCATTTTGTTCGTGTCTTCTTCGGGGGCATTTTCGCTCCTTTCTTCCTCTTCTTCGCTGTCCTCTGTATCACTTGTTTGTGTTGATTCTTTAATGAACGTATACGCTAGTTTTGTCTCCTCTTCATCTGACGTTGACATTAACCTTGCCGCAAATTGGACTCCAACTTCTGCCTCTAGTTCATCCTGGGCGGGAATACTGCGCAGCTTTTTCTTGGGTTTTGAATTTGTTTTCCTCGATATTTGTTCTTCCGAATAAGCTTCAGACATGATTTTCTGCTCAAAAGTCAAAATGTAACCAGCGTGAAGGCCACAATGATCCGATTGGAAGACGATCGATCAATTCGTGTCAAGAAGCAAAGCGCTGCATAAATTCGAGAATTGGGCATGCACTAACCAAAGTTTCTCTAATGAGGTTATCCACTCGATTCTGATCTGCTTTACCTTCGCTCAAGGCGAGGTCCAAGCTTTCTCCAAATGCCTTGATGTTCTGAGAGAGGACAGTCTTAGTAGGTTCAAGACCTAAATATTTGACGCCAATGATCGCACCAAGCTGATTGCGGTCAGTAGACTGAGGATCGATCAAGGATTTAGTCAGAGTTTTCAAGATTCGTGTGCGTAAAGTCGGATAGGAATGTTGATAACGATTCAGTTGTGACTTGAGTAGTGAGCCTGCCGTACATCTGATTTCTCGCTCAAGTTCATCCGTCACAGGTGAAGATGGGAATGAGGATGAGAGTAGGCAGGTGAGAATCGAGGGCAGGATTTGGTGTAGATAAGGTTCCAGGTATGAGTGTGGATTAGAAAGGATTGATTCGAGGATCTGCAATACATCTCTTAGGTGTTCCAAGGATGGTTCGGTGTGAGAGAGGGTAGTGGTGATCTGTATCAAAATCAAGTGCAAGGTGGAAATCGTTGAGCTTATTTAGCTACAGTCACTTTCAGGTACCTGCTTACGTTTTGTAAACTGATGAGAAAGAACGATATACTCTGCGAAACAACCAACTTTTTCTGCTGCAAACTGAATCAGATATGGTACAAGTTGATGGAGACCAGGGTCACCACTCAAGCTAGCTAGGGCCGCATTTCTTGAGCTCTGGTCATTTGATAGCGCGGCAGCAGTAACGCGATCGAAATATAGTCGAAGTTCACGCGATAAATGCTCTTTGGTAGTCAGATTTTTGGTTTCTGGTGCCTGTTTTGAGCTCGATGGGATAGCCGAGGACTGAAGACCAGAGAAAGCAGGATGTGATTTGAGCTCTGCGACACGGACGAAAAGAGAGTCGCTCAGCTCAAAGCTCGACCGAATATTCATGAATTTAATTGTGACCAAGAGGTATAAAGAATGCAGAAGAGGGTTTCGAAGAGAGAAGAGTACCTGCTGGGGTGGGGTTTTGTGGTATTGCCGGTTGAACACCTTCGACTGCCAGCCAATGGGCTATAAAGAGTGAAATTCAGAGTCAATCATGGATTCCCTGACCAACCAGCGTGGAAATTGCTTGGGGACGTGAGTACCTGTGTAACTAGCTTCTTGTGGTATAGGAGGTAGTTCTGCGGTCAAAACCTTGGTCAAGTCGATCTCTTCTTCATCGATAAAATACAGGTTTCCGACAGCCGATGTTGTTCTTCGAAATGATAGCGTGTCTGTAGAGGCAAATCCCCAAAGAGGCTGGTTATGGTAACAGAAAAGCAACCCACTGAATCAGAACATGAAAGGCCATCACAAGAACACGAAAAAAAATGTAGATATACTTCGATGTTTTTCGCACGTAACGCGTAGTCCACATCCTCAACCAATAAATTCGTCCTCTTGGAATGTCTCATAAATTTGATGCTGTCCTGGAAAACGAAGGCAAGATCGGATAAAGAGATGATACGTGTTTTGGCCATATCAGAGTCAAGTAATTCAGATAAGAGCACATCGATCACGGATAATATTGGATGTTGATACCCACTTCAATCAATTGGGTCAATCGAAATTCTACGTCAGCTGCCAGTGCCGTAGCAGCTTCATCTGACAGATTACCAAGCCCCAGCGACTCTGCTACGTCCTATTCTGAGTTTGAGGGAGTACGCAGTTCCTGGTCAGTAGAGTGCAACTGATCTCTGACGAGCAGAGGAATACAATCCCTTTTCGCGATGTGATGGCCCGAATCAACGTACTTTGACACTGGTTTTCGGCCAGACTCCAGTGGCGATCGGAATGACAGGCATGCTGGATCAGAAGGAGTGGTGTTTGACTGAGGTTGGTAAACGATTGGTTTGATGTTCAAGTAGGTTCGAGTGGTATACTTTGTTGCTGACTGGTGCCGGGGGGGAAGGGGAGAGCCTCGAGGATCAGTTCAGTTGCATATCCATAAGACTATGTAGCAGGGGTATCCGTCCACTACCAACGGATCGGAGCCGCTCAAATTGAACCAGAAAGAAAATCAATGCTTAACTTCCATGGTATGAAATGTGTGGAGTTACACCAAGCAGTCTACATGTCAAAATGACTCATCTTCCACCTCTTTGCACCCCCTTGGACCTTTTTGACCATTCTTTCAAGTGGCTTACACATTCACCCAGATGCTAATGTTTGAAAAACATTTTATGTTTGATTGGTCAGTGCATTTTTGGTATATGACCTACTCAATACAGGCCAGTCTATGTCTGAGCTTGAAGACAATTTTTGACGTGTTGATTTATAAAACATCATATTTTATGTGGAACCTCTCGAACAAAATAGCATTGAAGTTAGGGAAACACCACACTGGTCCTTGTGAACCTTGTAAAACCCAGAAGGCAAGGGGGGGGGGGGGTCAAACAGTAGTTATAGGTCACCGTCCAGAGGACCTCAAAAAGTATGTTCCTCTGGATTTTGCTGGCATGTAGGAGGGACTTGATGAAATGCAATTAGACCTACTAAGAATCCAGGGAAGGCCAGCTACTTTCCCACTCCTTTCCAAGGTTCCTTGTACCAAACTGCAGGTGAGAGCATCTCCAGTAGAGAAGAGGTGAACTACAGAAAAATGAAACTATTCCAATAAATTAAATTAGTGCCCCTAAAACATTAGGGTAGCTGACAGCCACTGGATTCTTGGGCTATTAGCTTTAGCTGTAATAGGTACCCACAAAATTCTGCTCACACTAAATGAAAGCTTGATTACACTGAATGTAATTTAATGGTTGCATTGTTGATTACAGTCCAAATAGCCAGCTGGGACCATATCAGCTCTGTCACGCTAGTCCCACAGCAGACTGGCAATATAAGGGAGTGACTAGCCTGGTGTGATGCAAGAGTAGGTAATAGTATCACTTGAATAGTCAGTGTTTGTTGAAGGCATTGAAGTTGTTGATCAAGCAGGGTGATGTGGTGTGTATTTTTGGATGTTGTGATGGAAAAAACAGAGGAGGGTTAAGGTTTGAGGCCTGTACCACAGCAACCATACAAATCCATGTTGAATTTTAGTTTTTTTCACAAACATTCAACTCTGGTTTTGCACCAAAAATCCAGAAATCAAGGATGATTTATGGTACAACTACACAGTACACCATTTGTGTTGAATACAATTTCTAAGTTGGAAATTGATGCAAAATCGGCGGCTATGAGTATGGTACAGGCTCTTACAGTTGGTGCCTTCCAAAACTGCTACAGTTTTGTGTGGCATTCTGCTGTACACAGTTGTGCACAAACACCAATTGCCTCACCCAGGGGAAAACAGTTTGTGGGCCAGGTGCCAAACATCATTGAAACCACATTTTTGAATCTACAGACCATGTAGATTCCAAATCTAAAGTGACAAGCTGTTTGGCTCAGCCAATTTATATATTCTTTCATTTTACAGGGGGGGCATTTGGACCTGTTGCCTAAAACATAAACCCCCAAAAAATGCCCTGTTTTCTCCACAAAATGGAAGTCAATTGGCAATCCCCCAAACCCATCAGCAGGTTTGGGGTTCGGATCCCCAAGAAATTCAATAAAAAAAATGCCAACCCCCAAAGGAGTTGGGGGTCTATGCCCCAAAACCCACTGGGTTTTGGGGGTCAGCTAACCAAAAAGAGCCAGCGACAGCAGGCAATGGCCAGGAGGATTCCTCCCAGCCTCTGATGGCAAACCCTTGACGGCTGAGAGAACCCCTCCCAGCCTTTGAGGATGTACAATCTCAATGGCTGAGAGAGAACCTCTGAAAACTTTGAGGAAAAAGCTCTGAGGGAGAAAAAATGGTCTTAGAGCCCAAAAAAGGGCTAGAGTCTGCTAGCTTGTGTGACGGAAAAGCGTACACGCTACAAGAGGTTGTATTTGTTATTGACCTCAGGGAAATGGTGCAGAAGACAGATGATCTTTTCATTTTCTAACTCAGAGGCATGACAATTTATCTACATACATGATTGGCAGAGTTGTGGGACAGAAGGTGGAAAAGATGAATATTCATGTGGAAACTGGGAGAAGGAGAGTGCCAGATGAAAGAGTGTGACAGGGAAGTGATAGGGATAGAAAGAGGAGAACACAATAGCTTCATAATTCCAACAGGACCTCCCACTAAACTATTTTGGTTTCCCATAAACCTTAAAACAGCCATTCCAACAAAGTTTGACTGCTGATTTTGAAATCAGCAGTACGTGAACCCCCTTAATAGACTGCTGCCTGTATAAGGACAAAGGATTTTTTGTGTAAATTCACTGCCAGAAAAGCTGGCTGGGTTGCATCAATCCTCCTTAGAAGTTAGGCAGTAATTATAAACGAGCTTATCTTTTTTTTGAGAATTTTTTGAATTTCTTTTTGATTATTTTCATAAGGTTTTTTTTATTTTGTTAACCAAAAGCGATCTCAAAAACTTTTTCAAACAACCTCTAGGAGGTTGTTTGAAAAGGTAAAAATCCGAAATCGGCTTATGAGATTTCGTTACAGTCCTTATGACATCCCATTACATCCCTTATGGGCTGTATCCTGCTGTACGACCGTACATCACACAAGCAGTACTCCAACCTCCGACTGGATACTGGATATTAAAGGCAGATAAGTGATAAACTGGCCGCGCGCGTTTGTAATTCCATGTTGTTTGAGTTTTTTTTGAGATGTTTTTGACTATCGTTTCATTTTAAAAACATAAAAAAATCGAATTCAAAAACTTTTAAAAAAAATCTCAAAAGAAATCCAAAAAACGTTTATAATTGCTGCCTTAGACTGTGCTCCATTCAAGGTCCAACTATTTAAGCTTGTTTGATTGCAACCCACTTGTATTGGAATTCAGAACACAGTCATGGGTTACATGAATGCCCTCTTAACTAGCTAGCATCAATCCTGCTTAAATGAGTTAATTTCTTAATTTCATCCCTGTCAAAGTTGGATAGATGCACCCCAGCCATGGTTGCTGACAGTGATAAACATCTGTTTACAACCAGGGTTTGCTGGGGTCCTGAACTTTTCCATTGACACCCTCCTGGAGATTGTGGGGAATTGCATCCTGGATATTCCTGGCGTATCCACTCAATCAAACCTTATGTTCTAAATACATACATACATAAATATCTAAATAACTGTAATCCTTGTATCGTGTATTCCCCGCTCTCCGCCATTCTCCGCCATCCAATTAGGACTTCACCGACTCCGTTCAAGAGCACAAATGTACAGCCTTTCCCTTGTGAGAATTGAACCACCATAGGATTGAATGTCTTACATTCTGTCGATGTGTCAGCCTGTGGTCGCTTCGGCTCTTCGGTCCCCTTAAAAATACATGAAGTTGACAGTGATGATCATGGGGCTTCATTAACACCTGGCACTTCAGGTCGATGGGTGTCAGTCTTTAGATCTGCTGACTCCTCGTTGGCATCGAGGTCAGGCCTTGTCCAAAACTCAGGCGAGGTGGGAAACAACTATCCCCTGAGACTCGCATCCACATGATCATTTTCACCTTTGGTATTTAACATGGACTGCACGGCATAAGTAGTCTATTGGCCTAGCACTTCTTCATCACACCCCTGAAACCCCATATAAATCGCTAGTATCAGCAACGCCTCTCACTAGATCACCCCTCACGAAAATTCCTCCCATGGCATCTCCTCAACACCTCCGAAAACCAAGGTACCAGGCTCTTGGCAGAAGTTCCGCAGTCAACGGGCAAAAGACCCTGCTTGATCTCCCCATTGAGATGATGCTCGAAATCATCACCTGGCTTCCGCGCTCTCGAGAAAAAGCACGCCGCAAATCCAAGCAAATTTCACCCCGTAAGGCTTTACGGCTGACTTCGAGATTTTTGGCGGTAGCCCTTGAACCATTCTTGCTGGACGCGGTCAGCATCTCCTGCGCTTCTTCCGCGCGAGATTTCCTCAAATGGTGCACGGAATGTGTCGCTCAGAACCGTGATCCACCTGTGCGGCGGCTCAGCATCAGCAATGTGGGGCATCCTTCCCTCGGCATTACCAATCCCCAATTAGTATCCTACAATGTTTTTGAGGACATCCTATCAGTCATCTCCCCAAGTTTACATCAATTGAAAATTGAGTTCTACAACTGCTTCGAATTCTCCGACAAAATCGTCCACAGTTTTGGACGGGCGACAAGGCTTTGGGCTCTGCATCTCCAGATCAACGGACAACCTCCTCGACTCAACCCAGTTCCACAAGTTTCGATGCGCGACGCTTCAGCAAACTTGAATCTCCACGATCCGTACCCCGTTCTTGGCATCCCTAAGGGCCCTACCCAGTCTTAGCGAATTAGATCTCAATAACTGCCTTGACTATTGCATGTCGTTAGATACCAATCCTGATTCAAATTTGCTTCCTTGCGTGCAACATTTGAGTATAAACATCGACAGTCACTCGACATCTTTACCTAGTCACCCGCACAAGTTCCTGCTTGAGCTTTGCAGGGCATTCTCTGAGAGTCTCTTGATTCTTGAAATTAAGGGCTCCCGCTACGACTCTAGTAAGCTTCTACCGGTACTTGGCGCGACTCGGCGGCGTTTGGAAGCCCTGTATATCAGCGACGTAACTTTGGCTCAAAAGTGTCAAGAATTGAAGTTTCCTCGATTGCGGACATTTATGTTGGACGACTCACGCTACTTGACTAGGGATGAATTTCACTCGCCATTTTTCGAGCAGATCAGTACCCTGGTGCTGCGAAGATGGAAAGGGACAGATGTGCCCTTGGAAATACCTGTTGAGGCATTTCCAAATTTAAATCGCGTCGTTCTAACCTACACCTCACATATCACGCTGGACATCGCTTCACTATTGAAAGAGTGCCAAGGTGCCTGCATTGACTTGCTGGCAACGCCCAAGTCTGTGAACCTCAAGGAGATCTGGGCAAGTCTCAAAATTCCATTTCACCATGAAGTGATGCTTTCATCAACTTACTTTTCCTATTGATACAGGCCGTTGATGCAGCCGAAGCCCGTCATTGCTCTATCCATAAACATATCGGCCAAATTCCCAAAGTGTGACCCCTCATACCAAGTCTCAAAATACCCCTAGGGATATCAGTTCTTGCTTTTTGTGTCATTCTTTTGAAAAAAGTCCATACCATCTTCTCAGTTTTTTTTTCTATTATATGGTGCCTCTGATCAATGTAATATTTTTGCTTTATATGAATACAATTCAAATGTAAGAACTCCAGACTCTCACCTCGAGAAATTCAAGCAAACCAAAGACGCAACATTCATGGCCTGGAGAGCTGTCTATGAGGTACCTCTTGGGATCTACTTCCATGTCATGAAATTTCGATAGGAAGGGCTTGTTTATTGAAATTTTTATTGATCTTCAAGTAAATGGAATATTGGAAGTAGATTGGAGGACTTCCTCCCCAATCTACAGTCCTTGTAAATGTCTGAAAACCCCAATTTTCGCTAGGCAAATAGCCTACAAGCCTGTCATCCTGGCTTTACATAGGCTGTAAAGGCAAAGGGAAGTCCTCCATTGTCTAACATAGTTCGAGCATATCAAAATGACATGCATATTACCTCTGTTCATTAAACTGTGTGTCCTCATTCCAAAAACATTGTACCCAGGTTTTCATCAGCTCACAAAAGCATGAAAACAGAGGAAGATTATGAATACTGCTGAATTCTGGGCTCAAAAGTGGAAGAGTTTAGGGCCAAAAAAGGAGTTCTTATTTTTGGGAAGGGCTCATGGAAAAAAAGTGTAAAGAACCAATGTTTTTTATTCACTGGTATCAAGTCAGGTTTAAATAGACTAAATACAAATGATGAAAATGTGGTTGTGAGAAATGAATAACAAAATCCATATTGAATAAAAGAATGAGAGGAAGAAACATGAGTCTTTGGAAGAAACAAACCAGACAGGGCTTCTCAGTCTTTTTTAGTCAAACCAGATGGGTTAATCAAGAAAAACATGCTATAATCCACAGATATTTAAAGTTTTTAATTCTAAGTAAACAGTCTTTAGTAAATCAAACAGAAAGATCAGGAAAGAGAACAAAGCATCTTAGAGACATGAGTTGTTGAGAAGAGCATTAATTAGGGTTCATATTTGACTCAAAAGGGGCTCAAGAACCACAAAAAACAAGCTACTTGATGAGTATAATCTAGTCTGATTTTATGATGACTAGAGGGTGATGAAGGGCAGAGAGAGACAGAATGAGAAAAATTCAACAAATACTTATCCTCATCCTGAAATGGCTTCAGTTGAGATTTCCCAAGTAAATTTGTGTGATTTTGTAGCGAGTTCATCCACATTTTGAAAATTTTACAATATGTGAGTCTTATCAAAATTTTCTGGTAGACCTTCATTTGCATGTGGTGTAAATTTTTTTAGAGCTTCTGAAAGCTGAGTTTGTGTATTTGGGTCCCACAGTTTTTGATCTTGGGGTTTTATAATCTTGAGCAGACCCATAAGTCAAAGTCACCTTTTCATAAATTCAAGCTACAGTACCAGAACAATTGGCTGGGATGTTTGAATTTCCCTCAAGCTGGCTTACATTTGATCAATTTTTACTTGGTTCAGTGCAATCCACACAATCCAGCCAATCACACTGCCATATGTGACTGGTTTGGAATATCCCCACTTGAACTGGGATTTACATCATCACTTTTGGATTATTGGAGTGTCTCCCAGTTCAAATGGCATTTGGAAATCATCCAACTACATGGGGGTAGTGTCATGTATTGAATATCCTGAGATGAAAGGTGCGTAAGATTTGAAATTTGGGAGAAATGTCTGGGTTGCACCAATTCCCACTCCATTGCATTGGATGCCTTTTTGAATTAATTGATGACCAGTAGCAATAGAATGATTTATAATCCAGAGGATCTCTATTTTGAACAAGACTCATTTGTAGGAATTTGAGGTCAAGTACTTTATTGCAACTAATATCCAAAAGCTAATAGTAGTAAAGAACTTAGAACAATAAAGAATAAAAGATTAGAGAAACAAGAAACAATAGGAAGAAAAAATAAAGTTGATGAAAAGAGGGAAATGAATTCTTCAAGTACCTTCAGATATTCTTGTCCTGACTACAACTCAACACTTAGACGCGCGAAACAGTATTAGGAGATAATGAAATAACAAGCAAGCCTGAAGAAATGAAATAAGATCAATAACCTGGAACACATGAGATGAGAAAACAATATAGAAAGAAAGAAAAGAGTCAATTATACCTCCACTTGTGTTATAACTGAGCTCCTCCTGAGTTCCGTTGGTCTTAAGCAAGTGGTTAGGCAGTACAAGAATGAGGCAGCTTGGGTGTGGATCAATAGGTGATTAAGGGACTAAAAGGTGGACAGTGAATGGGGATCAAGAAAGTTGTTGATCGGTTCTTCACTTTTCAGGGGACTGAAGTGAATCTGATTTTGAGTTCAAATTTTCATATTGAATATATGTTAACAATGTGGGTCTATGCATTGTACACAAACGTAGCCAGAACCATTATTTGACATCATTTCATATCAATCTCGACAGTTACTTTTTCTTGGATCTACACTTGAAGGTTTATTAACCAGTCAAAGCACACCCTGGCAAAGCTTATTGCTCTTCAAGTAAATGGAGTATTGCAATTAACTTGGAGGACCATAGGGAATTTTGAATTACCAAGCTCACTTTTCCCACCCTTTTTCCTGCCAAAAAGGATAGTGTTTGGACTCATTCACTGGAAAAACACAAGGCCAGTCTCCTTCTGCAGGCCAATGGTGCAGCCCTACTGTCACAACATGCCATAACCATCTCAAGCAGAGGCTTGGGCTAAAATCCATTTTTCCTAATCTGAGTTTAACTCAACAAGAATAATTGTTTTATGTGGGTGAAAATGTGTGTTTTCCTACACAGTCTCCTGAGAAGATTCTTCCATTTTCTATGCAGATCAATATCAAGAATTGCTCATGTTCAGAGTTATGTAAATACATATGTGTCTGTTTAAGGAAAAGCTTTGAGATGGCTTACTCATCTAGTAGTAGAATCAATCCTTCACCCTCACGACTTATTCAAATTCCTCATACATAAATGCTGATCATTGGTATGAAACCCAGACCACCCCCAAGGAAAGAGCATGAGTGATTGGATTGTTACATTGGGATATTTACATTGATGGAAAATCAAGAGACAATAGTGGCCTAAATCAACTAAAATAAATAAGTCACTGTTTTCCTCTTTTTTTGCCAAATCATTACAAGAATCATTCTACTTCAATAATTGACAATTATTCAAGTTGAAACTTTTCATCTTTTTTTAACAAAAGGGGGTGATAGAAAGTTGAAGTAGAAGAGAAACATAAATCAAATAATCAAGGTTAGATAGGACAAAAAGAGGCTCTGCATGGCAAGGAAAGAAGACCAAAAGATTTGCAAGGTGAGAGAAGTAGAGATATATGGAATTTTCAAAAAAAACAAGCTGCCATGTAATGTTATGTGTGTGCATACAAATCATTGCCCAATACAAACCAAAGTAAGCAAATTGTTAACACACGCACTGGGTGGCTAAAGGAAGAGAGAGAAACCCAAACTAAGATGCAGAAATGGAAAAAGACGGGGTTGTAAGATCAAAAGCCTCTCCATTGTTGATTTGGATTTTGACTAGGGAACTGATTCTGGGGCGGGATTCCAGTCTGTTGATTGATGAGATAGCCGCCAGGAGCGAACCCGGTGGGTTGTGCCGTCAACGGCTGCATCATCCCCGCTTGTGATTGTTGTTGCTGTTGTTGCATCTGGACATTATTGGGCATGAATTGTTGCGTGAATGTCCCACCAGTGGATCCGAAACCTAGAAAATGTAACCAGCGTCTAATCAGTCATCTCCTTTTATCCTATCCAATCACCGATCTCTCAAGATGTAAAAATACTCACCCGTTGGCTGTGCTCGTAATGCGTTGTATTTGTTCGGATCCTGGGGCCCCGCATTCGCATTTTGAGCAAACTGTCCAGTCTTCATCTGGCCGAAGATATCGCTAGGATTGAAGCTTTTAGCCGGCGGCTGGGAGGAGCCGGCATATATACTTGGAATGCTGGGCACAGGTGGAGTTAAGCCAGACGAGAAGGCTGGATTGAAGCCAGTCATTTCTATGAAAAGAGTGAGTCGATCAGCTATTTAATCATGTCCATGCCCCGGGGATATTGGGAACCTACGCGGCTGCATGTTTCCCATTTGGTTCATTCCAGTCGGCTGGGGTGCCATCCCTGTCATATGGGACTGCATCATCCCTGTCGGTTGGGATTGCATCATTCCTGTCGGCTGGGACTGCATCATGCCTGTGGGCTGCGATTGCATCATCCCGAAGGCCGGAGGTTGCATCATCCCAGTGGGCTGAGACTGGATCATCTGGATTCCAGCTTGATTGCCCATACCGAGACCCATGCCGGTGGGTTGCATGGTCATTGGGTTGGGAGTGAACCCGCTTGATGAGTTCATTTGTGAGTTTGTGGGGTTGAAGCCTGTGGGCTGTGCTTGGAGAGTGTTTGGACGCGTCGGGACAAAACCAGACATACCCGAATTGAGTGGCACGAGAGCTAAGACGGCGAATACATACACATATAAAAATCATTTGTAAGGTGTATGCATCTCGGAAGTTCAACTTTGATGGGCTACTTACGATTTAAGAGTGGTGCATTGGAAGCAACAGGTGCCAACGGCCCACGGGGGCCGTTAGGATTAAAGCCAGTGGGTTGGGGAGCAACGGGCGGCATAGGAGCCGATACAGGGGCCGACTGGCTCGCTGCAGCTTCACTCTGCTTGGCATGATTCATGATCTTCTCAAAGATTTCGTCGTTCAATGAAGGTTTTGATGGTTCTGATGTCGGCTTCAAGTCTGCCGATGATGTAGCCGGTGTTGCATTGATCGAAGCAGATCTAGCAGGAGGATTGGCAACAGGTGCCGGTGCGGCAGGTGTCGTCGAGTTCGGCCTGACTTGCCAAGCATCATCATCAAAGCCACTCGCAGTGCTGGACGGTGTAATCGATATCAGCGAGGAATCGGCAGATGTCGAAGATGTTCCAGCCTGTGGAGCATCAACCAATTTGTCTTTGGCATTCGTGATCGAGTCGATGTCGACCGCAGAGGAGCCGGATCGATTCGGAGTAGGGCGCCCCCTCCGGGTGTTCTTGAGTGACCCATTGGGACCGTTGGTGAATATGTTGGGGGCAGGGGCGACATCCTGTTGTTGCAGTTTTCTAGCAAGTTCTTCATCTTTCTGGATTTGGGCGGTGACAGCGTCATTCCCTTCGGAGCTGCCATACTTCTGCTTGATATATTTCCGAACACGAAGTACATCACCTTCTCGCAGACCCAAATTTCGCATTGTACCTGGTTCCAAATCTGGTAGTAAATTTTCGTCAATTCGATCTCTTTCAAAGTTCGTCGAATAGCGGGTGCAGTCATCCAAATCACATCCAGCGTTCAGGAAGAATTCAAACCAATCGATTGGCGGCTTGGCAGGACCACTGGGCCTTTTTGGAGGCTCTGAGGGAGCAGATCGAGCAACAGGGCGGTTGGGGCTGAGAGCTAGAGTTGCAAGAGGAATATCGTCGGCATCTTGGTTCCTGAGAGTTCTCCCTGTAGCACCTTCTAACCAAATCACATCCTCAGATGACATCTTGGCCAGAGGAACTTCGATCGTGACACCGTTGAGTTTATGAAGTCTGATTTTCCCATTCTGCAATCCTCGAAATTCAGCTTCCACTTTGAATTGACCAGTTCTATCGCGCCAGGTACGAACCAAACCTTGAGGTTCTTCATTCGAGAATGTTGAAAGCGAGTCCGAAGGCAGTACTTTGATCAGCATTCGGTTAGACTTGTAATCCGATCAAGCCCATAGAACTCACTAGATCTACCTTCCCGCGGAGCAGAATCAGGTCTTCGAGGTGGAGCGGGAGTCGAGCCATTGTCATCTTGATAGCTCATCCCTTGTGCAGAATCTGGCCGTGCAGTCAACTTTGGAGGCGAAGGTCCATTTGAGAATCCTGGATTGGTCATTGCACGCTCCGCTTCGCGTCTTCTGGATTCCGATTCTTTTTTTCGGCGAGCGGCGAGTTCAGCCTCGGCATTCTTGCGCTGTTCGGCTTCCCGGGCGATGATCAACTTGCGATCAGCAGCTCTAGCATTTTCCAATTGTGCTTCCGAGCTATCCTCGTTTGCAAGTTGCTGAGCTAATCGAGCGTCTTCTTCCTCTTGAATCCTCCAATTCTTGGCAGTGACGGCAGCGGCTGCTGTCATGGCGGCTTCTGCAGCTTCCTGATTTCCTGAGGGTTGGCCCTGGTCTAATTCAATGTAGCTAGCCGGGACAACACCTTCCTTCCCATCGGACTGCATGGCGCATTTCCACCAGTCATCGTCTGAGGTGTCATCCAGAACATACAATCGGTCTCCCTCCTCCACCGTCAATTCATCATCGCCCTGAGCCTCGAAATCGTACAAAGCCGTCGCAGGTTTTCCCAGAGGAGCGGCAAAGGACACTTTGCGACCATTCACTCCTGAAGGTTTGTCGGGGTTAGCCATGGCAGAAGGGGGGCGTACGGCGGGTGATAGAAGAGTTGGGAGACCGGTGTTAGATTTTGGCTTGGGTGGAGATGCCGAAGGTTGTTGCTGGAAACGTTGGATCTTGAGTACAATTTCATCCAAATCTTTCTCTGAAACTTGGAAGTGGCGTTCCTCAGAGCCACATTGCAACATCAGATGTTTTCCCTTTTCCGTCTTGGTGATAGACACACTCGACATATCATATTTTTGGATGCCCGACTGAAGAAGCAAAGTCAGTTTTCGAGCAGAGAGATGTCGGTTTCATGAACCTTCAATTGAAGTAAGCCGACTCACTTTGTCAGATTCACTAGCAAAAATCAAGGAGCTCGAGTCGATTACCAGAGTTCCTTTTCTCTTCTTTTTTTTATGGTCTATATCCTAGCGATCAAAAGAGAGTTCTGATTGGCTTTCTTCGTTTAAGATAAGTTTGTGGAAGATCAGTAACCGAGCTTGCTTACCGTGACCGACCAGGTGTTCATTCCAGCGGCCCCATTACTTTCTGGATTCGAGATACCGGAGTGACTGGCAGGGGTTGGGATAATCTCGGAAGCAGGTCCCTCTGACTGATCGATGTCCTCATTATTTTCGACAGCTTCGATATAAGCGGTCGGCACATAACCAACGCCCCTGCCGCTCTCTTCCAAATGCCGGCCAACCAGCGACCAGTCTCCGTCTTCTTCATATAATTGTAATGATTCATCTTCCTGTATTATCTGTTGGTAAAACAACGAGGAAGAAGATGATTAGATGACATTGTAAATACGACAGTTACATTAGTAATTTCGCACCAGTTCGTCCTCAGTCTGAGCTTCATAAGCGTAGAGGGCGGTAACCAAACGAAGTGGTTGAGCTGGTACGACGTAGTTAGCTGGTACCAGACCAGATTGAGGGGGATCGGCGGAAGTAGGAGATGCTTTGAGTTTGACTTTGAACCAGCTGATCCAGAGGATGGATAGGATGAGTTACTGAGCGGCGTCTCAAGGGGATTGATAGAGCGAATGGCTCACTCTGGATCAGAATCGTCCAATAGATAGTAGAGCATCTCTTCTTCCAAGGCGATCTCATCATCGGTTTGGGGAGTGTAAGCATACTCGGCTTTGAGCAAGGCGAGATGAGCAGGTGAAGCCATGGTGGTTTGTTCGATGGAGCCAAGTTGGACTGAGCTGGACGAGTATTTATGAGGAAGTTAATACATGGATGAAAGATAATAACCAATACGATCAGGTGGTAGTATGAGTATGGATGCAGGCTTGAAGGGGAGGTGGTGTGTACTGAAGCATCCACACTCCGATTACGTAATAAACCACTTTCAGCCGAAAATGACCACACTCGGTGACCCTCTTTGGCTACCCGACCTGATGTCATACATAGTTCCACTCCTTCCCTCTCATGCACAGCTCATCAGAAGGAACCCTTGCACACAACTGCAAGGCCTTCATACTGGAAACTGAGATTCAAGTTACTCCTCGGTCAACTTCAATTTTGAAGAAAGAGACATTATGTCTAAGAAAATTGAAGAGGATTATTGGGTGCGGAAATTCACCCACATTTGGATCGACTGCTGTTTGCTCAGAATTTTCGCGACATTTTTCAGTCAATATGATGCTCACACATACAGTTGTCTCAACATTTTTGCAGGGAGTTTGTACAGATAATCATATGATTTGATTCATAAAATTTGACAGATTAATAGAGTGGAAATGCCTACACATGGGTTTATATACATGTAAAAGATCAACAGAAAAAAAAAAGATGAAAAGTCACAAATGCTAACGTGCCAGAAGCCAATATGAACAGAAAAACCAAAGAGGGAGCCAAAGAAGAAAGAGGGGAAAAAAAAATAAAAGATCAAGGAAGAAAAGCAAGAAGTCTAAGCGATCACTGGGTTCTTGCCCTTTTTCTTGATGCCCTTGGCCGCTTTTTTGAGAAGCTTCTCCTCCTTTGCCTTTTGCTTCTTGAGCATCTTCTCGGTCTTACGAGTCGACGGTTCAGACTCAGTGATCGCAGTTTCCGGATTAGCTAGCTCGTTTTCTTCTTGGATTCTGGCGGCTTCGGCCAGATCCAAGGCGGTTTGCTCGGCGAGTTCGGCCTTGATTTGTTTCTTGACTCCACGCTTCTCCTTGCGCTCTTGCTTGACCAAAGTCCTCTTCGCAAACCACTTCTTCGTTCTTTTGATCATCCCGCTTTCAGGACGGCCTTTCAATGATGTGACATACTCTACGGAAGCCTTTTTCAAGTATCTGGCCAAGTCGTTTGCCAACCGTTCTTCATCCAAATCGTATCTGTCTACAATTTCTTGAGGCAGATTTTGTTGGAAAGCTTCTATCATCTTTCTTACCATCTCGGGTGCAGGTTTGTGTAACGTCGGGGGAAGGACAGTTTTCTTGGATGCAGCTGAAATTGGTTCGGATCCGGATCCTTCTTGCTCGGCAAGAGTCTCGAATCGCTCGCTCGGCTGGATTTCTTCGGCGGTCGAGGGCGGGAAGGAGAGAGGGTCAATTCGACTGCAAATGTTGTAGAGCAACTTCATCACAGGCTCGAATATTTCTTGATCTGCAGTATGGACTCGGAAATAGCTGTCTGCAGAGGCATCCGTCGGCGTTCCTGCGGATTCCTCCATTCCGATTTCCACGGCTTGAGATGAAGAGGCTTCGATGGATTGTTCTGTGGCTTTGTCTGAAGCTTTGATCTTCTTTTGACTGGATTTCTTGCTAGTGAGGGCCTTGACCTTGCGTAGTCCGTAGATTTGGAAAGCCAAGTAGGCAATGCTTATTTCAACAAAGAACACCGGAGCGAAGAAATCACTAGAAAAATAAGATACTAGTCAGCTAACGCTCTGGGAGACCTTATATTCGAGTGGTATTTGGTACTCACATTCCTGCAGCAATCGGTAAAAAGCAAGAGACACTAGAAAATTGAAATAGCCAATCAGTTCAAACAGCCCAAACATCTTGGGTGGGAATCCATGTTAAGAGAAAAGCAGAATTGATGACCCACACAACCAATCTGACGACGATTCCTTTCTTAGTCTTTCTGAGCAAGACATTCAAGTCGTGTAACAAGTCTTCCTCGGTTGGCTGGTATGGCTGATCGGACCCCTCTGGGCTGGTCTCTCCAGAGAACTCCGGGTAAAGGACCAAGATCTGGATATCAAGGAAGTTATAAACTAATCAGCCATGATTTTTTTCTTGCGAAGTAATCTAAAGTGTCAGTGCTTACTTCTCCTAACTTGTGCTTGGGGGGCACACGTGCCAATGTTTCGACACAAGATGAAGGGAGCCATTGACTCATCATTGATGCACCCTATAGTCAAATCATGTTAGTCAATCAGTGGATAACGATGGTGTTTTGAAATGACTCACTCTGACAAGTGCAGCTCGAGCTTTGACCACCTTGCGGAATTTACCCGCGTTAGGAATTTCCTTTCGCTTCACCTGCTCGCCCTTCCGGACTTCTTTCTGGTAAATCCGAACCACGCGCTTGAATAGCTTTTCCTTTGGACGCTTTCCTTCTTCATCCTTCAGTGGTCTTTCATATGGGCGACGAGGTGGAGAGCTGCAGCAAGAGAAAGAAGGTAGACTCGTCAATGAAACATCTCCAACCGGGTACAATTTGAATGTGGCACAAAGTGAAAAAAAGTCTTACTATATCAAGAAAGGTGTCGTGTTCTTGGAGCGTCGTCCGACAACTGGTGGCGGAAGAGGGATCATAAAAACGACACTAGGAAGTGACCCGGGTTCATCCACGGGGACATCGCCCAATTCACTTGGTGCCACATCACCTCGAAAGCCGATGATACTGTTGATGTCTTCGTCATCAATAGAGCCAATTTCGTGAAGTTCTGGCTCAGGCGCGTCTTCAGCGGCGACAGAAGGGCGATTTTCGTGAGAAGCGGTAGGTAAATGATAACCTGGGGTGGAATTCACGTTGCTACCCGCATCGGCAACTCGAAGGGTTTGGCTAGCATTCCCAGCAGCAATTGAACCTGGCATGGTGAGAACTTGAAGCGGCGTGAAGAAAAGTTGATTGGTCTGGTAGGCGGAAAAAGTAGAAATGAAAATAAGAAAAACGCTTGCGAAACAGCTCTTGTAAAATTGAAAAATCTAAGGGGGGGTAAGTAGAAACAGAAAAGGTTGAATGGTCTGGCAGGCGAGAAATATATAACTGGAATCGGGAAAACGCTTGCGAACAGCTCTTGTAAGATTTAAAATCTAAGGAGGTAAGTAGAAACTGGAAATTGGAATACTGAAAACTGAAGATGATGGTGAAAAGGAAAAACGGTCATGGAAGCAGAGTTTTATATCTTTAGAATCCTAGTAAGCGTTCCATAGTAAGCGTACAATAAGTGATGCCGTCGAAACACCAGACGTCGCACATCTGAACTTAGCAATGCCATGCCGTTACTAAATCATGAGATCGACAGCCTTACAGGCCATGGTCATGGTTTCGCTCACCTTGAGTGCGACGGTATGTTAGTTTGCTACGTGTACTAATCCTTTCCACCCGCCGTGGCAGAGATCAGCGGCAGTTAAATTTCAGGGAAATCACATCACCACGCTCGTTGAAGATAACCACCAGCTCAAGTCTCAAGCTAGGCTTTGGCCAAGCACTTTCTATGAGTTTGATCAAATTTGAGCATGCGTTCTTTACCTGAGCAACCGCCGTCTCAGTGATTTGATGCGAATTGGAAACCGCTGAGCCGGAAGAAGTCCGCTCCTTTTGTCGGAGTCAACATACGATCCCGAAAACGCTGAGGGAGTGACGGCATTTCTAGACGACTGATTGATCAGCAATTTTTCCAACAGCTTGTCGGTAAGTTGCTATCCAGGCAGTCGGAACTTCTGTAACTAGAGCATAGAGGGCTTGCCGGGAAACTACAGATTTGTTTTCAGCCACCAGGCGCAAGGCCTTTTGAGATCTGTGTTGGTCGGGTTTTCATCAGGAATCTGGTGGTCCAAATTTTACAAGCTGAGTCACACATCTTGCTGATAAATAGACTGATTTCAACTTCAAGAACTTGCAAGAAGGGCTGCAATTTTGAGAACAGCAGGTGCTTGACTATGTTACAGAAATTAAAAATTAAAAATGAAATCGAATCCTTCGTAGTTACCAGTGTACACGTTTGGGGGAACAGTCCCTTTAAATGCCCAAGACAACTGAAGAAAAGTCATATAGGATTCCAAAGAAAAAAAGTGGAATGTCGCCCCTCGATTCCCTGCGAGGCTTCAGGCTCAGATGCTTGCCCTAGATTATGGTGTAACAGAAGAAAAAATATAACTTGAGAAAAATTGTTGGGACCTTGATTGGTTAATCGATGTGCATCGGTTTCTCATTTACAGCTAAAGAAGATTGTTCGGTGACAAGACATGCGCTATGTATGTACGCAGCCCCGCGCCGCAAGCCGCGCGCAGCTCGATTGCCCAGTGATTCGACAGCAAGGAAACCTCGGGTGTCATCCCAGCAAATCCAACCACCTCGACAACCTTTGAACCCGAACCCTTCCCCTCCAAACCACTGCTTTTGACTCTTGAGTTTGTTCAGTAACAATGGTAAGTCCATCCGTCTCATGTATCTGAATCTTCGAAATCAAGTCGCATGGTTCAACGAAGCTTCTAACATCCATATTTTGGTGGCACATCAGGCTTCAGCTTGGACAGAACATCGATCTCCGACCGGTCGGTTGTATTGGTTTAATGCTCAAACGGGTACTTCATCATGGGAACGACCCGAAGCTCTGAAGACCCCAGCTGAGCGTGCATTAGCATCGACACCATGGAAGGAATACCAAACCGCCGAGGGGCGCAAATATTGGCACCACACCACCACTAAAGAAACCACTTGGACTTTGCCTGATGCAGTACGTGAGGCTATCGAAAAAGCTGCTGCTTCCGCACCTCCTCCAGCCCCACCCGCGTCTTCTCAGCCTGTTTCTTCTGCTCCCGGTCCTCCCCCAGCTCCCATGCACCCCACCTTTGTTCCGGCCTCAACCCCGAACCCAGCAGCGACCCCCGCCACCCCCGCGGCTGCACCGGCTGGAACTACTCCCACAACCAACTTGCCACCTCGTCCGGTCACTTCAATCCTCCATTCAGCCCCTGTGACAAACCATGCTCCCGTACCAATGCCTGATTTCAAGAGCCCCGAGGATGCCGAACGTGCTTTCATCGGCCTTCTTCGATTAAAAGGCGTAACCCCTTCGTGGACATGGGAGCAGACCATGCGTGATATCATTACCGAACCCCTCTACAAGGCTCTCGATACATTAGCTGCCAGGAAAGCCGCATGGGAGAAGTTTATTGATAGCGAGCGCAAACGTGAGAAAGAAAACCGTGAGAAGAATATCGCTCGAGTTCGTGCCAGCTGGGATGCTGGACTCGATGGCCTCAGCGAAGAAAAAACAATTGTTGACGACCAAGGTTCAGAGGTCAAACTCCCTGGAGCACCCCCTAGGCTATGGTGGACTTGGGATCGATTGAAGCTTGAGGTTGAACGACGAGCCCCTGAAGTATGGAAATTGTGTAGAGATGACGAAGAGCGCAGGGTGTTATGGGAAGACTATCTCACTGAACTCAGGCAACGAGACACAGCGGCCGCGAATCAACTTCGGGGAAGGCAGCAGGAGAAATTGACGAGTCTACTCAGAGCTCATCAAGAAAAACTGAATCTACCTGGCGAATTCGAAATGATCCAATGGCGGGTGGCTCAGGAAGCGATTTTACAAAGCGAGGATTTCCAAAATGATGAAGACTTGCGAAAGATGGACGACTTGGACATACTTATCGTGTTTGAGGAAGAAATAAAACGGGCAGAGAAAGAGACAATGGAGCTGAAGGCGAAGCAGAAAGATGAAAAGCGTCGGTCTTATCGTAAAACACGGGCTGCATACATTAAGTTACTTCATGAACTCAAACTTTCCGGGCAAATCCATGCCGACACAATGTGGAAAGAAATTTATCCCGTTTTGAAAGACGATGAGCGTTACCAAAACATGCTTGGCATAACTGGAAGCTCCCCTCTGGAATTGTTTTGGGACGTCATCGATGATCTTCAGCTTGAACTTGAGGATAAGCAGAAAGTGGTTGAAGATCTTCTGGAGGAACGAAACAAGAAGGTTGGCGAAACCACGGAGTTTGATGAATTCTTAACATGGCTGCCCAATGATATGGAACCTCATAAACTGGATCGACCGATGCTGAAACAAATCTTCCACATGGTAAGAAAGCCCACTTATTTACAACTGTTTGTTATGTGTTGATAATGTGATGTCGGGGTAGACTTACAGGTGTTTATTTTTCGTTTATACGTTTAGCTCGTCGATTATGCAGTTCGAACAGCAAAGGAAGAAAAGCGCCGTGCCGAGAAACGTCTTCGCAATCAAATCGAGGACCTTCGTTACGCCCTCAAGAAGCTTTCCCCGCCCGTTAAACTTGACACTCCCTATGAAGAAGCCTTGGAACGATTCTCACACTTGTCCGAGTTCAAATCGCTTGAGGGTCAGGATGAAGGTCGCAAAGAAGCCTTCAATCGATATATGGAAAGGCTAAAAGAAAAGGCGTCGGTCGAAGACAAGAGAAGCCGGCGCAAAGAGGAAGAGTCGTACCGGTCTGATTCCAGGAAAAAAGGATCGCTAGCGCAACTCTCCGACAATGAAAGTGTCAATTCTGCTAGCAAACGGAGACGTAAGGATCCTCTTGAAGACGGCAAATATCATCGTCATCAATCCCCTCGTACCAATCGACTGCATGAAGATATCTCATCTCCCAGGGGCAATGGCGAACACCGCGAAGACAAAGAACTCGACAAGGATCATGAGCGAAGTCTTGGGAGGGACCGTGACCCCGAGAATGATCGCGAGAGAGACGACAATCCTAATGCGGACCAAGCCACCACTGGCCAAGCTCCAGAGGGTGACAACGAGAAATCTAGAAGTCGAGATAGAGAGCGCCGCAGAGATAGTGAACGGGAGAAAACTGAAGAACGGTCAAAAGACCGAGCAGACAATCGTGATCGTCCAAGCAGCCGGCTTTCAGCTGATGATCGAGACCGCCGTAGAAAAGAATATGATCTGGATCGACATGGATCCCGACGACATCGTTCTTCGCGCAGGGGAGACCGGGATCATGACGATGACAGTAGGCATCGTGGAAGTCGACACGACGAGGATGACGGACAATCCCGTGAGAAGAGGTCAGAGAATGGCTTGTCGGATAAACGGGCTAGAAGCCAAGACCGCCCTGAAAGTCGCAAAAAGAGCGACACGGTGCCATCGGACCAGGAACGTGATAGCAAAGTATGTAATCTATCACACTCTCATTAACAATCCCCGAACTCCGACATTGATGAGATATGAGTAAATTTGGTAGCGCCCTAAGACTGTGCAGCCCCAACCCGAAAAGCCAGCGGAAAAAAGCGATGGTGAGGAAGGCGAATTGGAAGGTTAATCACATAGAGTCGCTATGTGTTCACTTACGCTGGGATCTCTTTGTAGTTATTTCAAAGGGCACCCCCTGATTGCATCAACGAGATGGCTCTCGATCGACGAAATATGCCACTCGTACTTGCAACCCTGAGATTTAAACACTAGCCTCTTTAAGCTCGTTTATGCCATGTAGGCCAATGCGTCTCTTCTTCTTTGTTGGCATGACTATTCACCAGAACAAATAATCTCCGTTTATACCTTGTTACATATTTCTGATGTTTCGGTGGGATTGTCACATCCCATCTGTTGAGACTGATTCATAACAAGTGAATTGATGTAAGCTGGCTCAATATGCCTGTACAATGCTTCAGCAATTACTGCCAGCTGCCACGGATAGCTAACAAACTGTGAGCTAAGAAGTTCCAGATCACGTGAAAATACAAGCTGTATCTTGTTGGATTGTATGGTTACAACGCTTGATGGATGCTCAACCTGAATCTTTCGAGTCCAGAAAGCGTTAGACGCATTGAAGCTGATACCGATATTTTAACCGCGCTAACGGGCCAGTTCTGTCTTCTAAATCATCAAGATACTTGGCATGCCTTTTTTGTTGAAACCTACAAGATTTAGTTGGTGTTGTGACAATCCACATCATAGCTGCTGGTGTCAGGCTCAGGTGGAAGGGCAGATGAGGGTGAAATCAGGATATACCAAAGTGGGATTATTATAGAGTGGATGTGGTTGATCAGAAGATGCGGCGGAGCCACATCAGTCCTGTCGATTCCTGTGCGCTTGATTGCAAGACTATTTCAAGACCTTGTCATCTTGATGAGTGATCATGATCTTTTGTGAATTATCTCTATCTGTGCATTTGATCTTCCTTTCCTTGTCCTGACAGATATCCCATTTTTTTAGCTACACCAGAAGATATAATCAACTGTAACCAGTGAGAACTTACAGTTAAGGTCCTACTATGCCACGTCGCACCAAACGCGTTCCTCTAGTCATCTCATGTTATCATTTGTTTCAATGTTTCTAAATCTGTCGATTTCACTCTCAATTTCTTACATCCTAATCACGCTAATCAAGTTTTACATTCGAACTCTTCCAGCTTTATAATCCATTATCGAATTCTTGAATAACCTTCCTCGTTTCCCATTCACATATGTAGTACCCTACACGAGCCACAAAGGTTAGGGGGGCTTATGCACTCCACCATGTGCGCATTACTCCGGAACCATCTGTGGCGATTTTTGATGCTTCATCTCTACACTTGAGCTGGCGGGTTAATCCTTGGACAGCTCTGGCAAGTTCTACTTCTCTTCGTGTCAAGTGACATTCGCATTTTCTTCAATAATTTCGCTCTTTTACCCACAGCATTTCATCCGTCTAGAAACGTTTTTGCATGTACTGGAGGACTTCCCGTCGGGATTTAGACGCCAGTCTAAATTCTAAATTCTAAAATTCCTTGTCTAATTCCAAATTTCATCACCAAAAATTGGAGAATAGAAATAGGAAATAGGAAATAGCCGGGTATCTAAACTGACGGGAAGTCCTCCACTATATCATGTGTTTTTTATTTTTCATTTTTTTTCCTCGCTTTCCCTATGCTTCCTGTAATTATCTCTCACTTGTATGGAACATGTCTCTCTTTTTCCTCTGCGATCACTTGATTTGCATGTCTGTTGTGGGTTTTCGAAATCGATTACACTGTCACCAATTATTATGATCCATGTGAGTTAAATCAACCGGAATACGTTACATCCGCCTTCGGCCAAAATGTTCACAAAGAAGAACTAAAGAAATAAATTTGAGAACCTGATTGCGGCCGGGCGCCGCCTTCGGGCTCTTCACTACTGTGAGAAGGAACTCTTCAATTCCCCAAATTGGACTGAATTAGGATATTGCACTTCATTTCAAAGCCACATGAGCAGTTCCTTGAGGGGAATCGCGGTCTTCTGTCCTCAAAGCTTGATGGCCTCACGATTCACCTCGCGCTTGTGAATGTCCGTCTTATGTGGCACGTCGACGCTGGGATTCAATCTTACATTTCTTGGGCGCGGATCGATTTCAGTGTCTGTTGGCCACAGACATTCCCAGTCCACTCGGGACCGTTAATTTCCGGAGATGAGACCAGATCAACATATTGGTTGCCAACACTCCAGTGACAGAAGCACAGACCTCAACGAGTCTCGGCCTTTCAGCCGCGCGGGTCTAGCCAGCCGATGGACGGATAGTCTTTCACCTCACTTTTTGTGAGGGCTCGGGATTGTAGCCAGGGTGGTCAAGATTGTCTAGGTCAGGCTCAAAGGCCCGTTTCTAGACTAGCAGGGTTATTTTCTTGGATACTTTCCCTAACAACTAACTCCCATGCTGACTTCACTTCTTGGCCAGCCTGATTTGTGGTTTTCTTCACTTGGGCTGGTGCTTTCGTCCTGAGTTGGACTTCAATTCGCTCTTGGCGGTGATATCCGGTTTATGTACCTCGTCGGTAGACAAGATGCTTGAGTGATAGTACAAAAGGCTTTACTGATAGCCTAGGAAGTTATCAAGTGTTTTCTAACCCTTCTATCCTTCTTAACATTCGTTCGGAAGCGATCTCTACTTTCTTGACTGATTCACTTTGACTCTTGAGTCTTTATCTTTCGTTTTCACCTAATTTGTCAGACACCCTGACCTTTCTTTTTAACATTTGACTATTCCCTTACTTTTTTTTTCATAACTTCTCATATTTCTGGAAAATAAAATGCAAGCCATTTTTATTGTAATCTCATTTTTGGCCCTCTTACAAGCTTCAAACGTGGCTGCTTTTCCGACCGACAATTCAGAACCAAAAGATTCCACGAGGCCTTCATCATCATCAACCGTACTACAACTTTCCAGACGCGGGTCTTTGACAGATGAAAAGACGGGCTTATTGGATCAAAAAACTCTTGATGCGCATCTCCGTTATGTGTGAGCGAAAACCATTTTGATTTTTTTTTGAATGCAGCAGCTGAATATCCGAGTATTTTCCCCCATGATTTCTTGAGGATACTATAGTTTACGAAAGCAGGTTATCGGCGCCATGAATTATTACAAAAACACCGGAAGTGTGTAAGTGCTCATTCCCTTTGGAGCGGTTCTATTCTCATTCAATATCGCAAAAAATCTTACGCGCCAGTCCCCCTACTCTTCTGACAGCTTGGCCACGTTCAATATGACACCCTTTCAACTCGAGGATGTGTACCAATCTGGTTCCGTGCCGCTGATAACCTCTGATGATACCCCAGAGGGTACTAACAAAACTGAGGGATCTGACCAGCCACTCAGCTCACTAAGAGCTGTCAATCAACCTGAAACAACCGACACCCTCTCAAGATCTCGGGCGCAAGGGAGAACCATCCCTTTGGATAATCTGTGAGTATACTTGAATTATGTTTCGTGGTTGAATGTGATTCTGACCGGGCTTCTGAATTGGGACATGACTTTTTTTCAGAGGCGAAAAGGATTTGATCTGGTAATTGATTTCTCTTCTTCACATCTTATCCGACATTTTTCCTAAGATTAACCATTGCAAATTTTCTGAACTGAACTTTAGGGCAGCAACAGTACAAGTGGGCAGTCCACCCAAGACCTTTCTTGTCTCAGTAGACACGTGAGTTGGACCATGCAAGTATTTTCAAATGCCAAACGTAGCTTACGTTCCCTTCGAATTCTCCATTCAAGCGGTTCCTCGGATTTTTTCTTGGCCTCGAATAGATGTAAGTGTTTTTTTAATAGAAATCGTGCACTCGAGGCTTTTGGCTCACTGTAACATATTTCCTTAGGTCCAACTGCACAATGTGCTAGGAAGAACATCTACGTACCCCAACATGTTGAGTTTTGTATTATCTTATCTTGCAATGGAAACTAGGAATTGATGTGAAACGCTTTTTTAGTCGTCACACGCCCGGCCAACCAACAAATCTTACACAATCTCATTTGGAGACGGAAGTTCTGTCAAGGCTGATCTGATGATTGATTCTGTCACCATCGGTGACTTCACCCTTCCGAACATTGGTAAGTTTAATTTCGACTTACTGAGGATTAGTTAGAGCCAACAATAACATTTCCCCTTGCAGGTGTCGGAGCCGTCACCCAATTAAGCTCCCAATTTCAAAGCTCAACCGGCGACACCTCCGATGGGTAAGCTTGTATTCCATTTTTTTTCAATCGGAACTTAAGGGCAGAGTAACTCATCAGGCCCCATCCCATAGGCTTATGGGATTTGGTTTCCCGAGTCTTTCGCAAAGCAAGGCCACTCCTTTCTTCACCGCGCTCACCAAAGCAAATGGTCAACAAGGCGTTATGGGCTCCAGGTTTTCACGAAAAAGTGACAGAGGCTCTGAAATTACGATTGGTGGTGTCAACCCCGCAGCCTTTGTAGGATCGTGAGTGTCTTTTCTAAATTCACAACACTTTCAATGAACAATCAACTGAGATGAAACACGCGTGTAGCTTTACCACCTTGAATGTCATGGCGATGGAAGGCCATCCACCAGCGTTCTGGGACGTCAGTTTCGATGGAGCCATTGTGAACGGTCAACCTCTGAAATTGTAAGCTTAGATTTTTCATTTGGATATTCATTGTCAAAATTCTCACTTATTCAAATTTTACAAAGGTCGTCAAAAATTGCGACCATTGACACAGGTAAGTCTCGCTTTTTTTCCATTCTATCTGACCAAAAAAGTGCTGACAAATATGTAATGCAACAGGAACCAGTGTGATAGGTGTACCTCTGGAAGACGCACAAGCGTAAGCCGCCGACTTTTCCTTATTACAAAATTTCTTGGCTGTGCCACTTACCCTCGATCCTTGAGTGATACAGAATATACGCTTCAGTACCTGGAGCAATGTCATCAAAAGGTGGTCAATTTACCTTTCCTTGCGAATCTATGCCCTTCGTCTCCATGGTATTTGGCGGTCGGAGATTTGACATTAATCCATTAGATAGTGCGTGATACTTCATAACAAACTTTGTTTTAAAGAATAGATAGCTAACAGTTTTTTTCTTGTTCTCTGGATCTTCTTTCTCTGTGTCAATCTAGTGTCAATCGTAAGCATTTTGAATTACTATCATTCTTTTTGCGGGCTTCCAATCTTCTCATTTCGGACGGAGCACTTGTACTAACCATTACTTCATTGAATAGGGAAAAGACAAACACGGGCGATGTGTTGGGGGGATAATCGGTTTAGAGAAAAAGGGGGTCTGGCTGGTTGGACAAGTGTAAGTGAAATCCTCAAATATGCAAGAGTGTAATCACCACTAATGCCACAATGACACTACAGTTTCCTGAAGAATGTTTATACAGGTTAGCATCTTTCGTTCGCAGATTGATTTGATTTCACAAGGGTTGGTAAGCTGACAAAGTACGATATCTCTTCACACAGTGTATAACCAAAGAAATTATACCGTTTCTTTCGCCGATCTCTCTTAGGGTCGTCATTTAATTTTCTTGTCCCGTGTCTTCTGGTCTCATCCCCTCCAGGAACGGTCTATTTTTTTTCAAATATCTTGTGAAGCATCTTGGGAGTCACTTTACTTTATTAGAAGTGATTTATTCTTTATTAATTTTTTTTAATTTTTTTTTTGGGTAGAAATTATTTTTGGCTGGCACTCAATCAAATAGGGACTTTCTTGAAGTACACTTGAACATTTTCTTTTATCAATTTCATCTTGAAGAATTTCACATGTTTATAGATACATCTTTGGATCCAAAGCTATATTAATTGATTAATCAATTTTTTTCATTCTTCTTCTCAACAATTCCATGTAACTTAAATCCAAGGCTGTCAGGAGTGAGGGGGGCTTTTGACAGTCTTGAAACGGGCATTCCAAGCCCCCCGGATGTAAATTTACATCCAGATACCACCACCAGGCTAATAATGGGGTAACTAAGGATGACAACAAAACCCAATTCAGTTGCTGTAAACGATGTGACAAATTCTAAAACAGGGGTTGGAAACTATGAGAAAGTCATGCCAGAGCAAATTTCCCAAATGCTTTGCTGGGTGTCTGATGAAGGGTAAATTTCTGTTTGAGTGGATTTCCATCTGATCATACCAATGATGGATGACCCAGATTGTCTGCAGAAAGATGACTTGAAACTATGTCTCAGGTTTCAGAAAATAGAATGATTTGATCCAGAGAATTTGGAGTGGGGGGGGGACGTTGCCTGCAACTAAGCCTCTGACTCATCTGTCAGTCTAGTTTTCTACACAGTATGAGTCTTGCAAGCAATGTTTTTCCAATCATTTTGTGTAAGAGTAAGATGTAATGATTAGATGTGGCAACAATCAATTTGTCCATGCATCCCAACACATAAGAAGCAAAGTCGACTGTGTCCAAACCCACATGCTTTCTTCCTGCATAACACAATGGAAGGCCTGGCTCATTCTTCTCTCCCTAAAAAAATATCAATTTCCTTTTTAAAAGTTACTTACTATTTACAGAAAGATATGTGAAACAAATTATATACAATGAACTTTTTTTTTATCTGTTGTTGAAACTTTAAAAAAGATTTTCAAGTTATTTCTTTATAAGTGTTTATGTGAATTTTTTTGTGTTTTTTTTTTTTTCAAGTAGTAGTAAGTAAAGTACAAGATTGAATGGAAGGGTGAGTGGGGATAATCTGATAATGAAAATAAGGAGAAGAGCTCTAGGACTGATCGAGTTTGATATTTTATGTTTTGAGGCCTTTAATTTTTAGTTTATTTTTGTTGGTGGGTCATAGGGTTCCGATCAGCACGAAGGGCAAGGTACAAAAAAAAAAAGCGGGAGGATAAGGAAGCATGAAAAGAAACGAGGTTTTATAATTGTAATTTTTTTGAGAGTGACGAGAAGCGCGGAATTCGAGCTTCTCGAAAAGCTCCCTCAGATAGTGAGAGGGGCGTTTTAATTGGGAAATCATAAAAGGAGTATGTATCAAGTGCCTATCTTGTGGTCCTTAAGGGGCATGGCTTAGAAAAGGGGGGGGGGGGATTCAAATACCATGTGGGAATCTGTATATAAAACATTTAAGACTACGTAATCGACAACAACAATCGAGAATATGTATACATACATATGATATGTGTGTATATATCAGAAAGACCTTAGAGGAAGAAGCAGAACAAAACTTCGGACCAAGTAGGGCACTTATCCATTGGAGTATCTAAGATGGGTATCTGTTGTGGACGAAATCGATCAAACTAAATCAGCGATTACTGCGGAGGCAATGGAACGAGAGGAGGATAGGACGGCGAGTTCTGATACAGTTAAGGGCCATCGACGTACTTTGTCTGATAGTCTTTTTCTCTCTTGAATAACAAGACGTGAGGTTCAGGTGCTAATCAACAAGTGAACAAAACCCGAGAGAGAGAGGGATGGAAAGAGCTAGGATCAGGATCACTTGCAAGCAGGAACGCGAGAAGCAAACGAAAAGCTTACCGTGACGCATGTAATGCTCCCATCCGGGACTTTGACGGATGCCCAATCCGCGCCATTCTTCTTCAAGAGCCAATCGATCGGTCGGTAGATATTTGACCAGCTACATACATGAAAAAAAGAGAACAAATAGTTCGAAAAAAAAATCAGTATAAGTAGGGTGAAAGCTGGGAGAGGAGGGAGAAAGGAACAGAGGGCTGACCTGTTTGGGCAAAATCACGTGTCGATACTCCCAAAAATCGTCCGAATACCGGGCTGAGTAGAAAATCTGTTCATGATACTATCAGAATGAAATATCGAGGCCAAGAAGGAGAATCATAGTAATAGGTTAGGATGATTGTAACGCGGATAGATGGTTATTTTTGTGTATTTTTTTTTTCAAGATTCGATCTAAAAATGAACGCGATTCTGATATAGCCAAGTGTGATGGAAGACGCGAAAGATTGTGATTGTCGGAAGAACCGGAACGAGTTTCACGTCTATAATATGTACATTGACGCCGATCATAGAAGGAGCTGTTGGTTCTTCCCAATCCGTTTTGTGGCCCCCTTCTGATGATCAAAAAAGGCAGAAAAAAGGAGGATGCAGGAGCAGAGTACATGATAGATAGATGGATGGATGGATGGAGAGAAGACCGACTGACTTTCTCGATATCTCTTCGCTTTTGCTCGGCGTTGACTGAGGCAGAGGTATTCGTCCTCTTGGTGGTCATGATGATGATAGATTTAGATTGAGTGAGTTAGGTCCTTCTGAGAGTGAGGATTGTGTATGTTTATATGTGTTGGGAAGTGTGCTCAGCTGGAAGACCGAGGTGGAAGCTGGAGGTTGAGTAGCTGAGGTTTTGAGTAGTTGAGTTGTGGGTGGAGGGTGTTGTTGTGCTGGTGGGGGGGAGGAGGATGTTTTGTTGGTGGGGGTGAGCTTAAATCAGCCAGCGCGCGCGGGGCTTTTTTTTGGGGGAAGTAGGAGAAGAGCAGCCGGCGGAGGCTGTGAATTAGGCCTGGAGATCACGCTCGGCTCAGAGCCAGACTGCCCCCCCTACTAGTAGTAGTACCAACTAAACCCAACCCAACCAACCAAACTCCCACTAAAATCCACTCCTAACATACAGCCCAACTCCAGCCCTAATCACTTCCACTACTCCAGAGCTTCATATCCAGAAAGCCCCTCGAGCGATTTTCTGTGGTTGCTTCTCCACTCGGGCGAAACTTCCATACACACCCTAGGGCGCATCTTGCGCACAATAAATCGAATTCATTATTTAGTTGTTTGCTCCTTTTCAATTTAAAAACAAATACAACAATAAAAACACACACACACACACACCCTATTGCTTGGGCTGCATGTATGTATACAGCCTCTGTTTGGATAAATCTGCTACAAGAGTCTCACATTGGAAATGTGTAATTTCTTACTGTGAAAGTCTCCTCCGCTCTGATTTTCCTCATGTATAGTGAAGGCTCCTTTTTTAAACCACACGAAAAGATTAAAAAAAATTCATTGGTTCCGTCGTAATGTTGAATGATAACGGATGTTTGCCCGTGTTATATGGCTCGTCTTCGACCTCGAAATCTCGGGGCATATGTAACGGAGGAGATAAGAAAGAAAAAACTGAAACCGGCACGAGGGCGATACATATCGGTCCCCAGGGCACCGGGGCAAATGAGGGCTTCGTCAGACTATGTAAACCCCATTTTGGTTGCCCCTCCGGGCTCCGCTCCGCTTCGATTGACAGCCTAAAGAAACAAATTAAAAAATGAGCCACTTGATTTCGATATTCTTGTGTTGTAAAAATGTGTATACGTAAATACATTATTTATCTCGTTGATATGAATATGCATGTATCGATTTCAACTGGAAAAGAGTGTACCGATTGACATCATATAAATATGAACAGTACAAACACCACTTGCCCTTGTGAAGTTGTGGTGTGTCATGAGCAGATCGTCATCGGGTGTTTGTGTTGCCACTTATATACTTGACACATTTGTACAGCCCGTCATCTTATTCTTGATTCCCACCCAGTCTCGATCGGCGAAAGTGTTCCAGCGAAGCGTTTTTTCGCTTGGGGTGTCAACTTGTGGGCAATCTCTGCAATCGTCCCAACTCCCACCATTTTTCCTTGATACGGAAGCTTCCATCGTCCCTAATCCTCCACTTCCATGAACCATGGATACATGATCCATAGCTTAATCAAGGGCTAAAAGGACCAGCGCTCCTGGAGCCCCTGAAATTAACGCTATCGGAATGTATGAAGCTCTCTGAGCCCCGGCCCGTCGTTCTATTCACCAGTAGTTGGAGAAGCCCATACTTGATTGTCGGCTAGGATAGATTAGTCTCGGCAGGTGGATCTGTTTGCCACTAATGGTCCTCAACCTTTGAAGTTTGATAACAGAAAAGACTTTCCACAGTCGTGTAAAAAATGACATTGAAGTCCCACTCATCCTCTTTGTTGCTGGCACTGCAATCATATGTATGGTGATTCTTGGATATAACATAATACACCATGAAATATTGTTCAACTTATTAGGACGGTTCACATTTGAATAAAATCTTGTTGATTTTGGATAAAATTCCTACTTGCTGGTTTCAGAAAAGTTTAGAAATTGGCAGACGTGCAGGCCAACTTTATGCATGCAAACTCAAAGCGCTCTGCTGGTTTCGTATAAAAATTTTGCTGAAATATTTCAAACGTGAACTGTCCTATTGCTGCTGAGGAATGATCCCATTTAACTTTCCACAACATGTAGAGCCAAATGACTCACAAGCTTTAGCCTGATTCTTTATCCTCAGATGAACAAGGAAAATCATCAATTGACAGATCTGCAGCATTCTACTTTTGTTTTGATCTATTTTAGCCACCTTATTCCAGGGCCTATTCCCTGGTCAGTATGAAACGTGAACTTCATGAGCTGGTAACCTATGATAATGTGATTTGCACCCTTCTGATATCAAACCTGTGGGTTTCAAGTAGAACCAAAGCTTACTGGTCTTAGTTGCATGACTCTGAGGAGTCTGCTTCTTTGTTTTTGTTGGGGCATAACTCTTGCTTGATTAATAAATCTGAGTCTCGAGAAAGGGTCGATCTGAAAAATCTGGTATCAAGTCTTTTCCAAAATTTTATTTTCATCTGAATCATCATTGTGCAAAGTCTACCTCTACCCTCAAGTCAATCAGAAGAGGCTCTGTTCCTACTTTGAAACACCATTGTCATCATTATCCAAACCTGCAGGCACAAGTCTTGCTGGGATGGGTTGCCAAAATTCAGTTTTCAACTGAGCTGGAAGAAGACCGGTAAGAGAATAAGCAGCAGATCAGAAGACCATCATCATGAGGATGATGGGCTTTGATTAAGACTGGCCCAAGTCACCACCACTGGCACAAAGTGTCAATTCTGCGCTTTTGAGCGTCTTGGGGCGCGCGGGCTGCCGCTGTGTACCAGCTCGCGCCTGCGCAGGCGCGGCGCGTCTCGCGTTAGGACTCAGATGTGGTACTGCTCGCTCACAGGCGTCGGAAGCAGCTGCAACACTTTATACTCACATTGATTTTCTTATCTCCTCAATTTGACCGCATTCACAGATCCAGGCCTCCCAAATTCCATGCCACCGTCAAAGAAATATCCAAATGCCGAGTGGGCGGGATGGATACAAGAAGTGGCGAATCAAGCGACGGAGAACAACGCCAAGGTATCCCAAACGTATTGCAAGGCGGCTAAAGCGATCAAGAATCATCCGATCAAGCTCAATCATCCCAGAGACGCCCTATCTCTACCCGGTGTTGGTCCCAAGGTAGTCAAGATTATCACCGACCGCCTCGAAATATGGTGTCAAGAGAATCAGGTTTCGTTTCCGTCTCAAGGTTTGGGTCATACTTCGTAAAGCAAACAGACGTCTTTTCCCATAACAACCGAGCTGATCGTTGTTAAAACATCTTCAAACAGTTCCCCTCAACAAGGATGGTTCTGACAGTGGTTTATCATCAGATGACGCGACTCGACCAAGGCCTCGCCCCGCGGAATTAGTTGACGAGGAAGATCACAATCCAAAACCTCGAAGCGCCTCCAATTGCCAGAAATCTTCGGCCCACAAAGCACATCCGACAGCCCCCTCTAAGCCCCGAGCCAAGAAGCCCTACCAGCCCAAACCACGCGATCCAGCATGGGGCATCCTTGCAGCCATGTACACCATCTGCGAGCCAACTGATTTAAAAAAGTTTAGCTCTCGTGAGATAATCGCTGAGCGCGCAGCGAGATATTCCGATTGCACATACGTCGACTTGAGAGAAGACACCAGCAATCGTTATGGATCACATTGGCAATCTGGAATGTAGGTGTCAAGTCAATCATAATTTCAGATCCACTGATGTAACAATAGAGAAACGAAAAACACTTTTTTGTTTGACAGCTCTAATCCCAAGCCAATGTAATAATTGCTGACAGCTTTTTCTCCACCTTGCGTTTGAATTGAACCACAGTAAAGCTTTGATCAAATACGAATTTGTGATTACCCATGCTACTTTGCGCCCCGCCAAGTATGCGTTAACTCGAACGGGTTACGAATTTGCGACCGTAATCGCTGCTCAGGAAGATATCCCTTTGCTCGATGTCAACATGGGTCCGAACACGCTTTGCTTCGAGAAGAGCGCATCAAGTTCTGTATCGAGAGACCCGATTCCCCGTGAGACTGCAAAGCCCTCAGGTAACGCCCATTCCGAAGTCTCCAGAGAGGTCAACTTCAATGAAAAATCCCTCCCGGGCAACCTAGGATCTGAAACCGGCAACTCTCTGGATGCCGTCACTGGAGCACCTTCGGCGTTCCGGTTTTCTTATCTTAATAATGGTTCGTCACTCCATCTGCCACCGACTATGGAAGTTTGACCTCGGCTAATCGTTGCCACGGTGTTTTTCATGAAAGAAAAGCAAACCAGAGGGTACTTCAATTGGGTGAAGCGGCAACTCGACTTAACAGCAAGACCAAACAAAGTTTTTACAAGATTGAATACCCTTGCGCTCAACAACTCCATCAATTTCGCCGCAATCACGTTCTGGTTGACGAGAAAGAATCCTGCATTACATTACCTCGGCAAGAAACAATGATTGGTTGGCTCAAGTCAGAAAAATCCATACCAACATGCCCCGGATTATGTCCCACTCGCGCTCCTAGAAAACCCGACTTGGCAAAAACTGATCGGGCCTCAACAGTGAATTTTTTGTTGATGTCTGAAAAGAATTCATCGAAGCCTGCCAGTAATATCTACAAACCTCCGGAAATACTGCAAGCTGCTTCGGAATTCGCTGTCGCGGCTGACGCCCATCCCGAGCCACGCCTTGCTAAATGCCCCTCGCAAGTTCCGGCCCCAATGATTACATCGGTCACCTCAGAACATGCACAACCTCAGTCCTCTATGGTTCAACCCAAACAAGCACAACCAAAATCCAATACAAATTCCAGCGGCTCTCGGCCTCGGGCTTCGTTTGCTACTGCAGATCATGTGCCTGGCGGTGTCCCTGTTGTCCAACCCAAACAAGCTTTACCAAAACCAAACGTAAATTCCAGCGGCTCTAGGCCTCGGGCTTCGTTTGCTACTGCAGATCATGTGCCTCGCGGTGTCCCCAAGCCTCGAGCCTCAATTGGCACTATCGGGTCAATAGCAAACCAAGTAAGAGCAGAAGTGTGGAAAGCAAGAACTTACTCAGTAATGCTCGTAATCGATAATCGCGAAGTGCAGTCTCAGAATAATCGTGATGGGATCTTTCATGCATGTCTGTCGCGAGCACGTCAAACTATGGGCGATCAAGTCAAGGTACAACAACGACCATTAGCTGTGGGTGATGCGATTTGGATTGCTGTACATAACGAGACCGGAAACGAGGTAGTCTTGGATAGTGTTGTGGAGCGAAAGCGCTTGGATGACCTTTGTAAAAGCATTGTTGATGCCAGGTTCCATGAACAGAAGGTAAGTCTATGGTGCTAACCGAATCTATGAAAAGATCTTCTACCCCAGTCGAATTCGTGGTGCTGATGATGCAAGTTTTCTACCCAGGCTAGGCTGAAGAACTCCGGACTAAAGGATCGCATTTATCTGGTCGAATCGTACTATTCACACAACAATCGCGACTTGTATGAACAACAGATACAAACCTCGCAAGTAGAAATCATGCTTCTCGATGATTGTCACTTGCAATCAACCGCTGATTGGAAAGAGTCAGTAGAGTATCTGGTGATGCGCACCAATGTGTTGAACCAACTTCATCAGGTCGGTTTGAAGCTTCAGATGTGGTCTAGCTAAATGCAATATATCCAACTAGCTAAGCTTTTTTATACTTGGTCATTTATTTTCAATGCACTGGGACGATTTGCCATAAAAAAGACGATAGACCTGTCGGTTATACCCGACAAGCATATCGACCGCAACAGCTATTTATCATTCATCAACGAGCTACGGCGTATCCGACCGGATGATTATTGGGTGACTTCATACAATGTATACGAAAGCTTGAATGGCAAGTCCGGAAACTTGACTGTGCAAGAATTATGGGGCAGAATGATCCATCAAATCAGCGGGATGAGTGTCGAAAAAGTCGGCGAGTTCGTTACCCGCTGGCCCACTCCACGATCATTTACCGACGAATTCTTCCACCAATATTATCGCTCGGAGGGGGCTGCTTCTTCGGCTCATGGGGCTCCTAAAGATTGTTTGAGCAAGTGGATCGAGGATCAATTTTGTAGTGGCGCAGCTCATTCAAGGAAAAAACTCGGCCCTGCACTCAGTAAGAAAATCGCAGAATTGTTTTCTCTTAGCTCGTATTGATAACTTGATCAGAAAGTCTGTCAACAATGAACCAGACATGTAATGTATAATCAGTTTAGATAAGCTAGATAAAAGTGATAGACCAATTTTCTCTTAGTTTCTAGTGGGCAGAAAGATGAAGCCGACATGTAATAAGCTTGTATTATTCTCGTTTGAATCAAAAAATTTTTGGTTGCAATTCTAGTCAATTGTTAGTTCTTCATTTCTTGGATAAGAAGAGTACAATTTAAACACAACTTCTGGCGTCAGTTTGAGTTGACCTTCACACCAACTGGTCTCCAACATTATAAAGAGTAGCATCGGCACTTTTGAAAGGCTGATAAAATTCTCCTCATTCTTGATGCTAAGTAGTAAGTACTACATGGAGCTCAAGGGAGCAGCTTTGCCACACTATATGCGCAAGTTGTCAATTTAAGTTAAATCAACTCATTGCTCACTCCACGTAGACCTACTCATCAGCACACACCTGTGTGACTTGAATTTGACTTCTATCACCCCCACAACCCATTCTATCTGGGGGTTTCTTCACTTTGAGTGGCCTTGTAGACAAATACCTATATCTGGAAAACATTTGATGTGTGGAGCAGATGGATGTGTAGGATAAATCAACAAACCTAATGGTCATTTCATCATACTTCGAGGTACACGTGTTGGGCTAGCGTGGGTTAAAACCCACAATTGAGGATACTAAAATAATGTTCTGAGGCAGGCTGCTATGGTTTAAGCGTACAAGAGACTCTGCTCAAGTTCCATTCAATCCTATCTGGTAGCAATAATTGGAGTCAAAAGTTCTAGTCTATGCCCCCTAAGTTTGGACTTGGCACAATTCGGCACATCGCAACTGTTGAGTTAGAAAAACTACTGGAAGGATTTCCTTTCAGTTCCTCTTGAGACAACTTCGAGACAACAGCCATGTGCTGACCGAGGCAAGCTCACAAGGTGAATTGACTGCACTGAGTAGCAATTGTTTTGAAAACTTGTAGTTGGCTTTTTTTGGTTTTAATCAAGTTTTTGGGGTCATTTACGCTTGAGCACATGCGGTAATCATGACAAGTGGACGACCCTCTCAAGGTTTTTGTTTTGGTATGAAGTTCGCCCTGAGATGTGATTGCATAATGCTAGAGGACTATGTGGTAAGAGAAACGTATATACATAAGATGAAAGATGAACTGACGCGGTCACAAAGAAGAAGAAAGACATCAAGGATACAAGCAAAAGAGTTTATCGAAAAAAATCAGAAGAAGCAGTGAAAAGTACAGCGAAGTTGTTCTCAAGAAGCGATCAATTCAATTTGCTGGTCAGCCTCCCTCTGTTTCTTCGCCTGCTTTTTCAGACGAGACTTCTCCGCTTTTTCCACTTTCTTGACGGCTGATTTCTGTTTCCTGGTTTTTAACCAATGGACGAGACCTTTGCGGTCACCTCGGCCACTCAATGAATCGATGTATTCCTTACTCGCCTTTTTCAAATAACGAGCCAGGTCCTCCGATAGTCTTTCTTCGTCGAGTAGATAACGTTCAGTCACCTCCGGAGGGAGAGTGTCGCGGAAAGCTTGAATCATTTCTTTGACTACCGCGCCTCCCGGCTTCTTAAGACTGGGTGGAAGTGTGGATGTTTGAGATAATGGTGGACTGTTCGGAGTGTCGGTTCCAACTTCGGCTGACACCAAAGGAGGGAAACTGACGGGATCAATTTTGGAACAGATGTTATATAGTAACACCATTACTGAATCAAGCTCATGCTGAGGGACCGGGTTCAGTTGAAAGATCTCTTCAGGTGTGCTGGGTTCCGCCCCGTCGCGAGCTACCAAAGCGGAGGAATTGTCGGCCAAAAGCGTGGTCTCCTCCGAAATGCTTTGCCTGGTCTTCCTGATTCGCTTCCTAGGTTTGCTTGGCTTCTTCTGCGGTGACACAGTCAATACATCGCATTTCTTAAGGCCTGGTCAAACAAATTCGAGCGATTATTTAGTAAAATGGTTCAATTGGATTGGCGAAAGAAATGCTTACCGTAGATTTGAAAAGCAAAGTAAGTCAGGTTGATTTCCAACGCAAAAACGGGTGCAAACACGTCACTGTAGAGGTTAAGGGCTACGGTTAGCCTGAGGGGAAGGATATAGTTGATGAAAGACAATGACATACATTCCGGCGCTGATTGGTAGCAGCATACCAGAGCTGCATACAAAAAAGAAGTCAGCTACCCAATCTATAAAAACGTGCAACGGTAATAAAGATGACTTACATAATCGCTCGGGTTAACACACGCTTGCGTGTTTTTCGAAGCAAAACGCCAATATCATTGAGCAGTTCATCCGGTGTAGGCTGGTAGGGCCTATCCTGATCCACTTCTTCTATCACCTCCACAGCCTGATTAAATGAGGGGTGGATAATGATGACCTGATAAGCAAAATTTGTCAGTATTCAAATTTCCAGAGACTTCAGAATAAAGCAAAGAGTCCACTGACTGAACCTAATTTGCGCTTAGGGGGGAGACGTCCCAGCGTCTCTATGCAGCTGTTAGGAAGCCATTTGTTGATAGTCGAAGCCACCTGAATCGAAGAGACCAAAGTCAGCATAGTACAAGCAACAGACATCCCGGCTTGTATCAAAACATACCCGGATACAGCCTCCTCGTACTTTCTTGAACCGACTGGGGTTTTCTAATTCTCCACGTTTGATTTTCTCCCCCATAACGACTTCCTCTTGCCACTTTCGCACAACTTTCTTCACCACTTTCTCCTTCGGTCGTCTAGCATTCTCGGGCTTAGCCGGCCTTTGGTAGACAGACCTGGGGGGTGAGCTGATTCAAAAGGTTAAAACATCAGCAGGCAGTCAAATCATCGCATGGAGGGTAAAAGTCAGAATCTTCTGCTTACTACATCAAGAACGGAGGCGTGTTCTTAGCACGACGCGCGTTGACAGGAGCCGGGAAGGGTAGAACAAACACCGCGCTGGGCAATTGACCCGCGAGATCACGCTGATAACTGTCATCAGTGCCAATTTCGCTCATGGCGAGGGGTGGAACGGTGTCACTATCGATCAGCGGGGTTTCATTTTCACTTGAAATTGGGTGAGAGGGAGCATCGGGCAAGTCGGCCTCCTCGGCAATTGGAGCGGGGACGACCAAAGCGACTTGGCCGGCTGACGGTTGGGTATTTGCGGCTACGTTCAATGCTGGAGAAGGCGTCACAGCCGATGCAGCCTCCGGGGCTGGATCAGCTCGTGGTGTGGACAAATCACGGACTGTTGAGGCCATGCTGGTAGGTTGAATTTCGGAGGCCATGAGTGGGTGTGCCAAAAATCCGGGTCGTTCTTGAAGAAAGCTGGTGGGCGCCAGTTTATCACAGATATTTATCACGGGTATAGTACAGTAAAAAAGAATATAGGCACAGAAAAAGTGGGTATATGTGGACAAAAGAAGTATCAACAAAGGTTGGAAAGATTGGGTGATAGATGGTACACTGGCAGAACGCAAGAGGCAGCAAACTGGGCATGGTTAAGTAGTTGAAAATTCTAAGCCGTAGTCAGCTAGCTTCCTACATCGCGCAAGGAAAGTGCACTTGGATTTCTTGATTGTGTGTCGCGTGGGTCACTCCTGCGCTGATCACTATCTGCTTATCAGTGATGATACCGTGTTGCAATTTGTGAACCCAGGGCTCAAGCGTGAGCTAGCATTCATGGATCATCCTGGCTGCATTTAATCTGTGTTTTGCTCCTTGGACAACTGTACTCCCGGTAGATCCCCAGCTACAGCATGAAATCATTGACCACATTGCCGCATCGAGACGGTAAGGACTACAATTAGACATCTGTAGAGGTCAAAGAAGGAAACACTGGGAAAATTATGACCACTCAGATGCAAATGCACAATCTTGAAAGAAAATTGCGTCTCTCCGGGGTGGGAGCAAGATTGTTAACCTGGACGCTCATGATCCTCTCTCTCTACAAACAGCACACACATTTCGGAGGCTGAGTGCAGCTACTCATACCAGATCACAACAAAAAAGCTTGGTTTGATTAGCGAATGGTAAAGCCCTGCTTAGTCACGCGGGGCTTCCGCTCGAAAGTTGAAAGCCGCGTTATCCAGGCTCTGTGCTGGGACGCCGCCAATCAACCCAAAATAACTCAATGTCCAGGTTTGTTTTGGACGTTCAGACATATACACGTTTCGTGATTGTTTACAAAGGAGTTGCGGAAATGAAAATGCTGGACCACTCGCGTCTGTGTTTTCGATTGATTTCCAAAAAAATGCAGCACAGACGTGGCCACACGACCATTCCCACAGGAATTCTTCCAGTAAATTGTAATCCTGAAAGGGAGATGTGTGGGGGCACTCACGGTTTAACACTGGGGAGAGTCAGTAACAGTCCCTTAGCAATATAATATGCTCAATTTCATTGATTTATACTCATGATTGATATCTTATTTGCATCTTCCCATGGACTGTAAACAATTTGTCAGTGCTCCCGGCAAAGCTAATCATCAACAGATACCATCGATGCTTCACGGACACAAAGTGTCTCATGTGGGTATACTGCTGGCAGGGTTTTCATCCAAAACGAACCCTCTTGGTTTGATTGGCAAGATTTCCCGAAAGTCATCTTCGTCAGCACGCATACTTGACGCCCTCCTACAAGTTGCTTCTATATTAGTGACAACAGGTATGTTTGAGCCTCCATATGAAACCATGCCATAATGCATTTGTATGAATTTAGTTCGAACCCTTCCAGAACAATGAATAACCATGAAGGCTGAGCTGTTGGGAGAAGAGTGAAAAATCCATTTAATGAATCCTGGCTAAACGAAATACGGAGGAGGAGCCTTGAACATGCTGCCTTAGCGTAGATAAATGATCAAAAAGCTGTAAAACTCCGGATTCATGGTAGTATTGGTCGGTTTTTCCACGAAAGCGCCGTTTGAAATCTTCAACACATTCTCCTACATACTTTTCTCTTTGCAAGAACATGGTCTGGGCAGCAATTTCAGTCTCAATCGGCATATCATGCAGCACCTTGCAGTCACTTGGCCAGAATTTGTCGAGGCCCCGCCCACGGCACTTGAAGGGGCGCGCGCGGAGTTTTTCAAAGGGTTCGACTTGAGAGGGGTTTAACTTTCCAGTCGGGCTTGAGCCTCGAGGCCGTGGAAATATTTTGAATGGTAACGACTTGCTGAAGACAAAGAAAGCAGAGTTGATTGCCAAATAAGTATCATGAAAATTCCGTTTGGTTAACTGATGTGAGTCAACCTCCTCCTCCCTCTCAGCCATGTGTTGCCTCAGGAACTAATCTTATTCGATTCTCTTACAGCACCTGCTACTCACACCATAATGGCCGACTCTACTCCAAAAACCAATCAACATGACCTCCAATCTAAGCAAGCCCAACCATCCCCACCCACATTTACCACTCATAAGAGTCAAGAGAACTCAGCGGGCCCTCACCAAATCGAAATTCTGAATTCTGATGCCAACTCGAATCGATGGCCAAGCGTCGGGCCGGTATTGGACTCCAAAGGCGCATCCTGTCAGTGGGCGCTGTCCACGGATAAGTCAAAATCTAGATGGCTGTCTTCTTTGGGCAAAGGTCTCGCCGAAATCTTAGGATTGGCTAGAAGTGAGTTATTCTGCTTTTGTTCTGTGCTCTGGTCAAGTTTGTTTGCGGCATGTTCACAACGTTGTTACAAAATGCTTAAAAATGATGATTGGCTTGTAAATAGCATTCTGATTTTGCAAGGAAGGCTGAACCCTTCGCTTCTGTTGATTTCTGTACAGATAGTCAAAAGGAAGATTGGAAACTAAAAGACTTTCCCACTGATTATCGGCTGTATACATACATCAAAGGAACAAGGGAAGACCAATATCTGTTTGGTAAGTTTTTTGAGGTACTCTACAGATTATGTTCCCTCATGCATCTGTGCTTTTAGCTGACCGCGTAGAATCTTGATTTGGATCGCGTTTTTTCTTTTCTTCGTGCAGGCTCAGCCCATGTATACAAATTCCGTACTGCCAATGAATTCCTGCCTCATCTTCAGTGGCTTCTCTGGAATCAAGCAGGATATTGTCTATGCAAATACTGCTCTGGTGCGAAAAACCAATTCGAGGTTAACGCAGCTTTAGGTCTGCCCACCTCGGCGTCGAAAGGCAAACCTGACGGAAGTCAACCTGCGGACCGCGCCAAGCGCCCGAAACGATCCCGCTCTCCCACTGCAAACAACCAAGTCAACTCCAACTACAAGTTTCAGGGCCCGTATCTCAACGAAGAACTAAATCGCGATATTTTAGAAAACCGCTCGAATTTCCGGAAACACGAATTGATTTGGTGCCTGGTTACTGATCTGATGGTCGGTGCCAATCCAGAGCTCAGTCGCAACATTCAAGAACTCGGTATCAAGTACTGGCCTGGCCTATGCGAAGAACCAACCTTGTTCAATGAAAGTAGAGCATTCATCTCGATCCTGGATGATGAAAACGATCGGACTGAAGATTCAAGTAGAGCTCCAAACCAATTGAAGCGGAAGCTCAACCAAATCCAGAACTCACCCTGTGGACCAGCTTCAAACGAATTTGAAAACCAACAAAGATTCAAGTGGAACATCCGCCTCCTTGGTCTCTCTGATATCGTCATCCGCGAAGAGGGGCAAATTTTACCATGGTTGTTTAAAACAGCCGATTTAAAGCAAAAGTTTAGCATCAACAAGAAACAAGGAATGATGCTACCCCAGCACGTTCAGAATAGACACACCATACGGCCGACACTCGACAGCTTCACCAGCGTGGATGAAACACTTGTCGCGTTTCAGCTAGCTATACAGATTGCGGCTAATCTCGAAGAGTTTTGGGTTGCGCGCGATCGATACGATTCTATTCCAGACCCGGACACTGATGACAAACCTGGTAGCTCACATCGCATCAGCCAACATGGGACCGGTGCAGATTCGCCCACAACGTGGTTTCAGGGGATCTGGTGGGGAGCAGAGAAGATATGGCTATATGATTTGGTACGCTTGAACGATGTTAAGCTGGCCCCACATTTGTCCTCGAAAACAAAAACTCCCAGCCATGACCCTGAAAATCCCCCAACGACAAGCAAGCCCACAGAAGATTGCTGCTTTTTGAAAATCGAAGGGATCTATCGAGATGAACTAGGCAAAAAGCTTATCGTGATGGGAAAGATGTTTGATTTAGTCCCGGCACAAAAAGGCTCAACTGTCCCATCCTCGTCATCACCCCCCTTGAATACAGAAAAACAACGATGTAACCGATCGAGAAAGTGGATGCCGGATCCACCAGCAGGATTTAAATTCAGGCAGCTCACCAAGTCGAAGGAAATGAACTACTTTCACGTCGAATGCATTGCCGGCCGATACTACTCACCCACGCGCAAAAATCTGTCTGATAAATTGTCAGAGATTTGCAGAAGATTAACCCTCAAACTTTCTCAAGGTATGTAATTCGCAGCCCCAGCTTTCACTTCTTCATTAATGATGATAATTTTTTTATGTAAACGTTTGTGCACCTCCAGAAAATGACCAAGTTACCAATCATCAAACCTTGGTTTCCCAAAACGCCAGTTTGTTCGGTCTGACTCCTGGTCAGAAAAATTTCATGAGGTTTGTCTTTCAATGTTTCTGGTCATACCTATCAACGGTGGAGTTCAATTGAATTTTATTTGGGCTGTCGCGAATAACAACCAGATGTCGGAAATGGAAGCCAAATAGAGCTGATTCCTTGATCGACGCCGAAGCGTTAGCTGAACAAGAGGTCAGTTTGAGTTCCAAATTACACTTGATTTCCTCTTGATGATTGGGATATAAAATTAATTTGAATTATTCTCGGTATGATGACATTCACTAACCTTTTTCCATTCCGCCAGTTAATTCTGGCTTATGAGAAATTCAAGTCAACTAGGCTAAACAGGAGCGTCAGTCATACCGACGAGAATCAGTACACCACGAACACTCAGACTACCACTAACAGCAATCCGCACAAAACTAACGGCAATGACTGCAGGCGTAAGAGTAATCAACCTGACAAGAATCGTATAGTCGTCATTGAGCTCGATCCTTGAGCTTGAGGCAAGTCGTAAACTTGTCAGTGAAATAATCTTTATCTGGGTTGAATGCCTCGTTCTGTAACATGCGCAACCACCAATCGGCATTGCTAAGCAAAAAAACAAAGCAGAAAGCAAGTGGAGCTTGTGAATACCAGAACTTCATTTCTTGATGATGAAGGGTGTGTGTGTAGTAAAGTTCTTGGGTTGTAATTGTTCATCTTATCCTTCAATCACGCCTTCAATCACGCCCCTTTTAGTGGCTATTTCATACGAATTGCAAAATAACCTCACCATTGGTTTTCACGATAATGATAATTTACGTACTTCCTAAGGTCTTTCATCTTCAGTTGCTTTAAGAAGCAACACATTTACAGCAAGGGATGCATAACAATCCCATCATTGAGCTATTGTCATTGAACCTTACACTCTTTTGGTATGCACAGTGACAGAGCGCGGATCGGTACATCAATGCAGAAACAGACACAATTACGATACCGACATCTGATACATGTTGCTATTGAGAATAACAATCATCGGATCACAGGGTGGCTACCTCAATGAACTTGAAACGGCCCCACATAAAGCGCGAATTGCTGACCAGTGTACCTTGGTGTCAATAAGTCAGAGCAGGTCGTATTGACCAACCGGGGGCATGGACTTCAGGGCCCCCTTGCCAGTAGTGACGTTTATGATTCTCTATGTTTTCTCCGATTCAACACGTGCCTTCAAAGCCTTCCTCTCAACAAACTCACCCACGCTTCTTCGTACAGAAAGGAAAACAATAAGAAGCTGGGCCCAATAATCACTTTCACGTTAGACAAGTAATCATCATATTCATGTGTTTTCGAGGCAGACACCCAGACACATTGTGACACGCTGTGTTACATTTTTAGGCTTCCCTGAAGCTCTGCGACACGAATGGATCCCGACCAGGAGTCGTCCCTGTCTCAGGTTTCAAGAAGTCCTTCGAAGATTCCATGGTGTAATGTATGTATGAAAAGTGTTCGCGATTGATTCGTGGGTTTTCTCTTTTCTATGGAAAGGCTTCAAAGGTTTCGTTTGGGCTGGTGGCCGGTTTATACATGTTGGCTTGTGCACCTCAAGGCGGGGCACGTTACCCACCCCACCAGGAAACCACACCACGCTGCCCACATATTTATCATCCTCACCAACCGGTTGCCAGGTAGTTCGCATAAAAACTCCCCTCGACCACAACCTAGCCACCTGCACAATACTTCCCCAACCCTAGCATCCGGTAGGTCACCCAGGCTTTTCTGCCAACATCGGCTATCACACCGCCGTCGCTCAACACAAGCATATTCTGCATATCCAGTGCGGGTGATCAAAAATTGATTCACAAGTAGTGTTGACAGAAGAGTTCATCTTTAAATGTCAGTCTTGATATACTCCTGCTCACTTCTACTCTCAAAGTGCCTGAGCTAAATTTTTCTTTTTTTGTAAAAATTTGTGAGTCAAGTTTCAAGGAAAGTCAGCCAACCTGACAGTCAACACAAGAAATGGTCCATCAATCAATCTCGATAACTCTGGTGGTGCTATCCATGCTCATGTTTTGTTGCACCGGCCAACCCATAACGTCGGCTACGATCTCAAAGCCAAACGAGCCGACGAGGAACCTTCTCTCGAAGCGAAAGGTGAAGGAGGTGGGAACTAACACCAGTAACAATTTCTACGACAAGCAAATCGCCCGCGGCCCCCCGTTCTAGATCGGCCCTCTTCCTTCGCTTGCCTGTGATCAACTCCATCATTTAAATTCCCCATTATTCAAGTTGTATGGATGTGATAATTTTATCTTCTCTCTCAGTGTCCTGCCCTTAGTCTTTCAATGTCATCTCAGCCACTCCCTGACCTTCCCAAAAGGAACGTCGCTAATCATTAAGCCCCTTCCCATAGCAGTAGTGCAACTTTTTTTTCCCTTTCAATTGCGGTTAAATTTAAGTAGAACACTCGTTTGAATATCGTGATTTTTTGGGAAAGAACACTTATGTGCTTGGTTTTTCCCTGATGGAATTTGTTGAATCTTTCCTACCAATTGGAATTTACATTTGACTACCGCTCCTGCTACGAGCAATGAAGATTTGAAAAAGAAAATAGCGCGCGCATGCATGCGATAGGATCACTTCCCTGCTTGTGGATTATGGAGAGATATGATGAAACAGATAAGACAAATAGATTGGAACAAGAGGACGGAAAAATCAGACCAAGAAGCCTAGTACATAGTGATAAGCCGGAGTTGAAAAAATGAAGATAAAAACACTACGAAAGTGAAAGAGGAAAGCATCCCCCGTAATGCGAGACAGAAATTTTCATAAAAGAAACAAAGTCTCACATTACTTATGAGGAAAGACTGTTCATTCATCTGTTCTCTTCAAGCTTAGCTATGACGCACCCCCACGAGCCTCAGGATTCATGAAGCAATAATCTCTGGGGGTGGAGGAGGCGGGGTTGAGGAAATATCTGTGTTTTTTTTTTCCTCAGCCCCGCGATGATGTTTATCAATCATGTTGGCTATCACTTACGCAGGAAAATTGATTCTTCTGCCACCACCGCCTTGGAAAACCATGGCCAGGAAAAATACCACCAGCTCCGTCCCGCCATCGAGAGCGGCAGACAAAATGTAGTTGTATTTTGTGAACCTGGTGAGTTTATCAAAAGGTAGACATAAAAAAGAAATTCGGGGGCAACCACACACAATGTGATTGATCAAACTACTCTGCTTACAATCGGTTGCGATACTTGCGGGCCCAAAACTGTGACAATAACCCAATGACAATACGCATGGGTTCTCCTGCGTAGGCCGCTTGAAGAAGAAGCAAATCCTTAACTCAAGTTGATGGTTCGAATATGGAGGATCCTTACATGTGTATAAGCTAGGGATAATCCCAAGGAAGAGGGGGGTGTTGAAAAGACCGAGTTTGTATCGCGGCCAAAATTTGTGGGCGATAAAAAAGGGGATGGGAAGGAACAGTCCAACTAGACTCCCCCAGCTGACCGCCGACTTCATCCATTCATCGACAGTTCAGATTGAAGATAACAACATCATCTCCATTGAAAAGTATGCAAAGCTCTTCCAAAAGACGGGACTCACGTATTTTTGACCAAAGAGAAACATGCGCCTAGAGAAAATCCCCCAGCTACAAAGAAATATTGAAAGAATAGATTAGCACGCCATAGTAGCAGATGTTAACTTTTACATGCAAAAAATAATCACCAACCTTACGGAGCGAGCCTGGAATGCAGCAACTTCAGCACCTGAGAAAACACCATTTCCGTTCGGCGAAAGTAAGACCTCACGCTCGTACTTCAGGATTGATTTCACGACTGCCAGAGTAGCCAAGCTTCCAACAGTGCAGCCTATCAGTTGAGATCGGACTACAAGATTTTGAGGTAAGGGTATGTATTGTCCATATTTCAGATTTATCAGCATGATTAAGCTTTGTATAGCACTTTTTCATGATTCAACCAGAGTCAGCAAAGTTGACAAACAGTACTAAGTCAGAAATTCAAGTCACTAGAGGAGGAGTGAAGAAAAACACCTTGATGATCCGTAAATTGTAAACCACATGCTGCCAAAAACGTTTCCCGGGAACAGAAGGCCACCAAACATTTGGATACCTGCAGATAACCGAACTATAAAGCCGGTAGTAGCAAAAATAAACCCCGTTCCTAGTCTATGAATAACATATCAAATTTGAGGAAAGCGCTAGTAAGAATTGCAGCTCCATTTCCTTTGGGTTAGATTCATTAAGGGGGTGAAGTTACTAATTCAGAAAAATGTAAAGATACGCACGTCATCAAGAAAGATGCTGCTAGAGCAACAAGTAAACCAACCAAAGAAATTCCAGAGTTACTGAGTGATGACATCCCGAAAGTCAAGGCAACCGCAACAAGCACAATTGCAGCAAATCCCCTGAGAGCAAAAAGTTTCAGATTTGAGCAATAATAAAGAAAGATAGCACTTGAAAACTGTTGTTCTGATGGCGTACCATTGTGGAAAATCCTTATATTTCATACAAGCAAGTCGATGTGGGTCAATCGCTTCAGAGCTTTTTGATTTCTTGAACAGTGAACCAAAGATGTGGTAATTATGCAACACAGCGTGCGAAATGGAACTAGTTAAACAAGCTGAAAGGAGAACCTGAACCAAGTAAAAGGTGGCAGTGAAAAAAGGAAGTCCGGCTCTTTGTATGAATTCCTCATTGGCTGTACCATCTGCCTTTATGGCTTGTCGATATGGATATGGCTTGCCGTCTGCAGTCAGTAGACTGGCGGACATGAAGGGAAAGTTTTCGTTAACTCCAGCACCTGTACCCCATTTCATACAAATTTTCATCAACGGTTTGATCAAAATTAGTAAAGAATCGTATCATTCGGCATCAACTCTGAGAAATTGCTCACCCAACCAGGACTTTGAATAAACCAAGAAGTAAGCCAGAGTTGAAGCTATCAAAGCAGCAATTTGATGGATCTGAAATCACAAATCTCGTCAAAACGGGTCTGGAGAACCTAACCAACCTCAGACCTCAGTGCCTTGAGAATTTGAAGCTTACCTGGGTGCTGAGAGGCATATATAGTGGTCCCAGGCCACCGACCATGGACCAATCTGCAGAAATGCTGAACATCCCCATGCCTTCAAATGGTCGAGCCCCTCCAAATATGGTGGTAATGAGTTGGTTTTTCGGTAAAGTCAAGCAGAAGACACTGATGGCTTCGAAAGCTGGCGTGATGTATGTCGGGAAGACTTCATCTTTTTTTTCCTCGTCGAATTTTTTTTGAATGTTTCTTTAACGGAACGATTTTCCTTCTTTGATAAAAATTGCTGATCTTGGACTTACAAACTGCAACCGCCAGAAAAGCCTTTTTGAAGAATTTCACCTGGTCCTCCGATTCAGATCCCACTTTGATCAGGGACGTCAAAAGAGAGACGCTGGGAAGCGCTTCGCTGCAATACAACCAGTTATATCAAAACACAAACTTGCTTAGAGAAATATCTATAGGCCTTACGGATAAACTGCCCGAGAGGGATAAACCAAGATAGGCTGAAGTAAACCTGCCCATCCAAACCCCAAAAGTTGTGAGCTCATCAAAATCCCAAAGGCAACGCCAAAGTTTATAACCTGGCCAAAGTATAAATCGTACGCCACTATCATCTGACCATTTTTGAATGCCACAGAAGTGAAAAAAAAAACTTTTTCAAAAACTCTCATAAATCACTACGGAGAACTGAAGAGATTACCTCTGCTGCTAGTGTGGCACCACTTGCTGTTGTTCCCATCAGCGCAGAGAAACCGGCCTCTTTCTTTGATTGAGTTGGAAGTTTAATAATGTGTTACAAGGCTCAATGTCATTATTTTGCTGCGACAAGGTCGGGCTCTGCATATTTGGAACACATCATTAGATGAAGCAGCATACATACCAAACTAAAAGGTCCTGGATTCCACCATCTGGGACCAGGTATTAATGCGCAACCTCGACCAATAACCACCGATGCTATCTAATCAAACAAAATTGGTCGGTATACAAGTCATATAACTCAAGCATTGAATACTTACTTGAAGAAACATGAGCTTTATCTGCATATGAACCGGCTTGAAAACAAATAGCTGGTTGATTTCAAAGAATAGTTGCTTCAATCTATCAGTAGTATTAGTAACCATCTTTCAGTGGTGTCAAGTCTTACCTGCGTAACTGAAACGCCAAAAGCGGACAGAAGGACGCCAATCAAGACAGACCTCACTGTCATGATTGGACTCTCGACATCATCCTGCAGTGGCACTATCTTTACTTTTTCTTCCAGAACGGGTGTCTCTTCATGTGCTAATTCCAGACCGTCCACCGCAAGGGTAGGTGGTAAGTCCGAGACTTGATTTGATGGACTGAAGGTCTCAGTATTTGGCGTAAAAATAAAATTCTCCTTGGTAGTATCAGTGGGCGAAGTGGTCACCACAAGGCTTCCCGGCGGTCTATGCAGACCTATGGCCGGGTCCATCACTAGTTCAATAAAGGGGATGTTGGAATTAAGAAAATGTCGATTCGTCCTCTATTCAGGAAAGCCTCCTATGAGGAAAGTAAAGATATTTTTTGGGCGCTTGATTCTCCAGAATATAAGAAAAAAAAACAATTTAACATGGATAGCGATCTGGATTCAAGTTTGACAGAACTGCTTCTGATGCGCCTATTACAAGGTTACAAGTGTGAACAAACACAAAATCAAGCTAACGGTGGAGGCAACTTGAACCAGGACATACGATACCGATCGGTAAGTGGTTTCCTTTTGATTATCCCCGCAGATGAGAGGGTTCTCGACATATTTCTTCAGCACATGTCGCGGTTAGAGTACAAGTCTTTGGTCATTCCTGGAACTTAAGAGTTAAACTTTGATTGATCACATCGGACTTTTTGGGCCGGATGGATAGGAATATGGCGTAAAACAAACATTTTGTGTCGAAGGGATGGGAATAGCATTTTATTGGATAAATAAATACATTTAACAGTGACTAATCCAGCAAACACAAAAGATGAATTATTAGTGATAAATTCAACTTTTGAACCAGAAACTGTGCATCTGAATGTATGCAACTCCATCAATATTTTGATGTACCTCTCTTTTGACAGATAAATCGCAGTGGTGCTGTTTACACCAATCACCACGAGGTTTTCATTTGATATTACGAGGTTTTCATTTGATATTTCCGATGGAGAGATACAAAAACTGATATCCCGATTCGGAACATGAAATCTTCAGCCTCTTGGCAAGCAACTAGTGCCCGTTCATCAATGAACAAGATTCAAGAGGGATTCGTAAAGCGGCGGTGGGCGAATCTGGAAGCAATAAGTAGAAGCCATGTGTATAATGCTAAGGTGGATCCTCATTACCCCATTGAGGAGTAATGAAAAGTCTGATTTGCATTCACAATACTCAGACTTGCCACTTCCAAGCTGGCCTCCAGGGATTTACTCGCTTGCCGGTGAATAACACTCCCCGGCGATGTTCTATGTACAGGTTTGTGGAATCTCACTCGGAGCAAGTACACACACCTTTTGCCTGCTCATTGGGGTGTGATTGTGTAGGATTTTTGTTACTGGGGCCCACTTTGCACCCTGCGGGCGAACAAAATTGCTGGCTGGGTACAAGTTGCTCCTGGCCGAGCAACGCTTGAAAAGTGACACTCGGATCCGGGTCTTGAACAAGTGAGGCCAACTCGCTGGTCTTAAAAAGCTCTCCCTAAAACATCTTGAATTGATTGCACTTGTTTTACTTGCCATTGAGCTTGCCGATGCATATACATCTAGAGGCCATCAAGCCCATGGAAATCAAACTTTAGCTCACTTCACTTTCTAAACACACAAGTTCACTGAGAATTCAGCAAAGCCAAATTTCCTTTTGTTGATGAGGGCTCCTTTCATTACTGCGTGTGGTGAGCAAATACGTACTTAGTAGGATCACATCATGGGTAACCGATACACAGATATTAATATTTCATTATGTATTTCTGCTCTACTTTTTGTTTCCAGATTCCGTCAGGCGTAAAGCGGGATCCGCAGCCTTGGATTCGGGATCGCATCGAAATTAAGTTCTTTTTTCGCCTTGCGTAAAGTTTTGGCCAGGAACCCGTTACCCATCGCATGGTTATTGAAACTTCTTTGAAAAAAAGCAGGCAACTGTCCAACGGCGAGCCGGTGATAAGACCATAAATAATTGGATTGTAGATTGTCAATGTGGAATCTTATTTCGTGATAAACTGTATGTGTTTTTTGGGGAACGTGGAGCATTTACCAATTTCTTATATCAATTTTCCGCACTGGATCATTTGGCCATTTTCTCATGTGGTGAATGTATCAGTTTTGATCACTTGAACCATCTGTGTGCACCTGGGGAAATGGTTCCAAAGGCATAAAACTTGAAATTTAAATGAGCAAAGTCAGCTTGTTGATGAATATCAAAACTGAAGGGTGCAGTTGCAAGGATTGCTTATGATGTGGCAAATCTCACTGATGAGGTTTTGAACTTTTTACCATGATTACTGAAATCTCTTTCTTGTTCAGGCCCATTTTGGGTGAAATTTTAGTCAGTTTGTTGTTCATGCAAAGAAAACAAGCAAAACATTTACCATCAAGAGGAGAGAATTTAGAAATATATGGAACAGAAAAAACAAATCTGTACATTTGCCTTGTCAATCAAGTATGGAATTTCTACTATCACTTGCGGCCTTCTATGTTGGTTGAACTAATTAAACCATCTTTCTAGTTCACCTTGAAGGGTTTTTTTGTGAAAAATTGCGCAGTTTTGCTGCTGTTGACATGACAATGAGATTTTGAGTCCGGGGGAGGAGTCTCGCGGGGGGCCTTGAGAGGCCGTGGTTCTCCGCTGGTGGTCGATGATGTCATCGGGTTCTTCCAGCTGGTGTCAGTCTAAAGCTTAAAGATAATCCTCAAAAACCGGTCAACAGCAATCTCATCACAACAGCATGGTCACCATCATCAACAACAAGGACAAGAACAACGAGAAGCAGTTCATATCACCGGAACTGAAACCAGAGAAGCTCTACTCCCAACTAGCATCGATCCCAACCATCAGCTCAGGACGTTTCATCAACAGGCAGCTAGATCCGACCTCCATTCAGCTCGATTATTCGATCAGGGATCACGGCAGACTTACCAAACTTCGAGCACGTCAATCATTCCACCTCATCAAACATTCTGACTCTTCCCAGATCATCAATGGAACCCTAGAATTCATCGATGCTGAGATTAACTATCAATCACTCTCGCCTAGTGGCTCAAGATTCGCCATCTTTCGTACCCTGACCACCCCAGGCAAACCACCTAAAAAACAATTCTATCTCGAAATATGGGAGACTCGGACTAACCGCCAACTGGTTTCTCATAATCTGACCTCGATCCATCAGTCATTCCTACTGAATGACACCTTCGGTTATCCATCTTGGAACTCATCAGAATCTCAGATCGCGTATTTGGCAGAGATCACCACTGAGAAAGATCGTGCCTCTTGGCTGGAGAGAAACCGTTATGTGCCCGACTTTGGGGAACAATTAACCGGGATCCAGTTGCCGGCAATTTTTGTCGCATCAATTGATGACTCAATTCGGGATTCAAATCAGATCTTAGCTCGAATCGTTCAGCTGACGGACCAATCCACTGACCTCTCAAGATTAGTCTGGGGACAACCTGTTTTCGGACCTAATTCTGACGAGGAATCTGTTGAGATATTTTGTACGGGATTCGCCTCACTCTCCGACCTTCGAAGGCTCGGCCTGATCTATTGTCAAAACCGACCATCAACGATTTATCGATTATCATTCAAGATCCCTCTGATCGAGAGAGGTACTGATCAACAAGATCTCAAACTTCTTCATCCTGCGGACTTCACTTCCCATCGCATCTCCGATCCAAATCGTTCTGCCCGATCTCCACGCGTTATTGAAGGCAAAATAATCTATCTTTCCAATCCAATTGGTGGTCCTCATGCTTCGTGTGCCAGTCTCAATATGTATGAACCCAAGACAAATAAAGACAAGGTGTTAGTCGGTCCGGTCGACGAACCCGGTCCGGATGGCCAGTTCCCTGGATTGTATATCGATGACCTGACTTCCCAACCGATCTTATTTGATCCGTCTGACCCTCAGAAAGCCTCGATAGTCACCAGCTCAATCTGGGGCTCTTTGAAAATGATGTTGACGATTGATTTACGAAGTGGGGAAATTAAGGCTCATCCGCCTCCTTGTGATGGTAGCTGTACTGTCCTTAACACGAACGGCGGCCAACAAGTACTGTGCGTCATCAGTCAAACTGACTCCTCGCCTCAAGTTTGGATCGGTAAATTAGAAGAGGATTCTCAGTTTTCCTGGCAAAAAGTGACTCATCTGGAAGCCTCAGCAGATGGTATGCCATTGTTCTTTTCCCTGCAGAGCCTATGCAGCAGGAACTCGACCAAGTCTTACCCTTTTCGATTGGCTTACTTATTTAGTTCAATCTCAGCTGTCTAACTTGAAGTCTCAAATTATCAAATTGCCCCCAAACGATCTCGGTCCTACTGAAATCGTCCTTACCTCACCTACATCCGACTTGCTCCGCTCACGCAGAGAGAGAAAAACTTCCTTGATTATTCTTCCTCATGGTGGACCGCATTCTACGTCTCTTAACGAATTTTCACCCTCAACAGCTGCCATGTAAGGTTCAGATTACATTTTCTTTTGGCATTGATCTAAATCAGATCCACATCGAAGCATCTATCTAATTTGATGTGATTTTCTATCTTTCGACCCAGGGCTTTATTGGGACATTCTATTGCGTATATTAACTATCCAGGCTCACTTGGTGAGTCGAATGTTCTATCCGGTCTTCATCTTCTTTGTACCAGAACTGCAGTGCTGTGCGCCCGAAAAGTGCGGTGACTGATTTAGAAATTGTGCATAAAACAGGATTCGGACAGAAATGGGTAGAAGATTTACCTAAACGACTAAGCGTAGCAGATGTTGATAGCTGTAAATTAGCCTTGGATCATTTGCTCTCATTGGATCTGATTAAAGAACTCGAGATCGGCCATCGAATCTTTGTGAATGGTGGATCTCATGGTGGATTTATCACTGCTCATTTGACTAGTAGATATCCAGAGTTATTCGCCGCTGCTTGTATGAGGAATCCGGTGGTTGATTTGGTCGGCACTGCGAGTGGTGGAAGTGATATCCCGGATTGGTGAGTTTTGATTGTTTGTAGACTTCCTTGGAAAATTCACAGAATGCTCAGAAGCAAAGAAATCGAAATGGTATTGATAATTGTTAAATTTTCTATGTTTGATTGTAAATTGGCCTGCAGGTCATACGCAGAAGCAAATATCAATTTTCCTCTATTATTGAGTGGATTGGGCAGCAATGATGAGGAGATCGGCAAAGTTTCAGTGAACGAGATCGATTTCAAAATTTTAAGAGACAGATCACCAATAAAATTCATCCAGAACGTTAAGACGCCCACCTTAATTTTGTTGGGTAATCAGGATCGAAGAGTATCGAATCAACAGGGATTGGCGTTGAGTGATCTTTCCTAATTATCTCTCGGTTTTTCTCATGATTTGAATCCTCGTCATTAACGTGCTTTTCTTTCTTTTTCTTTCTGTATTGGTCATTGTCCTATTTAAAGTTGGTATCATGGCTTGAAAAGCTTGAAAACTGAAGCAGAATTGGTGTTGTTTGAAGACAATTCTCATCCGTTAAACTCGATATACGCCGAATTGAATTCTTTTATGATTTGGTTTGAATTTCTTGATAGTCGTTGATCATCTCATCTTCTCTCTCGCAAATCATGTTGCTCCTATAGACAATAAAAATACACAAAAATAGAAAACTAACTTTTCTTCTCACATGGCATTATAAGACTGTTTTTTTGTACGTACGTGTCTATTTTCTAATTTCAGATTTGACAAGGTTGCTGTATTTAGAGAACACACCTCCACATGTCTTATTATCATTGTAGGTAGGTACTTGTATTGTCCTGAAAATATGTATAGCAAGACCAAGATTACAATACTCATTAGAATTCTTTCATGAGTTAGCATTCAGCAGTATCAACAGATTATATGAACTTTCAAAATCTTGTTCACTGACGGAACTCTGGCCACTCTAATCTATCTTAAGTCTGGATCCCTCATGTGCTCCTACTTGTGACAGTGTGCTACAGAGTGCGTAAAGCCTATTATCATAACCTTTGAGCTTGATTTGACCATTGGGTTGCTGTGACCTTGAGCTCCAGGGAGCTAAGATGCACTTCTTCAGCTGCTTGAAAGAAAGTGTAAGTTACTATTTTGATTCATAGTTTGACCATGGTTAAGTCACAATATTCCATCAAGTAGCATAAACCCTGGTCCCTGGCAGGTTGAGTCAAGTGTCATGTTTATTAAAATAAAAGTAAAGCCCCTTGAAAGAGAGAACATAGAAATACATTATAAAAGCTGTGGTGACTCAATTTAATAGATTTGGTTTGATTTGGTTTCAGAGAAGTGGATAAGTCTTTTCTTAAAATTTTCAAAAAGAAAGCTAAGAGTTGACATGATGGACCAATTTTGCTCAGGCACTCAGAAAGATTGTGATCAATGAAAATAATGGCTAGGCTCAATTGCTCCTTCGAGCCTCAGGATTCATGTAGCAATAATCTCTTGGAGTTGAGGAGACAGGGTTGAGGAAATACCTGTGATGTCGTTTCAGTTCAGAAATGATGCCTATTGGATTCGTGTTGCCTTGGCCATGACTTACGTAGGGAAATTAATGTTTTTGCCACCACCACCTTGAAAAATCATTGCCAAGAAAAACACCACCAGTTCTGTCCCTCCATCAAGAGCAGCAGACAGAATGTAGTTGTACTTTTTGAACCTGGGGGAATATGGCAAGTCAGCTTTTTTCTAAAGCCACATGCGATGGGATTGAGCTAATTATCTTGCTTACCATTGCTTTCGATATTTCCGGGCCCAGAACTGTGACAGCAACCCAATGACAATACGCATTGGTTCTCCTGTGTAGGGCACTTGAAAAAGAACCCAATCGTCAATTTAAAGTGTAGTTTCAAGAATGTAGAAATTTACCTGTGTATAAGTTTGGGATGATCCCAAGGAAGAGAGGTACATTGACCAAGCCAAGTTTGTATTGTGGCCAATACTTGTGAGCAACAAAAAATGGGATGGGAAGGAAGAGCCCAACTAAACCTCCCCAGCATACCGCGGACTTGATGGTTCATTCATAATAAAATCAACTTCTAGGCTAAAATTTATCATCTTCATGGAGAGGTATGAATGACTGTTTTAAATGCAAACCAGAGGAAAACAGACCCACATATTTTTGACCAAAGAGAAACATGCGCCTAGAAAAAATCCCCCAGCTTCAAAGAAATAACATCAGCAGAGGATCTGTGAGCAGTTGTGATTTTTTTTATGTGAAAAACAAATCTCAAACCTAACAGAGCGAGCCTGGAATGCAGCAACTCCAGCGCCTGAGAAGACACCATTCCCATTTGGCAACAGTAAGACGTCATGCTCATACTTGAGGATTGATTTCACAATTGCTAGAGTAGTCAAGCATCCAACCATACAGCCCAGCAGTTGGGAGCGAACTACAAGATTTTGTGGTAGGTGTAGGTATTGTCCATATTTTAGATTCATCAGCATGATGAAGCCTTGGAGAGCGCTTAAGTAGAATGATTCAAGTTAAGTCAGCAATGTTACTGAAAAGTAAGTTCATAATAATTGGCCACCAGTGAAAAGACTGAGGGAAAATACCTGGATGCCCCGTAGACAGTAAACCACATGATCCCAAACACATTTCCCGGGAACAGAAGGCCCACAAACATCTGGACGCCCGCAGTCAACTGCACTACAAAACCAGTGATTGCGTATATAAACCCTGTTCCCAGTCTATCAATGCCAAATTCAAATCAAGAAAATCATTTATAAGAATCAAAGCTCTGCCTTGGTTAGGTAGCTTCAGAGTGATTGAGGATAGATGTTTTGTGATTCTAGAGGACCATAAAGATACGCACGTCATCAAGAATGATCCTACGAGAGCAACAAGTAAACCAACAAAAGATATTCCGGAGTTGCTGAGTGATGACATCCCAAAGGTCAACGCCACGGCAACGAGCACAATTGCAGCAAAGCCCCTAAGAAAAGGATACCAAAACTAAGAAATCATTAAGACGAGGAAAAACTAAATAAGAAGTCCCGAGCTCCTACCATTGGGGAAAGTCTTTGTATTTCATACAAGCCAATCGGTGCGGGTCAATCTTTTCCGCACGCTTCGACTTCATAAATAGTGAACCAATAACGTGGTAATTGTGCAAGATAGCATGGGAGATGGAACTGGTAAAACAAACTGAACGGAGAATCTGAACCAAGTAGAAGGTGGCGGTGAAAAAAGGGATTCCCGTCCTCTTTATAAACTCCTCGTTGGCTGTACCATCGTTATTGATAGCTTGCCGGTATGGATATGGCTTCCCACCTGAAGTAAGTAGACTGGTAGACATAAATGGAAAGTTTTGGCTGAGTCCAGAATCTGTGACACATGGTGTTCAGTGTCTGAGTAATGGTTTGATCGAAAAAAAATGTCTTGGACTCAAAAAATGGCAAATTTCTTACCAAACATAGATTTTGAATAGACCAGGAAGTAGGCCAGAGTTGAAATCACCAAAGCAACCAGTTGATGTATCTGAAGTAAGCAGAAAGCTTGTTGAATTGGATTGAAGGGACTCAACCAGTCCTCTAATGCAGAAACCTACTTGGGTACTGAGAGGCATATATAGCGGTCCTTGGTCACCGATCATGGACCAATCCGCCGAAAAGCTGAACATTCCCATTCCTTCAAATGGTCGAGCTCCTCCAAAGATTATGGTAGTGAGTTGATTTTTTGGTAAAGTCAAGCAGAAGGTACTGATGGCTTGGAAAGCCGGTGTGATGTAAGTCGGGAATATCTCGTCTTCACTCCACGTCAATATAAATTTCAAAATGTAAGGATTTTCAGTTAGCTGAATGCTTTTTACGCTCATTTGAAAAAGTTTCCATTCTCCATATGAGTCAATGCATCTCAAACTTACAAATTGCAACTGCTAGGAAAGCCTTCTTGAAGAATTTTACCTGGTCCGCTGATTCAGCTCCCACTTTGAACAGGGAATTCAAAAGCGAGACGCTAGGAAGTGCCTCACTGAAAACCCAAGCGTCATCAAAAACGAATTAGGCTAGAGAGATACATTTTAGGTGGCTTCCTTACGGATAGACAGCGCGAGAAGGATATACCAAGACAGGCTGCAGTAAGCCCGCCCATCCAACCCCAATGAGCTGCGAGCTCAATAAAATCCCAAAGGCAATACCGAAGTTTATAACCTGACCAAAGTATAACTCGTACGCCACTATCATCTAGCCGTTTGTTGACAATCACCGGGGAAAAAGGCAAAGATGTGAAAAGATCTTGATTCAAAACCTCACATACATAACCAGTAGATTAATTTAAGAAATCACCTCTGACGCCAGAGTGGCACCGCTTGCGGTTGTTCCCATCAAAGCAGAAAACCCCGCCTCTTTCTGGTTGATTTAGACGTTAAATGTTAAGTTTTGAGTTTTATGCCAATTAGCTTAGCCTTACTGCTAGAAGGCGGAGCTCTTCACGTTCGGGAAACAGAATCCGATAAATCAGAAAAGCTACATACCAAGCTAAACGGACCTGGATTCCACCATCTCGGACCAGGAATCAGTGCACAACTTCGACCAATGAGTACCGACGCTATCTGATTAAACACCATGTGTCATTAGCTGAGCCATAATACTCTAAGATTTAATACTTACTTGAAGAAACATAAGTTTTATCTGCATATGAACCGGCTTGAAAAAAAACAGCTATTTGATTTCAAAATTCAAAAAGTTGTTTTAGTATGAGTCATAACCAGCTTGGTGGCAAGGATGAATTCTTACCTGTGTGATTGCAACGCCATAAGCAGAGAGAACTACACCGACTAAAACAGACCTTACGGTCATAACTGGACATTCGGCATCATCTTGTAGCGGTACAATATCTAACTTTTCATCAGGAACGGGTGTTTCTGTCTTCCTTTCTGCTTCCAGACCATCCGCCAGAAGGGGAGGTGGCAAGTCTAGGCCGGGTTCTGACGGAATGATGGTCTCAGTACTTCGCGTCAAGTTGGCGGCCTTCTCGTTCAGATTATCTTTGCGCAAATTTTCCATCGCGATGTCTTCTTGTGGTTTTGAAAGGCCTTTCGCAGGGTTCATTATAAGTCACACAATGTGAATATTGAACTCGAGGAAAGCTCATCCTAATATCTGTACCGGTGAATGACCCCGCAAATTACAATCAAGGTAACAGTTCAACAATCCAGGGCATCTTATTTATATCATATGGTATGGAGTTTCTTTATGTATATCCCCGCAGATGGGGTCGCCTTGGGTATATCATATATCACGTCTATATAAGTCTTTGTTCACCCTTGAAAGGTTCATCATGTCAGTCGTTTTGTTCCGGATGGATGGGAATGCTGCTAGCTTAACAAAGCCTCTCCCGGGGCGTCCCCGCGGGACGCTCTCCGTAGGAGAGGCTTATGAGTCAAGGCAAAGATTTGGCTGGGACAGGAAATCCTAATACCACATAATAATTTTTCTAAAAAAACCACTTACTTGAAAGAAATTATGAATAGACAGTTTTGTCAATCATCTCAATGAGCATTTGAGACTCTAAGTTTGATTTCCTTGTGGATCTTGGTCAATTGTTGTTTTGGGTTTTTGAGGAAAAATCATTTTTCAAAAAAATGTAGAAGGGGAACCAGGGAAAATGAAGGGATGAGACCACCTTCTAGTGAAAGCTGGGACCCAAAAGTACAATCTGGCTCTGAGCCAGGCTTGTAGAGGATTAGGATAAGGAGCCAGGGCCTTAACAAATTTCACTCCAGCCATTTTTATTTCCTGTGCCAGCCCAAATTTTGACTTTGTACGCAAGTCCCTCCCTGCGGGAGGGCGCGCTTCGCGCGCAGAAAAATCGACTGCAGGCAAGGGACTTGTGATAAGTTAGGCGCGCTTCGCGCGCAGAAAAATCGACTGCAGGCAAGGGACTTGTGATAAGTTAGGGAATGCTGTGTGAAGTGCATTGTTCGTGTTGTAGTAATGGGTACAACTTCAAGTTTGATGCCAGTGAAAATGCAAAGGCACTTCGCACACTCTTCCCTTTTCCTATCACTCAATGCCTATGTGATGTAAATTGTCCAGGAGCTGAAGCATGATCTTCAATCAACAGGGAAGGAACGTTAGTGTTCAGGTTGGGAGTAACAGCATATGTTGCATCGGTGAAGGTCAGAAAAGGCCATTTTCCTTACTGACTTGGAATTCAGTGTGGCAGGTCCATTCTTGTTGATGAGACACATCAAAGCCCAAACACTTTCAAGACTCAGGAGCACTCGGGGTTTGTAACTCCGCAAACACCTGGAAACACAAGTGAGAGAGACTGGATCTCGATGTACGAGCCCTCACAAGCCCCTAGGTATTATATGTCCTTTGCTTTTACAAATGAGACTTCAGATGACCTGGTAACGTTTGGCCGGGCTGCGTGAAGCGCCTCTTGCCCCAATGTGAATGGAAGGATGTGATCTGTATGCCGAATCGCGTTGCACCGCCGCTGCTCACATCGGAAGACTCGAATTTTTCTGGAAAGTTGTAAATACTAAAAGACTTAGGCCTAACTAAAGTGTATCCCAAAAATAATTGGAAGAAGAAAACCTGGGCGGTACAATTATCGATGGTTATTGCATTCATTGCCTTAATACTCATGATTAGCTCTGTCCTGATGCCCTACTTGCCACAGTCATGGTCATGTTTCTTAGGCGTCTAAGCTTAGTGGTCACTTATGTTGGCAAAATTCCAGGTGAATGCTCCAAAATGGTTTATTCAATGAAGTCAAGCATGGCCTTGGTCTTATTAATTCTTCCGATCTTGAATTGCACCCCAATGGGCTTCAAATATGTGGCAAAGGAAGATGCAGTACTGGACAAAGGACTAGATGTAAAGGTTTCAGTTTCCTTTACCTCACAGTTTCTCCCTTCCAAAGAGATGAACAAAAGTGCTTCAAAGTAACTACTCAAATCTGTTGACTCTCTTTAATCAGTGATAACAGAAAATAAAAAAGGTTTGTTCATTGATGCTCAAAAAGGTAGAAAATTTCTACTTCAGCTGTTATCTCACTCAACATTTCACTAAGTGTGCTGCATCTATTGAAATTCCATATTCAATTGAAAAAGATTAGCAGGCAATGGCCAAGTCCATCTGGTGACTTGAAGAAGATGCACAAAAGGTTGATGTGGATTTGTTCAAGCCCAATCCTTGTAATATGAAAGGAAAAATTGATCAAGTGAAAAGTTGTCAGAATATCCTTGTTCACATGTTTGGAGCATGGGGAGGGCAGGCCACTTCCCAATTTTTTGGATGTTCCCAAGGATGTATGGGAAATTGAAGAGACAAATGGATTTTTGGAAATCTAAAATCAATAAATTTGGTCTCTTTTCTCACTTCTGCAAACAACCACAGACAACGTATTAAATTTGAAAGTGGAGACTGGAGTTGCATCACAGAGACAGAAGTTGTGAAAACCGTGCATTTCAGACGTTGGAGTAAATTGAAAAATACAACCTTGCTCCTGATTTGATGAGAGAAATTGAGGTTTTATTGAAAAGCAGGCCTGGCTTGACATGGTTTGAAAAATCAGCTAGTTATATTTTCTGAACTTAAAGCAAATTTGATAATGATTATCATGAAAAGCACCTCAACTTTCATTTCCATCTTAATCATTATCACAATTGACATTGTCAATTCCTTTCCAAGAGTTTTCACTGCCTGAACCATCTGCTACAACTAGAAGGTTCAACACGTCCTCAAACCAGCCTGTCCAAGCAGTCCTCTGACATGAATGTTCAACAAAATGTTAAACAGGCTTATACCAGCAGCCAACAGGCGGGTTGCCTGGACAGGTGATTCCAACCTCTTATTGGAGGGCAAAGGACTTGTCAGGTGCAAGCAATTAGTTCAGGCAGTTTTTATATCAATTCTCTGATATTGTTTGTTCTTTTGGGATTTCAATCATAATAACTTATTCAAAATAAGAACTGGATTTTATTTAATCAGTAAAAACTGGAGTTTTACTTTGGGCAGATTAACCCATTGAACCAGCTTGGACTATGGGAATATTTTCTACTGAATTCTATGTTTACCAATGCGCTTTAGTCCCTTTTATAACCTAGTGCACTCCCTCATACACATTCGCTGAGGAACTTAGTGAACAGTCAGGATGTAAACGGGTCGGGTTCGGGCCCAAAAACAGTGCCCAAACCCAACCCGACACCTATGTCGGGTTGGGTCGGGTCGGGTCAAACTTGAATATATGCTGCCCAGACCCGAACCCGTCTTGGGACTTTTTGGGTTCGGGTCGGCAGTTTGCATGTCGGGTTCGGGCCGACCCGATTGTTTTAGCCTTTGTAGAGCAACTCTGACAAAAACTGACCTGCCCAACTATCAAAAAACCTGCCCGAACCCGACCCGCTAAGCTTCCGGGTCGGGTTCGGGTCATGTGATTTTCTCACAAAGTCTGCCCAAACCCGACCCATGACCCGTCGGGTCTCGGGTCGGCTTCGGGTCGACCCGACCCATTTACACCCTGAGTGAACAGTCATGGAGGCAATTAGTGCATGTATAAAAGTCACAGAAGGACTTGATGAAGTGAATCTGACAGTCACAAGAGCTCTTAGTGAAGACCCTCTAACAAGTTCACAAGGGTTCTTGGAAAATTTACTGTAACACAGTCAAAAGGGGTCTTGAAAAAGTCCAAGGGTGACTTGATCAACTCAAGGGGTCTTGGCGAAGTCCCTCTGACAGATTCCAGGAGGGACTTAATCAACTCAGGGCCCTATTGTGTCTTGATTTACTGCTGAATCTGGTGTATTTCTATACATACTCAGTAAATGTATGCAGTGTGAAGATGGTTTATCCAAACCACCTGTATGCCCTGAAGGGGGGAAGGCTGTAGTACACTGGTTTAATGCACCATTTTTTCAGAAACAGGTTTTGGGACAGTACAATAATCATTCAAATTAATGATCACACAAGGTTTCTACTGAAAAATCAGTATTTGATTAATTATTGTCTCACTGTATTCTTTCCATTTCAATTAAATCCTCCAATAGGAGTTGAGGCAAGGTTGCTAGGACACTAAGTACTTTATGTAGGGATTGGTACATTTTCAAAACTTGTATGTAGAGCCTAGCAATGGTATATTGAGAGTGGAGCCAGAATATCTATACTGAATTTCAGTCTCCCTCCTGCTTCCAGGTGCTTTTTGATTTTAACCTTGCTCTTCTAAATCCTGAAAGTACCTTTTCTTTATTTTTTTTCCTACTCAAAACTCTCAGAATTCCCACAAGCTTGTGGGGAACCAGCTCACACACAATTTTCATTCCATTGATCATAGGATTTTCTTACCCACTTTGGTAGCATACTAAAAGTATTGTCAAGGGTTTTCCCTTCATGGTCTTTAGATATACAAATGGTTGATTCTTGTGCCAATTTTTCCACTCTTATTTATTAGGTGTTTAAATTCACCATTCAATTATATTGGAAGTGGTTGAGGTGAAGGTTCCAAGATGATTTTTCCAATGAGTTCAAGAATGGCTTGGGTCTTACTAATTCTACCAGCCCTTGATTGCACCCCATTGGGTTTCAAAGAGGTGCAAAGGGAAGAAGTAATAAACACAGCAATTGACGTGAAGGGTGAATTTTGCTTTATTTTACAGTTTTTTTGTTTCATAAAATGTGATAAAACATACTTCAAGATGACTGATCAACATTCTTCCCTATTTTTCCAAAATATCAGAAAACCAACAGGGATTGCTAATCAATTCTCAAAAAGGTAAAAATATCTGTTCCATGTATCATCTCACTAATTTTACCACTGAATTTTCTGTATCTTTGGAAGTTCCAGATTCAATTGAAAATGATTGGCAAGCAATCATTGAGTCTAATTGGTTACTTGAAGAAGAGGCCAAAAAAGTTGATGTGGAAAAATTCAAGCCCAATCAGCTGAATCACATAAAAGAAGAAATTGATCAAGTCAACTGCTGCCAAAATCTGATTGTTCAAATTTTTGGAGCACCAGGAGGGCCACTTCCCCATTTATTGAATTCTCCCAAGGATGCATGGGAAGTTGAAGAGAAAAAACCCTTTTTGGAAATCTTCAATCAATCAATTTGGTCTCTTGTCTCACTTTTGAAAACAACCTGGGAAGATGAAAATTTCATTGTGGGGATGCATCATCTAGACATATATTGCAAAAACTGTGCATTCCAGACATTGGATTTTATAAAAAAATACAACCTGGCCCCCAGTGTGATTGAAGAAATTGAGAGTTTTTTGAAAAGCAGGCCTGGTTTTGAATGGTTTGAAAAGTCAACTACACATGTTTTCCAGCATGAAAGCATATTTGATAACAAATATCATTGGGGTGCACATAATGAAGAGCACCTCAGGTTCCATTTCCATCTTGTCCATCATAATAATATATTTCAACGTAGGTGTGAATACTTTTCCAAGAATTTTAGCCCAATTGACTGACATTTCTACTTGGGGTTTTAATTTATAAAAGAATATTCAAAAGAAGAACAGGATTGGGTTCTATTCCATTCTGTATTGAAGATCATTGCACCTAATGTTTTTACAGAAACCATGAAAGAAGAAATAGACCCAGAAATCCAGTTGAATGAATCAGAGGAAGAAGTGATTAAAATTACAAGAAAATTGAAGGAATTTCTTCTGAAAGGCTTAGAAACAGGCCACCTAAAAGATTCAACTCAGAAATTCTTTTGGGATGTGAGGGAAGATCTGTTGAAATTGAGGAGAAGAATCATTGATCCAAAGGATTTTAGAATTGAGGATTATACTATACGAGGCATTGATCCATCACTATTTCATATTTTTGATTTCCTTGAGAGCCGGTTTGGTTTTGATTATGTAAACTCAGATATTTTCAAAGAAGATGAGGCAGATAAAGTTGATTTTGCTAGGAAGTGCAGCATTCTCAAATTGACCTCTAATCATGAAATATGGAAGGAACTTCTTTTGGATTACTCTTACTACCTCCACTTATCTAGGATGAATGTTAGAGATAATGAGGTCTTAAAAAGAGCTGCTGAAGAAGAAAGAAGAAAATTTTATTGGAAGAGGTTGCGGTTAAATCTGATTGCTTATGGAATAACAAGAATCCACTTTCAAAAAGACAAAGCATGGAATCAAAAGATCAGGGGGAACCAAGCATACAGAGAGCTCATAGATATGCTTGATGCTGAAGTGAAGAATTTCAAAAATATCCCCAAACTCATCAAGTCATTAACAGACTCAAATGGTGAAGGATCTCCAGAGAATCAAAACAATTGGTTCATAATTTAAGTTTCTGTTTGATTTTGTGTTTATGATTATATAGATTTTCATCTAGTTCAAATATAGCTTCTTGTGTTTTGGAAATTATTTTTTTACAGAGTTCATACTGTTGAAAGGTGTTCTTGTCATTTGCAATGCATATAATAAGGGGGTTCAGGTACTGCTGATCTTGGAATAATCAGTCAAAAGTTTTATAAAAGGGAATCTGAGGTTCATGGAAAAGTAAAAGAGCTTAGTGGGAGGATTCCCTTTGGAAGTGAAATCCCACAATTAAAGTTCATGAAGTTTGTGCATCAGCAAACAAACCTCGTTCAAGACCAGTGGCAGCAAAGATTTGGCTGGAATGTGAACTGCCCTAGTAAGAGGTTCAAACCCTTGATTTAGTTTTAGGTAGAATTCAATGTTTTTATTTGCTGTTGGTAACCCCATTTTCTATAATTGAGGTATTATATGGCTGATTTAGGAGATCTGGTGTTGAGTTTCTTCATTAGTAGGCCTATAACTGGCCATTGGTGATTGTCACTTTTGATTATATGAGAGTTTGAGGAAGATAAAATTCTGATCAATTATGAAAAATTGAATTTTCAAGCTGTATGGTACAGGCCTTAGTAGCACAAACTTAAAGTTTCCTCATTTTTCTTTCTTGAAAATTTCAGATCACATGGATTGGTCCTCATTCAGTCTTTGGAAGAATTAAGCTGCATCAATGCTCTTGAGCATCAAACTCTCAGCTGCATCGTGAGATTTGGCGCTTTTATTGTTTGGGATTGCTTTTTTTATCATGTCATCAATCCTTATCTTAATGTTTGCTCAGCCCTCATTAGCGTGGTTTACAATTGGGATTTGCCAGAAGCAACCCTTGTGAAAGAAGTACTGACTGTGAACCCCGCTATTAAGCCGAGAGAGCAATGAGCCGCCGAACTCTTCATTTCCGAGACTGGGTGTGCTGTTGTAGGGGTGTCACAGGATTTGATTACATAATCCGGTGCATGTATTTGTGTATTGGCTTATCCAAGACTTCAACTCTTGATTGTCCATGGTCAAGCAGTACATAAGCCAAGTACTCCAACCCAAAAAAAACCAACCACTCATCCATCAAGAAAACCAGGATGACTTGAACAACAACCAATTACCAGCTCAAAACCACTACCCACCAACCAATCAACTGAAGAACCAACAACAACAACAACAACAACTTGAACTCGATCATGTCGTCCACTCCAAATCAAGACCTACTCAAGGATCTCCCCCTACACATCCTCAAGCAGAAAGCAGCAGTAGAAAATCAACCGAACGTCTCACTGACAGATTGGATCAAACAAGCTGCTCAGACCTATGCAGCTGCCACCGATGCCGACTCATCAAATCAAACAGAATCGGCTTACTATCATTACTTCAAAGCTGCTGGGTTGGTCTCTCCAAAATTCTCTAAACTTCAATCCTTCCCCTCCCTCAGAATACTTAACCATCAAGACTCAAGCAAAGATTCTTAAAAAATATCACACCAATCCTCAGTTCACCCTATCAATTCCACCATCCCCATCCTGCTCTTGGATCCTTCAAATCATATTTCTAACATCCAATCTGTTCACGCAAATAATCTTATCCTGACTAACTTGCTCTCACTTTTGCTTTGTTCTCCAAAGCATTCTCCAGCTCATCCTCAAGCATCCTGGATTTCCAACATTGAAATCACAACACCCTGCCGAATATCGAGTCTATCTCGGTAAGTGCGTCAAATTTCATATTGCCCTATCTCACCATCAGTTTTCCTCCTGATAAACACCGCCTCAATACTATACTTAAAATGATCTATTTGAACCACTGACAAAGTCTTGCTGATCTTCATCATACCAGAGTTTACGCCCAAGATCCTAGCCTCTACCGAACGGGCCAAGACCCTAGCCGAAATCATACAAAACCCACCCGAAAGCTCTCCTCCAATCCCTTCCTCATCCAAAATAACCACTGCTCGCCGACCGATTGCCGGTGGAATATCAGACCGCATCAAGCTCTTCGAATCTTCTAAATCATCCGAAAGACCACCCCCCTCCTCTCCAATCATCCGAGATCAATCCAAAATCCAACATTCATCCCCAACTTCATCACCCAAAGTGGATGGCCGAAGGCAATCCGGTATCCCACAACCAAACGGACTCCCTGATCCTACCCCTCAGCCGAGTTTCGTTTCCACTGCTCTAGAGGCCGAGTCTACCATCCGCTCCGGATCTGCACCACCCGAATTAACCATTGAAAACCCTTCCTCCGGCGCAAGCGACAAACCTAAGCTCAAGCATACCATCGGTAACGGTTTGCCTCACACAAATGGCGATTCCCCTTCACATCATCAGAGGCAATCAAATCTACACCACGAACAAATTCGCACACCTTCTCAATTCAATCAAGCTTTTCCCGCCCTAGAAGACCCTCCATCGAATGAACTTACCCAGTCGGAAGACCCACTGCCTTCACATCCACTCCCCTCTCTGCCTAGTGTCCCTTCAACGCTCCCAGTTAAATCATTTTCTCCTCTCCCCCCTCCACCCCAGCCGTTTCAAGTCCCATCCTCCGATCCTGATCTCGACTCTCAACCTACAACATATTCAGTCTCGGACCCCTTGGTAAACGACATCACACTTGGGGCTGGCATCACAAAGCACAGCCTTCCCAACAGGAATTCCTCACCCGTTGGGGCTCCACCACCTTATCCCAATTTCGAAATCGAAGCTCTATCGCGTTCTCCCCCACGTGAAAAGTCGCCCTTCAGTCGGTCTCCTGATTTGAAGTCTCCTCATAGTCTTAGAGGGCCCCGCAGTATTGACTGGACCCTCTCTTCGCCCAAAAACCCCGCATTGAACTACAGTCCTTTGAAACCAGCACAATCCTCTGATACTCTGCCAAGGTTACCGTCCGATGCAAATGAAATCTTGCCTGCTACGTTGATCGATTACTTCAGAAGGTCGGCTGCTTGCGGATTTGACACGAAAGTTTTATTCTTGGACGTGCGGAATCGCGAAGATTTCGAGTCTTGTCGAATCAAATCTACTGATGTGATTTGCATCGAACCTCTGATCCTGTCCAAGAATGGTGGAAGGGGTGTTAGTTCGAAGGAGATCGAAGACTCCTTGGTAATATCTCCCAAGAAAGAACAAGCATTATTTCAAAATCGTACAAGCTTCGATTATGTGATCATATACGATAAACGTTCCGTCCAACTGCCAGCTCATCGTTCGAAAAGCGAGTTACTCTACTCATCAGATCCAACCGAGGAAGCCGCCAGATTGCTTTTATTGTTATATCTTGCCATTCACAAAGAGGAATATATACACCAATTGAAACAACCGCCGATGCTACTCAGTGGAGGAATTGAGGGTTGGATGAAAGTTGCGGGAGAAGTTGGCGTTGTCGGCCGAGGCATCTCGGTTGCTCCCCAACAATCTTATCAGACTCCATATTCCACCGAAATCACATCATCCTTGAATGGTATCTCGATCACTCTGAGGCAGCCATTGAACGCCGATGGCGATGGAAATCGAAATGGAATCGGAAATGAAAATCTGAATGGTCACACTGATCTTAAGCGAGCTCGTCGCCAGGTTGCAGTATTCCAGCGGGACGACTCAAATCTCAATCAGAACCATATCATTCGGTCGATTCCAGACCTTACAACACGGCCTAATGGAATTCCCTATCACCCTCCTACATCAACGAGCATGCCTACCTTTCAGCCCAGTCGCCCTCCATCATATTCGTCAAGCAGTTATCGCAATAATGGAATTGCCAGCTCACCCATCACCCTTCCCCAACAGACCCTTCAAAGACTAAAGTCAACAGAACTATATGATGGAAATCATCCATCTAACGAACCGGTACCATCTGGGTATTCATCAACACCATCAAATCATATGCCACTCACCCTTTACCAACCTCACTCCCGACCTCCAGTCCCACCACCACCCATCAACTATGGTCCTCAACCGCCTCTGCCTCTTGCATCTCACCCAATCGACGTTCGCTATGGTGGATTTATGGCCAATCCAATCCGCTCAGCGATTCAATATCCACCCCTCCAATCTCATCCTCGCCCCCTTCAACCTCCCCCAGCGGCCATGACTCCCGGCGGATCAAGTGCCATGCCCAGCTACTTCAACCGAGCCCCCGCCTATGCCCCTCATCCTCCTCAACCCGCGTTACTCGGTATTGACTCTCGAAACACACCACCCCATCACCCCCTTTTCGGCGAATCGACACGGGCCCTAGCGAAGTATACTTCAACCCTAGTTTCGAGGATGGTCAAGTCGGCTTCACTGGTTTGAAGAACCTTGGCAATACATGTTACATGAACTCGACTCTACAGTGTCTTAGTGCCACCATCCCACTGGCACGATTCTTCAAAGGTACCCTTTTCTTTATCAATTCAATAATCAGCCAAATTGCTGAACATTTTTTCATTTATGTTTTAAATTAAAATAAATCAGATGGCTCTTATAAGCGTTGTATCAATCGGACGAATCCACTGGGAACACAGGGCTTGCTGGCCGAATCTGTCGCCGAGCTAGTGAGGGTACTTTGGGGTGCCCAATACACGTTTGTCTCTCCGATTACGTTCAAGGTGAGTTGCTTGGATTTGAAATAAAGTTTAACAAATATAAGGATACTCGAAGCTTCTTAACGTTGAAGTGACTTAAAAGATGGCCGTTTTGTTTTGATAATAAAAACATATTACAGGATGCGATCTGTCGGTTCGCCCCCAAGTTCCGCGGCTCTGACCAACAAGATGCGCAAGGAGTTCCTGGGATTTCTGCTCGATGGCCTTCATGAAGATCTTAACCTAGTCACCCAATAAGCCTCCGCCTCTCGAGATGACCCCCGAGCGGGAGGCGGCTTTGGAGACCTTGCCCACCCAGATAGCATCCGCAAAGGAATGGGAAATTTACAAACGGAGAGATAATAGCGTGATTGTTGAGCTCTTCCAAGGCCAGTATCGGAGCCGATTGCAGTGCTTGACTTGTAATACGGTCAGTCACCTTCCTTCTTTGCACTTCTTTTCTTGGTATTCCGATCTCAATACCTCAACCCTCTGACCTGGATTATTTTCAATTGCGCATAATAAAAGACTTCGACGACTTATAACACGTTCATGTATCTTTCTCTGCCCATTCCAAACAAACGCGGGATCAGTAAAGTCAGTCTCACTCAATGTCTCGATGCCTTCTTGAAGGAGGAGATAATGGAGAAGGATGATGCATGGTGAGGAATATACTTTTATTTGTCTCTCAGGTTCAGTGGCAATCCTTGAACTCCCCCAGCTGATGAGAAAAAAAATTATGTTTCCTGGTCTGGTTTGTGTACGTGTGAACTAAAAAAAGGAACTGTCCGAAGTGCAAGACGAGAAGGAAAGCGACGAAGCGATTATCGCTAGCCAAGCTGCCACCGATCCTACTAATCCATCTGAAACGCTTCTCATTCAAGGGTCCATTCTCGGACAAACTGGAGACCTTCGTCCAATACCCGCTCTACGGCCTCGACCTGTCCAGCTATGTCCCTCCGCCCCTCTCTCCCGCGGCGCTGTCTAACGAACTCAAACCGGTTTATGAGGACGTGGCTACTCGGTCAAGCCCTGAATCCAATATTTATGACCTTTATGCCGTCTGTAATCATTTCGGTAGTCTTAGTAGTGGCCATTGTTCGTTCCTTTCCTTCACGCTTCTTCCTTAGTTATGAGAACCTTTTCCCTAACAAAAACCCACCAATTGTTTTCTTTCGGATCAATTCACTGAATCATAGATACCGCCTTCGCTCGTTCCCAGAAAGATTGGTATAATATCGGCGATAGTCGGGTCTCCAAAACAGATGAGAAATCCGTCAAGGTCCGTCTCCCTTCTGCCTTCCCCACTTCCACTCCTTCCTAGACTCATACTCTTCTTCTTTTGTTTGTATCGGCAAATTACAGGCCCGGAGTGCGTATTTGTTGTGTTTCCGTAAGTCATTGGTCTATTTATCTCTTCCTTCTTTCGAGAAATTCCCTTTTTTTTTCTTTTCGAGAATCAAGGTAGGTACTTACGCACATTTTATTTTATATATGATTGCTATGTAAAACCCCGCAGGAAGAAGAGGATAATACACAAATCGTTACTTTCCTTTTTCCTTTTGTTTGACAAAAAAAAAGAAAAATGTATAACTCAACGATAATGAGCATGATGATTGATGGAAGGGAGGGGTGAGAGGCAGGTCACTCAACGTCAACCTTCCAGCCATCTAACCGGTTTAAAACACAACAGTTCATAAGAAATATGTAATTGAAATCAGTACATTATTTACCAACTCAATCCATCGTTTTTTTTCTTTTATTAAGATGCTCTTCTCTTTTCTTTTATTAACAAATCCTAATCAAATATTTACTTAATTACATATTGATAAATATATATACCCATGAGCACACACACTTTGTTTATTATTGACCTCTTTTCTCGATTTTTTTTTTTGGTTGTTTGGCAAACTCCCATCATCCTTATGATCACCAACACAACAACCACAAAAATTGTTCTTCACAACTGCCTTCTAACTTTTTTGTGCTTATCAATTTTCTTTTTCTTTGTCTTCATTGAACTTTCACCCCTTTCTTTCACTCTTTTTAATTTATTTGAATCTCTCTTTTTTGGTCTTTCTTTCTCAAACACAGACAAGGAAAACTCCATGTATTTTTTATCTCTCTCTCTCTTTCTCTCTCAATTAATTATCAACATCAAAATGAGTATAAATACATATTCCTCTTGTTTTTTTTTTTGTCTGTTTTTTTGGTTCAACTTGTTTCTCATTAATCTCAAAATAATTTATATTAGATTGTCAATAAAACAACTCATTTTTCTATCATTTGATCATGTTTAAGACTTATAACATGATGAGTAATGTAGAAGAAGAGAAAAAATTGTTCCATAGATTAGCAACACAATGTGAAGCCTTCAGAAGTGTTTTTTTCCACATCTTATTTTACCAATACCTGTTTGAATCAAAAAGAAAAAAAACAATCACTTTCTTTCTTGATGAGTAGTATGCAGAATTATGAGCTTGCTTGATGGCTTGCTTTCAGAGGACATTGAATACCTTTATACTGAGGAAAGGTTTATAATTAACAAGCAATGCTGATGAATTAATTGGTTTTGCATCCTTGTATTGTAAGAAGGTGTATGGAATTATCTTACAATCTGTTCAGTCCACAAACTTCACGTTCTGACCATTCATATTCTCAACATAGATACAGTCAAAGCTGTCTAAGGGCATACCTCTTGGGAGAAGGATTCTTGTATCTCTTTAAACAGGTTATGCCCTGGGAGGAAATGAATTGTCAGGAAAATCAAGATTTGGGGGAAGCTGTTGTGTATGCCCTGGTACAGGTTATGCAAACAGTGAGGTATGCCCTTAAACAGGTTTCACTATAATATATCATATATTATACATCCTCAAAGTGGTATTGAGATATCTTGAAAGAAGAAGAAAAAGACAAGAAATGCTCCTCTTCATGATCAACTTTCAAACTTTTTTTTACAAGCTTGATGATTTAAATTTTTCTTCAAAACAAAACTCCAAACATCATTGTAAGATAAAATCCCCCCTGATGATCAAATTAAACAAGCATTTGAAACTTAATCTTCAAGTTCAGAGAATAATTTTACTTTTTGAATATTAAGGGTATTCAAAGTTGGTCCAGTCCATAAATGCATTAAGAGTTTACTCTTAAACCCAGCACCCCCCGCTCATTATCCCCCGAGGTTTTTACCCCCCTTCCCAATGGTAATAGACTATTCTCATCCTTATACTGGCTATCAGGCTCACGCCTGGACCAGTGGCTTAATGGCAATAGAGCCAAGCAAAAGCCAACCAATGGTGGACAAATCCACTGCCAAGACCCTCCCTTTTTATACCCTACACCTCTTCTCCCCCCTACACCCGTCTCCACTTCCCACTTCCGGCCCACCCTCCTAC